TTAATGATCCCAATACTTCGCATTACATTAAAATAAAATAATATCCATTTTCACATATTATTTAGTCAATATAAAAAAAAAGTTCAAAATTTATTTATTTTTTAACCTATGCTTATTCTACTTTAGAGAGTTGAAAACAAGTATTCATTATTTTTTTAAAATGATCAGTTTATCAGTTTCTTTTTTAGTGCCCATATTTGTATCGGTCTGTCAACTAATTTTACATTTCACAGACATTAGTGTTAATCTATATCTGTTTTTTTTTTCTTTCTATATCTTCAGTTCAAATAAAACCGAACAGCTCACAAAATTACTAACCTAGACTCTAATAAAGTTGCATTAATAACATTTTAAGCACATATTGAAACACCATAATACAATACTATATTTGTAATTAAATGACTGTATCATGGTTAGACTAACATCATACAGTGCCAATTTTGATGCCTACTTCAATAAATAATCAATGAAAAAGTTATATTTGTATAAAACATTGTCTGATTAAAATAACAATTAAGTCTAAGTGTGGAAATTTTAACTACATAGTGAGACTGCCTTTGTTTTGTTATTCGCATTTTTAATTTTAGAAATTTGACATATACCTAGCATTTATTGGTTATTTACAGATAAGTTGCAATATATATGTTTGAAGGGAAATGATAGAAGATGTTATTTATAATACATACAACCCATATATTTATAAAATATAATAAATCATATACATAAACTAAATTTAATAATTATAATGTTGCTAGAAAATTAATCTTTGTATCTTAACTTTGTTATTATTATACAAAATAGAAATTCTATTAATGAACAAATAAATATTTTTAGGTTCAAATTTACAATACAAAATATAAATGAATTAATACAACATACAAATTAATGAATACAAGATATGTTTTTGTTTATACAAAATCATGAATAAAGGAATATAACATTACAAATAAAGCATTTTTAAATGCATCAGAAAAAGCTGAATAATAACTAATGATTATTCTCCATATTCTTCAAACACCTTTAAAAAGGCTTTATTAATAATATCTCGGTTTGGAGGTACAACCTTACTAGTATTTACAGAAAAAGTGTCTGTTTTATATTTTTTAAATGGCCCAGCATGTTGCTGGGAAATCACTCTTTTTGGTGCATTCGTAATATACCACAGGCACAGGCTGCCATTTTGTTTAAACAAGTGCTGGTTTCAATATTAGAAATATTTTCATTCCACAAAGTCCGCACACATCTTCCCCAAGCCTCGTTCCATTTCACATATGCACAAACTTTGTTCTGGTTGAGGTAATTAGTCCAACCCTTCTCCTAACATGGACCCATAATTCTGTGCAATTGTTTTGGGTTTATTTGTATTTCCACACTGTTTTTCTATTATTTGGACGAGTTTATTGAACGGGGCCATAATTTTCTCTTCACCTTTGTTTGATTTTTTTTTTTTCTCTTAGGCTGCAATACATACCGTTGTTCAATAAAGATGAATCATCAAGTACTTCAGCCTGTCCTTCATGTTCACACTCAACAGTAGGTGAACGCTGAAAAAAAAAATTACCAATTTTAGGCCTGGTATCATCCAACTAAAAAATCAGATTTTTTAATTTCGTTATAATTTTTTCCCTTCTATTTTTTGCCATGCTTATAACACATTTAGTTGAGATTTTCATTTTTAGAGGAGGGTCTATGTCTGGCACACTTTAAGACTCAATTTTACAGAGAACAAATAAAAGCTATGTAACATTTACATTAATAATGAAAGTCGAGGAAAAAACAAAACTAATCTTTAATTGAAATAGGAAACAATGGAATCAAATTCATAACAGAAGAAAATAAATAATTTGTTATGGGTAAACAGATAATGTGGAGGGTTAAGGAAACAAGACAGAATGGCTAAGGCATCATAGGGCATTTTCTCTTTATAGTCATTACCCTATGTACATTGTTTTACTATATGAAAAAGTATAAAAAAAAATAACTTAATCATAGACTAGGAGGGATATCAAAAACTAACAATGAACTTCCAATTAATTAAATATAAATAACCAGTTAAATGCTAAATAATTAACACCCCTTGTCCATTGTTTCCTTTGCGATGATGTACTTAAGTTGGACGTTAGAAAAGAAAATAGAACTAAATTAACTTACAACAGACTTAATTGATTGTTTGAATTGAAAAATAATAAAGTAACACTTGCAAATTTAGTAAAAGAGGAATTAACCATTCACTAAATTGTAAAAAAATGTCTATACAATAAATCAAAGACCCTCATAAATAAATGGAGAAAAGAATTTTTAAATGCATTCCTTGAATCAAACAATTGAAAAAATATTGGCAGCTCATTGCAAAGTAATTAAGTGAAAATTCATTATTCCTTTAAGTAATCAAGAACTTTGAACATCTTTTTTTTTTATAAAATCAGAAAATTGTGTGCTTCTTCTAAGTATAATTGATGTATAAAAGGGTTTGTTTCATTTCCATGCCCATACAGTGTTTTTGTATAGGTAAATAAAGTACAAATTCATAAAATAAAATCTTGAAAGTTAACCTATATCAAATATGCACATAGTGCATGAATTGAATGCAGTAAACGGAGGATATATCAAGAATTTTCACTGGTTAGAGAATTAATAATTGACTATGTTTAACGGAAGGAAATTGACAATCCTAGCAATTGTGTGTGAAAAATTACATAAAATCGCGTTAATTAGCTTTACAGATATATATTTTGAAAAACAAGGTAAAATGTATTTATAGAGAAATGTCATGGCAAAGAAATAAACAACTGATATTAATAAGGAAAACTAAGATCAATTTTATGCTTACCTTGTATGATTCTCATGAATTTTCGACATATGTCATCTTCTTTGTTTTCTCCACTTATTTTCTTCTGCTTGCTTTTTTTTATAGAAGACATAACCAAAAGTAGCAGTCAATCCCACTGCAATTCTAGAAGGGCCATGTTGTTTGCTTGGACTGACTCAGTCCTACTGAGCACATTTTCCAAAGTAAACGAGCTTCGATTAGTTCCTTATTTTGCCGCAAGTTTGCCAGAAATTTTGCCAAACCGAGTTTGCCTGTAGTGTGGGCCCAGCATAACAGCAAGGGAAACTGAGGTAAGAAATAATTATTCCCTGAGTCGTGTATGATGATCTAAGCGAACATTAAAAGGTAACTCATTCCATGAGTTACTAAAATTTAGAAATAAGACTTCAAAAGCATTATGCATTCTATAATTTTTTGTCCCTGATTCGTGGCGCCCCCTGGGCTGGTCACCCTGCCCTCGCAACGGCCCTGTTGAGGAATGGCCAAATTCGAGTGAATTAATTTTTTGTTTTAAACGAATTTTAAAATATAGAAGGAGCTCAATTAAACACGCAAAAATATAAAAAATATATCTCTGCATAGTTTTAACTACAAATCAACAGTTTTTGAAGATAAGAGTGTATGGATGGATAACTATTATATTTTGCATGTGGGAGCCAACAACAAATCTGATTAATAGAATAAAGGCGCGTTTAGACTTTCACAAACAATGGGAAAACTAATATATACATGTTTTTTTCTCTATACTATTGTTTTTGTTTATTTTTCATCTTTTCCATCTGCTGTGGGTAAAAAGAGAAATAAAATAAATAAATTTCTTTAGCGCAAAGCCCGCTATTAGTTAAGTTAGATATTGTATTGCCCATAGTTTGTGAAATGTCTAAATGCACCTTAATAATTAAATATTTGAGTTTAAAGTTGATGGATTTAGGGAGAAATTTAGATAAGTTTAGGTAGAATAAATGACTGACTTGGCAACACTGTTTTCCGAATCTATTTCCTTCTTGACTATTGCCATGAAGAGATCTTAACTATTGCTAAGCTACATTATGTGAGTAGTAGTTTTGTTGTACTTAACTTAGACCTAACATTACCAATAGACCACTGGGATGCACATCCCTTCCCATCCAAGGTCGATGGCACAAGAACTTATCCCTCTCTTCCAAGATATTTTATTGCTTATCTTTTCTAAAAAACAGAGTAAAGGAAAGTAGAATTAGAAAATTCGTAGATCGGTCTGCTCCAAGTTTTCTCCTTGTCACTTATTCTGAAACTTTTCATTTCGAAAATTCATAACCCATTGAAATGTGTCTCCCTCAAAAATTCGAAAACTCATCGACGTACGCCCCCCTCAAAAATTTGTACGGCGCAACTAGCACCCCTCTGTAGCGGTAAAGAGCATAGTGAAATAGAAACTATTTTAAATAGTCAATATATTCTTATTTTAAATTTCAGTTAGTCATACACCTCACTTCTAATTAACTGTTTCAAAATACCAAGGCTGGAGCTAAACTGTTCTGATTTTGGTTCATTACGATTATGGTATTTACTACATTTATTTATTTTTTAAGCTTATTGATTATTACTACTACTTTAGTTTGTTTTTGGGTATACATGAGTATTATGTTAATGAATCATTTATTTCTAAAATAATTCCCGAGTAAATCTGGAACCAGTGGAAAAACAATCATAATAATCAGGGGTGCCCATCCCCAAAGGTCTATGGCGCAAGGACCAATCTTCCCCCACTCCCAAGATATTTTATTGCTCTCCTTTTCTTAAAAACACAACAAGCGAAGGTAGCATTAAGAAAATTGTAGATTATGTACAATTATATTTGCTGTGGTCTGTTCCATGTTTTCTCCTCGTCCCTTAGTATGAAAGTTTTCATTCTGAAAATTCATAACTCTGCCTAAATGTGTCACCCTCAAAACATTCAAATACCTGCCAAAATATTCTCTCCCTTCTGGGCTCCCCTGATACAGTGCCTACTATTATTTAATGGAAATGAATTATATAAAGTCTTAATTTTTTTATTACTTTTGTAATGTATTGATTGGTAAAACTTGGGTTCCTAACAGATGACCTAGTGTTAAACAATATTTTTTTGTGTAACTACTAAGTTTATTTCATTATTAAAACTTTTTATTTATAAGATTTTTTTTAATATTTAGACGTCTTCTTGCTCAATAACTGGAGGTTTCGTTCGCCTTCTACTTGCTTCACTTATAATCTTAAACACTTTATCTCCAAATATTAATATTTTCTCTTGTCTTGTAGCAACTGGCCAATATCCACTATCACCAAGAAGTTGAAGCTCATAATCAGTTAGTGGAAATGAGTTAGTACTGGGAATTATTGGTATTACTATCAATTTGTATGCCGTACTGTTGCCAGTATCCAATCTTGGACCAAGATCAGCTGGTTCTACTACCTCCTGCTTCTCATCACTACAGGTAGTTGATTCATGTTCTATAAATACATTTTCCAAAAATATGTCACCATCTGGAAGAATTTGTTGTGATTCATTCTTTACTTGAAGTGTAGTCAGGTCACGACCCGTAGTTGGAACTGAAAAATCGCACAAAGGAGTGGTAGGAACTGAACATAAGTCTTCTGTTGTTCCTTTTGATGAGAATTTTTCATCATCTTTCTTCCTATCTTTTTTTTCTATTTCCATAATTGATGATGGTAGGGTAAATCTTAGTAGGTCACTACTTTCGGTCCTTTGAATTTTAAATTTTGTAGGAAAAGACTCTGTCTCAGACATTTCATCAATAATTCGAAATGTCTTATTTTGCATTTTCCTCCTCATTTTTCTTCTAATTTTTTTCTTTTTTGGGTGCCTCAAGGGAAGAGATGAATTCGCTCCATTATCATTAAAAGTTAGGGCGGGTTTCTTAAATCTAGGATTGAAGTGATCCCCATAATCAAAATCGAAATAATCTTGTTTCCAATGCTTTCCTCTTTCATGACGTCTAGAAAAAAAAAATGAAAATAAAATATCAAATTAATATTAAGATGTTAATAAATTGTACACACCTAACCCTAATGAAGTTAATCAAAAATTTTCAATTATTTTTTAAAAATATAAAATGAAATTCTTATATTTCATTTTGCTAATTTAATAGATCTATTTCTCTAGTTATTATTTACATGCTAGTTATCTTATCCATAATTAAAATAAAATTAATCAAGAAGGAGATGATTCAGGAATGAGACAGAAAAAAATATCACATAATATCTAGTAATTTATTCATTGTGTTGAATAAATAATTTTCAAAAATCAAATAATATTTAATTACTAGATATTATTTAATGTATTTTCTGTTTGTCTCCCAAACGACCTCTTTGAATTATCAAACGGTCAACTATCTACACATAAAATAAAATAATGAGAAGAAGAATAGTTGGGGTGATCAGTCAAATAAGAAGGCAAAAATAAATGATAATATTTATTTTGTCATTTGCCAACGTTTCGACCTGAAGTTCAGGCCATCATCAAGGCTAAGAAAAGAACCAGATAACAAGGTATGAGAAACATAAAAATTACAGTAAAATGCAGTTGTTAGAATAATGACAATAGTAAGAACAAGAGACAAATAATAATAACAGGTACAAAGTGTGGAATGATGAAATAAACATAGTCAAAAAGGTGACATAAGTATTGTAAAGGAAATCTTAGAATAAAATGTAAAACAGAAAATTATGAATTTATATAAGAAATGGAAATAAATAGTAAAATTAAGATATTGTGAATAGAATATTTAGATAGAAAATTCTTATATTTCATTTTTTCTATCTAAATATTCTATTCACAATATCTTAATTTTACAATTTATTTCCATTTCTTATATAACTTCATAATTTTCTGTTTTACATTTTATTCTAAGATTTCCTTTACAATACTTATGTCACCTTTTTGACTGTTTATTTCATCATTCCACACTTTGTATGAAATATAAGAATTTTCTATCTAAATATTCTATTCACAATATCTTAATTTTACTATTTATTTCCATTTCTTATATAACTTCATAATTTTCTGTTTTACATTTTATTCTAAGATTTCCTTTACAAAACTTATGTCACCTTTTTGACTATGTTTATTTCATCATTCCACACTTTGTACCTGTTATTATTATTTGTCTCTTGTTCTTACTATTGTCATTATTCTAACAACTGCATTTTACTGTCATTTTTATGTTTCTCATACCTTGTTATCTGGTTCTTTTCTTAGACCTGATGATGGCCTGAACTTCAGGTCGAAACGTCGGCAAATGACAAAATAAATATTATCATTTATTTTTGCCTTCTTATTTGACTGATCACCCCAACTATTCTTTTTCTCATTATTCACGACAGTCAACTATTTAACCACTATTATAAAATAAAATAACTTACCCAAGGTCTTGATCAAAATAATCCATCTTAAAATGTCTATTCCCCAGCTGAAAAAAAAATTGATAATGAAATATTACTAAAGTGAATTTTTTTTAAAAGTGAAATGTTACTAAAAAGTCGCTATTTCTCTCTTTATTAACAAATTATTCTCTTCATTATTAACAAATTATTCTCTTACATTTACAAATTGTTACCTTAGGCTTTTCTCTTTTCTTTCTTGACTTCAATTCCCTACAAGGTCTCTGATTCCTTGGTTTTGGTTCAGCACAGCATTCCTTGTCTCTTACAACCTTAGTAATTAAAATTTATTGTCAGTTAAATATTAATCAAAAGTTATTTTAATAAAAAGATGCCAAAAATTTGTTGACCCATGCTTAATTATTTTAATAATAATAAAAAATAAAATACAAAAACAATACTGAGCATTTCAGATATGTAAAAAGATTAATGATGAAACAATAAAAAAAAAAAAGTGTACCACTACGACCCATGAAGGGTCTTGGGTTCAGTACTATTTAGGGAAAGCACTGTTTCTAGGTCAACAGTTGTGCAAGGAGGTGATTTGACCGAGATCACGCTCAACCGCCAGGTTTTTTCTCTTAACCAATTATTTAATTAAGGGTACCCACTTTACAGAGGCTGGGTGTGCCCCAGGAGCGTCTCCCCGACCCAGGGTCGCCCCACGGCCAATGAAACAGAATAAATAAATTTTCTCCCATGAGCCGGGATTCGAATCTGGGACCATTGGCATTGGAAGCTCAGTACCCTACCACTGAGCTACCCCACTCCCTAATGATGAAATAATAGTGACTGAAATTTCTGAAAATTTTATTTCATCCTTATAATTGATCAGTCTACTACTTACCCATCTCTAAAAAGATTACTATATCACAATTTTTTATTTTTTTTTATTGGTATGATTATGTAGAGATCTATTCTTCATCTCGCAGAAAGGAATAGGTTTAGTAATAAATTTAATTGGTATGGTCACAAAAATCTTAAGGAATTCTGAGGGAAATTAAATGTTGGTGTGTTGCTGTTTTTAACTTTAAAATTCTTAATATAATTTTCTTAACATTTTTCTCTTCAATTGCTTTATCCCATTCCCTTATATTTTAATGTCACTAACAGTAATAATATGGGTTCTTCTGTTATTGGGTTAAAATATATATAAAATATTTTGGCTAATGCTGCTTATTGAGCATTCGACAATATATCACTTTCATTTTTTATATTTCCAAACCTGATAGTTATGTTTCTTTTCTCAAAAATTATTTTATTTTCTACACAAGATGTTTGAATTCTATTTTTAGTTATCATTTAGAAGTTGTCCAACTCTTCCAAAGTTTTCCATTTTACATTCTTTTCTGCTATATCTTTTTACTAGACTTTGTTCACGATTTTATTCTGATCAAACTTATTATACTTATTACTTTTTTAGGACTTCTGTGTAATTCTTTAATTCAACATCACTCATTGATATTCAATTCCTCTAATCCATTATTCATGTGACAGTAAATAGTAGAAAGTAAAAGATTCCACTTTTTTCTTTCTAGATTACTTTTTGACTTCTAAAATACTCTGTTTTATTACAACTATATATTACATAATCTAGCACCCTATTTTTATTTATTTTCTTAACGCTGAAAGTGATATTATGATTAAATCTGGATATTTATTGGAATAAATAAATCTGTTTACAAAGAGTGTTTCTGGGTTAAGTGGCTAAACTGTAAAAACGAATTAAGGACCTAAAAATAAGTCCTCTTAAGGTATGTAGGAGATATTCACACCTAAATATTTTCGTTGTTATGAATTATTTACATTATATGAAATAAATAAAACCTATTTATTTGTTCTAACTACTTTATTAATTAAATATAAACATTAACATTCATATTAAATGTTGTTCAAAGTGATTTCCTTGAGCATTAAGACAGGCTCGGCATAGACTTTTTGTTTAATGTTACCCCAAACAAAAAAATCCAGTAGTGCAGGTCTGGAAAGTGTGCAGGCCAAGCCACAGGTCCTGCACGGCCAATCCATTGATTGTGATATGGGATATGATTAAGCAAGTCCAGTTTTAGTTCATTTTTGCTATTTGGCCATTTAACCCTAAAACATCCTGTATATATATATATTTATCTTTTTTTTCTCCCTCTATAAGATTCCATTACTGCTTACTCCCTCCTCGAATCCTTAACTATTCACGTATTGAGATTGTAATGTAGACTTTGATTCAATGTTAGAATATTAATAAATAATATTTGGTTATTTAAATTAGATCTGATCAAAAACCATTTTACCCTTTACACATTTTATAATACAGACCTATATCATATCTTTGCAAGTTCTTCTTGTTTTGTCTACCAAAAGTACAATATATCATTAAGTCAATAAGTATAGTAGCCAGTCTTTTTAGTCCTATCTGGACTATAGACTTAAATAAGAAAAAATAAAAAACAATTATCAGGAAATAACTAGGTTATATGTTGTATATAACTATCGTTTTATATTGTAAATAACTAAAAATGTATCTTAATTAAAATACAAAGCTTTTCTACCTTTGGTGTGTGAAGAAGCAAAATACAAGTCTTAATCCATAGAGCGCTTCTCAAAATTATTTATACTCGCTTTTTAAAGTGATTATCACGGGGATATGCAGATGATATCGCTATTACTATTGGCAAAAAACATCAGAATGTTCATCTCATCTGTTAAAGATAACGCCGGTGTCTTGGAGAGATGGTGTCAGTCCAATGGACTGAGTATCAATCCGGATAAATGTGTGCATCTTCACCATTAAGAAAAATATGACAATAAAGCTACCCAAAATTAATGGCATCCAGCTAACTAGCAAGGAGGTGAAGCACTTAGGTGTTACATTGGACAATAAAATGCAATGCAACAGTCCTATGAAAAACAAAACCAATAAAGCTCTCAAATATCTATGGGCTTGCAAAAATACCGTAGGGAATTCATGGCGGGCTTAAATCACGAATGGTCTACTGTCTGTATGTTACAGCAGTTAGACCTATGCTTTTATATTCAACTGTTGTCTGATGGCAAAGAGTAAGAATTGGCCACAACAAGATACAACCGGAAAACTAGAAATATATATATTGATAACAGGTGCAATGAAAACTACTCCGACTGCAACTATGGTGGTAATGCTAGGTTTCTACCCTATGTAACTGGAGATAAAAATACAGGCCTTGAAAGCATTCTATAGGCTACACAAATTAAACTTATGTTCAAAGGTAAATACCCCTGAGGGAAATGGAAAAATGTTTCAAAGAGTTGAGGAAGATAGGATGGTTGCAATTCACTCTGGCAAACAGGTCAGAGAATTTCTAATAAAGAATTACAATGTAAATATTGATATTTCAGAGAAACATAAACTTATTAATGGATCAATTGTTATACAAACCAGAGGGCATGACTATATCACTTGGTAAATATGCAACAGCATTCCAATCTAAAATACTGATGATATCTCACTATGCCTCAAAGTTGTTTTTAGTCGTTAATAGTTGTTTTTTAGTCGATGGACTAAAGGAGTGGAAGATCTCCATCCATACTGACAGTCAAGTGGCAATACAAGCTCAGGGCAATTATACAACTAGATCTAAGGTTGTTAAGAACTGCAGTATAATTCTCAATAATTTATCTAGGTCTGATAAGATAACCATCGAATGGAAATGAGAAGGCAGATGAATTAGCTAGAAAAGCCTCACAAACAACTCCCTCAAGCATCACTATCTAATGTGAGCATGCGTCTAATCAGTAGCAGAATTGAGGAGATATATGGATCTGAAGCTAAGAAATACTGATGATTGAAAAAACAGACTCACTTAAGGTTGTTCTTGGATGGAATCTTTGCAAAGAGAAGCAATCTGCTAATTAACTTGAGCAGTTCTCTCAATAAAATTACAGCATTATATACTGATCACTGTAAACTGAATTACCATATTTTCAAACTTCATAAACATATAAATACAACCATAGTATTTATTAAACTTTGCAAAACAGGAAAATGTTTAATAAATATTAATTTATTAATATTTTCTGTTTCTCTTATTAATTTTTCCACACCGGTTAGTGGTCTTCAAGTGCCTGATACTAGGAATCATATTCTCAGTAAGGTATTTCTTTGTTATTAGTCCCACTCGCGTCATTCTGATATTTGAAAATATACATGTATTCCATTTATCTAGCATAATCTTTCCTGTAATCTTCTTCTGGACCTTACTTATTCCGAAGATGTCCGATTGGTGCACATCTCTTCTACATTTTTCACGTTTTCTGACCATTTGAAGCTCACAATAATCTTTAAAAAAAATTGATTCCAAAACAAATGATCTTATCCTTAACATTGAGCTGTTTTGCCTGCCCAGATCTGTGGCTTGCCATGTTTTCTTGAATATCCTACACAAATAATTAAGCAAGTAACAGACGCCCAATTTTCTTGAGACAACTAACAGATCCCTCCGAAAAGGAAAAGAAAATAAGTTTGAATTCTGGATCTGATTGAACCAAAATGGGGTCTGGGTTAGCAAATAAATTGGAAGCTTTGGTTTTCACAAAGACGTTGTTTCAGAAAAAGGGACTAATTCTGTTCAATTGAATGTAATAAAATTTAAACATTGGGTGATTATCAAACCTAAATATTATTATCATTTTTCAGTCACCTTACTCAATTTATTATCTTCTGCTGGAATCTTCATACAGAGAACAAGGCGGGTCATGATTCCCTCACCCTCTTTACATTCACAGCTAGACCACGGACCAACCCACCATCTAAATCGCAGTAGAATTATTATTAGATATATATAAAATAGATATAGTATTATTAAATAGTTATATAAAATCAATAAATATTTCCATTAGCATAAATATATTAAATTAATTTAAACATGTGATTCTTCTTTTGATTTTAGAAAAAGTTTATTTAAAATGAATTCAAAGAAAGCATTTTTGATTTGGTAATAAATATTTCAAATTTATTTCATGATATATTCTTATTTTGCTATTTAACAGAGTTTTGTATAAGTTTTCATTTCTGTAAATTTAAAAATTATTATTATTAGGATGTCATCACAACTAAGATGAGTCATGGTCTCCGACAGATTCAACCAATAGTGACAGTATATCACATACATCATCCAGCTCTTTGTTCTTGATTTGGGTGTGGTTCTGATAATCCATTACCTAATTTGAGACAGGCTCCTCCCTTTTGTCCTGTTTTATTATTTATGTTTCCATGAACATTGGCTTGTTGACGTGGTTCCTAAAATACTGATTAAAGAGTGGCTGAAATGTTCAATTTTTTGCTATGATGACTTATTAATTTTTTTAAGAATCCACAATAACTAAACTGGGAAAGTTTTTCTAAAGGAAATACTAGCTTTGGGTATATACATATCAGATTCCGATATTTTTATCCTGAGTCAAATTTCAGATTTACAAGTTAAAACATTTCCTTTTCTTAGTCCAATCCTGCCTAAAGAAGGATGTTAACCAAACCTCTGTCATAATTAAATTCTTTTACAAAAGTACTGCTATTATAATTTTTCATTCTTTTATTAAATCTTATTTATGTCATTATTCATTCCTTCGCATATATATTTTGATGTTTCTTTCATCAAAGTTTGATTGACATATTCCTCAACTGATCTTGCTCATTAAGACATTGCTTATCCCATTACTTGGTCACAGGCTAACATTTAGAAGTCAGAAACATTAATGGATTAGCCTTTTTTTAACTAAGAAACATTAGTTTTCTTTATAAATTAACACGTTAGTTATACTTTCATCTCATATAAATTATTTATTTCATCTTACAAATTATTACTTTCACTTAGCTATACATGCAATATTTAGTAAGGGTAATATTGCGATCGTGAAAATTTTCAACATTTTTGTCAAAATCGGCTCACCGGAAGTGGTACTTTATATAATCAATTTAACACATTTTTACAATTTTCTCAAAAATGGCTCTAAAAATTTTATCTAAACTCAGTATATCAGTGTATTATTATGCAATTTTTAACATAATGTAGGTTTTATTTTCATTGATGTTCTCTATCACAGCTTAAATGGCTAATTTCTAATATTGGCTTCCTCTGAAGTATCTTTATTTTTTTTTATTTGAAATAATTAACCATTTCACATTAATCTTTGATATGAGAAATAGTTAAGTATAAAATATGAAAGAATTCGATAATTAACTAAAGGAGAAATAAGAAATTGTAACAGATAATAGAGGAATCAAAGGAATACGAGCTACATAACATGATCTTCATATAATAAGGACTCATATATTTTTTCATAGGTTTTCATAAATGCTATCGTTGGTATTATTTAATATTTAATTGTATAGAATACAGTGATAATTAAACGTATAGAATAACGTATAAAAATTAAAATTTGTGTATATAAGGGTATTTAAACAAATAAAAATACCCACAATGAGTTATAAATAAATATAGTGTCAATAATTTACTTTCACTTCCCCTTTGTCTGAAAATACTTATTTCTGCTAAGAAGAGGGTGGTAAGAGAAAGTCCTGTGGTGTGTGTACCACATTGTTTTTAATTATTTCTTAATAAAAATAATTTGGTACTAACTTAAGTAAATCTTCCAAGTATGTGGAAAAGCCAAAAAAGAATAATAATAATGATCAAACATTAAATAAGCTAGAAAAATTAAAATGTTCTATATTTGTATTCCAGATCTTAATTTTAAAATCCGACTCACCTTTTCAAGAAATTTGTGTTTCTTCACTGCCTTATGTAACTATGGTTGATGTTACCATATGCTGATTTGATATCAACAAATAGTTGGTGAGTTTTCAATATATCATTTGTTTTATTCTTAATTTTGGCTATTTATTGTAATATCTAATGTCTATTTATGTTAAATTGTCATCATTACACATTTTATTAAATATGAAAATAAAAAGTTTACTCACTTTGCCACGCAAGGACGTGTATTACATGTTCTGATTATATCTTCTGGCTTTACTTTATCATAACAATATTTATCGTCAACTTCTCCAGTCCTCGTTTCAATGCAACTTGGTCGAGCACGCTTCAATTTTTATTGAAAAAATCAAAATATATTCATCCGTGTGCTTATAATTAGAATTAATTCAAATCTAGTAATGGCGATTCTTAAGATGGGAAATAGTTTTATTTATGATATACAACTACATAATATTTATTTTCTAAAAGGTAATAATGAAATTCAGTCAAAATTCTGATTTATATACAGTTTATATAGTTTCTACTCTCAAACTATTCCATCGCTTCCGCCATCTCCTACCTCAACATACGCGTAGACTCCTTGTTTCCTCTCTCATCTTCCCCCACTTTGACTTCAGTTGTGTGGTGTATGATGGACTCTCGGTGGAGCTCTGTGACAGACTGAAAAGATTAATGAACAGTTGCGTGAGATTTGTAATTGGTGCCCCGAGATACTAACATGTCTCTCATCACTACACTGAGTTAGAGTGGCTCTTCCCCTCCATTCGAAGACATTATTTCCTAGGTACATTCCTCTATAATATCATCAACAATCATCATCCTTCCTACGCCAATTCAAGTGCTCAGTCCACTCCCTCACCACAAGATCTCGACCTTCCGACCTTTACATTCCTTCTCACAGATCCACTTCATTTCAAAACTCCTTTATTGCTCGTTCTGTTAGTTTCTGGAATTCCCTTCCTATCAAAATTCGACATTTTTCATCCCTATCTACATTCAAAACCCTCCTATTCCAATTCCTGTCCCAAAAACAGTCAGATACCAGCTAATCTTTTATGTAAAATTACATATTATTTATAATAACATATTCACATATAGCTCATAACCTAAATACTTATTATAGATTTGACTTTCTTTTTTTTTTTCTTCTTTTTTTTCAACAATAACACAGATTTTACTGTTTAGAAAAATTTACATTTATTTTTTCTATATTTTTTATTTTTTCTAAAAGGGTTTATTTATATTTTAACATTGTACATAGTTTTAAGTATCTTAGTATGGTTTCAAAAGTTTTGTACATAGATTTTTTTATTTTATTTTGTATATGGTATGTATAACTAATTTTTTTTTTTTTTTTTTAATGATTTATCTTTATCTTAACTTTTTATGTTTGTTTTTATCTGGCCAGATATAAAATTTTAATTTCTGTACGTTTTTGTTATTCTGAAGGGACTTCGTCCCAGAATAAAATTATTTTTCTATTCTATATAAATATGTTTATTTATCTGTAATAATATTTTGTACATTAAAATAAAACGTTTTTTGATTCTGGACAGTCAAGAGCTTAGTAAACATTAAATGTGCAAATTATTGGTTAATTTAAGTGAAGTCTTAAAGTTTAGATTCAATTACTTTATCTTATGTGTAATGATTTAATCATATTAAGAAGCCTCAATGTCAGGCCAAATTATTTTTTATTTCTTTTTTTTTAACTTTTTGTTGGCCATATCCTAAAACCTTTTGAAGTTCTAAGTATTACATCTATAATTACCTGAGATCCGCCTCCACACATTGTTGAACATTCATCCCAAAATAAAAAATTCCATTTATAAATAGGCGTATGAAGTATTGAGGTTTCAGGTAGTGCATACTGATAGTGTATACCCATATTGATTTCATCATAGCATTTCAACTATATAGTAAATAGAAAAGTACATTAATGCACCCAAATTAACTCAACAAAATCATTATATATTAACTTTAAAAAATATTAATTAAACAACCTACACTTATAGTTATTGGAATTTGTACAGCACTTTTGACAAATACCCTTTCAATATTCATTTTGTTCTGATACACTCCACTTGCACCTCCACAGTCAAATTGGCCTGGAAGTTGATCATTACCCCTGTTATGAAAAAAAAAAATTATTATGAATTGATATTCTAAATTAAAAATCAATAAGCCTTAATCAAAAACATAACTAGGATTATAAAAGGCATCTGTATGTTTATGAAAGCTTTGTTTATTTATTTCCTTCACATCTTATCTGTTTGAAAAATCATTTTGGCAGTTGTAGCATATCACATACAAAATATGCCCATACAATTCTTGTGATTGAGGTATATAAAAGCAAAATCATTACCATTATGTTTGGTAACAATAGAGAGAGGAAAATCAATATACAATAGTATGTACTATACTCATGAAGAGAAAATGCTTGCATATATTTTTAACAAGATAAGTTTGGGAAACATGGTCATGTTTTTATTTTTTAAATTTAAGGATCATTGCACTGTAATTTATTTTAATTATTGTTTCATCAGATAGATAATAGGCAATTGGGTTATTTATGTTGAGCTTTGTTCCGAATATCAAGAAAGAATAAATAAATTTTTGACAAATTAAAACCGTACTTTAGACAACCTTATAAATAATAAAATATAACGGAATCAGAAGACTGAAAATAATACGTCTTGAGCTGGATTTAGACACTATGAGTTTTCCTTGGGAAGCTGTTTGGTGAATCAAAACTCAAATGTTCTATGTCATTTCCTCGTTCCTCCTCTTTTTTAGTTTTGTTCACAAATCAGCTTCCCAAGGAAAACTCAAATGTTCTATGTCATTTCCTCGTTCCTCCTCTTTGTTCAATAGACTGCTCCATTCTAATTATACCCTTGTCAGTAAATTACCTGCATCAAAATGGTTCTACATCAAATACTCATCTTGTATGTATTGACAATGAACCAGAACGAGGTCATTTTTTTTTTTTTTTTATAATTATCTTGTTAAAGGTTCCTCCATAAAAGATTTCATTTTAACATTTTCAGAACAAGCAGTGATTTTAGTTCCATAAAATCTTCCATAGCTTCATAATTCTTTTATATTGTTTTATAAGTATTATTTATTCTCATTTCACAAATCAATGTCCAGTGGCAATGCATACTGGAATCGTCGACAAAGAAATTTCCAGGCCCACAAGCGGAATTAACATTGCTTTTTGATTTGTTAATCTAAAATGTAACTCCTATTATTATAGCATAGTAGAGAACAAGTGTTAATGGAGTCATTCTCTTCATGAATGCTTTGTGACAAATGACTGCTCACTGTTGATTTACTTTGATTTAAAAATCATATTATGGGAAGGAGTTGATCAGGGGGGAGGTGCGGTCAAATAAATACTAAATTATACAAATAGTATTATTTAATTTTTGCCGACGTTTCGACCCACTTTGCAGGTCTTCATCAGGGCATATCATCATGAAATTCATGAAGAAAAACTTACTATATAAATCCGGCTTTATGGTTTTGTCTGAGGTTTCTAATAATGCTTAAGCTTACTATAAAAAATTATCACTTACAAAGGATTATTCAAAAAGAATGTAGAATTAACTGAACTTCCTATGATGAAATAACAGGTGGAAGGATCCAGTTCCCGGATAAATATCACACTTGCTCCAGCTGGTAGTTTAAGAAGGGGAAAAATACCTGAAAATAATGACATGTTTTCATAATAACTTCTTATTATAAATATTAAAATTAGCTTCATCAATGATTCATATATATATTTCTCTTCTTGTTCCAAAGAACAACTTTGGTTTTGGATTTAAGGACTAAAGGTTTCAAAATGTTTACCAGAATTTATATGACTATTGAGATAAGAATTTCCAATATATATAAGTCAATATAATTTAATTTACTAGTAGAAGACCATACTAATTCATATTCAATCATCAAAAACCGACCCTCTTAGATCTTTACCATCAATTCTCTGAAATTATTTTAAAACTTAATACTGTATGTTTTAACTAATAAAATATATGGATTTATTGAATTAGAAACATTGAGCAAGGGATTCTTAAATTCTGAGGAGGAAGCGTATCATCTTTCCTCTGTCCTGGGTGAGACTCACACTAACAGCTGATGTATAGGCTATCTGCACAACAGTTTGCAACACATAACTTGAGAGGACTTTTTTTTTAATTTTTGTTGTCAAAAATTCTCTTTCATTGCTACCTAGATTGCTAGCAATTTTTAACATATGGAATATAAAATCTTTATAATATTTAAATTTAATAAATTATTATCGTTAATCGACTATTAAAGATGAATATGACTGGTAAATGGAACAGGAATGTATGGAACGAATCCAAGGGGATATGTCAGAAATTTTTGATTCAGAAAGTGGCGTTAGGAAGGGGATGCTCTCACATGCCTACACTTTAATCTTGTCCTGGAAAAAGTAGTGAGAGATTCTGGTATCCAGAGCACTGGTATCATCTTTGATGACCAAACAGACCAGATCCTTGGGTTTGTAGGTGACATTAAATACCATAGGCCACTCTTTCAATTGGTTGCAACGATCATTCATGCGATTCCAAGGCTTTTATTTATACTGGGTAGTTGGCAGAAAAAGAATATGATGGTGCCACTGGCAATTACAAATAAGAAGGAATAAATGACTGGCTGGGGATAGAAAAAACATGGCAATTGGTGTCTCCTACAACTACTGATATAAACTTTCAAGAAAGATATAAATTGTAGACAGACCTGCTACATTTGGTTCAGTAAACATTCCTTCAACAATTTTACATTCAGTGCCATTTCCATGGCATTTACCGCAACCATCTTCTTTACTCTCTGAATCTATGACAAAATCACAACCTACTCTCTGAAAAAAAAAAAATTAAAATTGATGATATTGCAGTTTATATATTAGTAACCAAGCAACCTAATTTTGAATATTTACTGTAGTTTAATAAAAAATATTGCAACAAAAATTGTGAAGATAAGATAGAATATTAAGTTTCCTAAATAAAAGTTGACACCCAATTTTAAATGTTTGTGATTCTCCAATATAAAAGATAAAATTAATATAATAAAGGACATAAAAATACTGATGAATTCATTTATCAGATAAGTTCGTTTTTAATTCAATTTTTTTTTTACCCACAGTAATAGCCCTTAAAAATATTATGAAGTTATAAAATTATTTACCCGGCAATTTCCCTGAATACAAACATTGTTAGTACCCGGAGTGCATGGTGTACCATCAATGACAACTGGTGAACGGATGCTAACTTGCTTTAGTTCATTTATACAGACTAGCGAACATTTCATTTCTGTAAAATTAACAATAAAAATTAATGGTTAAACACTATTTCTGGTAATCCTTTGAAATATATTTCTATCCTTTAGAGATATAAATAAACTGACTTAGTATTTCTTTTATTAATAAACTATTGTAAAAAAGTAATAAAAAACTCCAAATTCTCAAACTGGACTTGAATATTGAATGATTATTTGATCTCCATACTGACTGGATTCACTTTACCCAATTTGGAAAGATACCACATAGATCTTATTGCAATCAAAGATGTATGATGGAATGAAAAAGCACTTGTTGAGAAGCACTTCTTCACTACAGCAGTCATAAACATATGTGGAGCAGTTTTTGTGGATTGACAAATATTAGAGAAAAAGTTAGAGTACAGCAGTATAGTGCAACAGCTTTATATCGATTTCAAAAATGCTTATGATTCCATTGACCGCCAGAAACTGTATAATATTCTAATTGAGCAGAGGATACCAAAAAAATTAGTGAATTTAGTTAGGATGTGGTTGACGGAAACACTCGATAAAGTTAGAATCGGTTATTACATATTCGAGAGATTTGAGGTTCCTTCGGGCTTAAAACAAGGTGATTCTCTTTCACCTTTCCAATTTAATTTGGCATTAAAACATGACATTAGAGATGTGATACATACCGAAAAATGTTTGAACCTGGATGGAACAATATCCGTGCTTGGGTATGCTGATAATTGGGTACTGTTAAGCGAAGACATGGAAACAATAAAACTAAATACAACAACGTTGATGAAAGCCGGTAAAGAACTAGGACTCAAGATAAATACGGGTAAGACAAAATATATGATTAGCTGCAAAAACAGCCACAATTTCAATGATATCGATATAGAAAGGAATATGTTTGAACACGTACAGAATTTTAGATATTCAGGGTCTACGATAACTAGAAAAAACGAAATTGAAGAGGATATTGATGTTAGGTTGAAGGCGGGAAATGCTTGTTATTTTTCTTTGTCAAAACTACTTATTTCTCGCCTCCTTTCCCAAAACTTAAAAATTAGAATCTACAAAACCTTTATCCTTCCTACGGTTCTTTACGGATACGAAACATGGCCGCTTACATTAAGGGGTGAGCAACGTCTTAAGAATATTCGGACCAAAAAAAGACGAGTCAACCAGAGAATTTAGGCGGTTACATAACGCTGAATTGCATGAACTGTATCTGGTTAATATAATTGAGATGATGAAGATGAGGGGAACAAAATGGGCATGTAAAATCGCTGGGCTTAGTAACAAAAGAATTCCTAAAAAGTTAATATGCGCTGTACAGACTGGCAAGCGTCCGAGGGATGGACCAAAACAAAGATGGGAAGATTGCATTAAGGCTGATCTGGCAGGGTTGGGTTTAGACAGATCCCGGTGGATTGAAGAATGTGGACATTAAATGATGGTAACGGCATCGAACCTTCGGGTTCTATAAGCCTTATTATTATTATTTTGTAGAAAGGGAAATAGTTAAGAGATTGATTCATAGGCTTCACACCAGTTTACAATTGCATTTGGATAGATCCGATATCATCAATAAGTTCAGTGATGAGTTTGGAAACTTGTACTAGCAAGGAGTAAAATTATAATTTAAAAAACAATTTATCGATTAAAAATTATCAATTAAAAATTATATTTTTAATTTTCAGGAACTAACTTTTTCTTTTAACATTGACATTGTTTTCGTTGTTAGTTTACATTTTTTATTAGTTTATTAATAATATTAAGTGAATTAATAAGCAGTTAATAATCTGGTAGTTACCTTCAAAAAAAGAATTGAAGTTATCCCAACTGTAATAATGGCCTCTATACGACCTTTTATCTGTCATTTTACATTGCACTTGACGAAAACTAGTAGCATAACCACTGCACATCTGTTAAGCATAATTTAAAATTAACAATTATATCATGGCTTAAGTTAAATTACATGAATTTCTATTAAAAATATTATTAAAACTTATTTGCATGACTTTAAATGGAATATTTGTCAAAAAATGTGTTTTGCAATGTGTTTAGTGATAATGTACTATGGAGTATTGGTACTTTGGTGGCCAGCAATAATCTTGTTCTGCTGAAGGAAAGAGTCTTTATAAATGTATGATATCAGTATAGGACGTTAATGGGAGTAAAAAAAAAAAAAAATGTATGATATTGAACTGTATAAATGTTATGCTTTTTATCTCGCTCTATTGCTAGACAATTGAGTTCAGATTGTAGTTTCTTTCAAATATTTCTGAGCCTCCTTCGTTTCTAAAAGCTCTCAGGAGATTGTTTCTCAATGGATTTTTTTTTTTCTTAACATTTGATTTTACCTATTGAGATCAGTGTAGTTCTTTGTCTATGTATCTTCTTTTATTTATTCTGACCTTTACCATTATTCTTTTCATGATCTTATCAATATTTCCTCTTAATTCCATATTTTAATTAGTACCTAGGAATCTCTATATACCGACCACAGTGAATAGTATCAACTAGAGTTGCCTTTACTCTTTTGGCATAGAGGAGAGATGTATGCTCTCATTTCCCCTCCAATTAGCTACCATCCTTTTCTACCTGTGATTTCACTAGATTCCAAGATATTTCATTTTGTTTTACAGTGAAATTCTAAAAATAATTTGTTCTATGGATAAAAAATGTAAAAATGTTGCTAATATATTTACTGTATAAGGATAATTATTTTTAATTAATTACTAAGATTTTTTTCTAGATTTATTTGGGAGGATGCAAAGAATAATACAAATATTGATATTCTAATCTTTACTTTCAAGTATGAACCAATATAGGATTTTAATTTCAATAAAAAATACATACCAAATTATCAATTTTATAAAAATAAAAGCAAAAAAATAGAAATACTGCCTAATTATAAAAACTCTGTAGGAAAAAAAAATTATTAACTTTCCATTAAAATGTATTACTTTTTAAAAGTTTCAATATCTTGATTTTGATCTTTCACATGCTTTCTTACTCTAATTTTGAAATAAATTTGACCAATACATTTTATCAACCATCTTTGTAATTTCCCTCTGAACTAAAGTAAAAATGTTGTATGTACGTAAAGAAATTGATATTGAAATAATGTAAAAGTGATTTTTTGATTCGTAATAATAAGTTTTTTATTATTTTGTTTTTAAAATTTGAACTGAGAATTTTTTCCTCACTAATTTTACATATTTGGGTAACATTTGAAGATCTTTTGATTAAGCTTCATTGATTTTTTACTAAATTTAGAGAAAGTTGTTTTATTTTATCACGCAACAGTTTTCCAGTTTTTGCAATTAAGATTTATGGAAAGGATTTTTATAATGCATCCTAGTGACAGCTGAAATAATTATTAAAACATGCCAATTTTTGCATTGGAGAAAGAAAATAATGTAATGAACCCTGGAGCGGATATAGAAATTTTCATTAGCTGTATTATATTATAATTGAAGACAGAGTCCTACTGTTTTAAATGGAATCCAATCCACATTCAACAATATGAAATTATACAACTGTTTCTCCGGGTCATGTGTCATTCTTTTGTGTTTAAGAATGATTTAACGATGAGCAATATTGGATTATTAATAACTTACATATAAAAATATTCTTTGTCATGTTTCCGATTGTTGCAACCAAATACTATGTCCCTCCTCAGTTTATAAAATGTGATTAAAGTTGAAATAATGTGTGATCACATACAAATAAATACTACACGTACGTGTGGTTTACAAGATAAATACTTGTTAAAAGTGAGGAAAACACTTTTGGTGGGAGTATTGGTTAATATTCAGAGGGTAGGAATACCTGGACCACCATTCCCACTCTAGTTTATTCTATACTCTTTGATGCCGGCATGTTACTACACAGATGGCAGCAACCCATAGATATAGGTATTATATAGTAATTTTGAGTCATCTTTATTATCAATAATTCTTCATTAATTATCTACTTTTTTTTTTTTTACCAGCTATTCACTATTCTATGTTAATATTTTGGTTTTATTTTCCTGTTCCCAATGTATTTGATGGCTTCATTAAAATAATACAATAATGGTACTATAAAAAATTAAAAACAGTATTTTTCTGCTAATATCATACCTCAATAAAACAATGACCCTGAAACACAATCAAATTAATTTGTCCGTTTCAATTTAATGATAAGCTGATTTAATTATGAAAGATAGTTTTAAAAAATCTAAATAGATAATAAAATTATTATTACTCTGTTGTTACACATTCTATAAGACACCCATTCTCCAACACAGTCACTTCCTCCGCGATAGGGGATAGGCGAGTCACAGGCTCTGTAGCGAGACTGGATTCCACCGCCACACGATCTAGTGCAAGTACTCCAAGGTGTCCAAGGGCCCCATTCACCATTGATAGCGCCTGGTCGCATACCTCTGTGTACGCACTGCTTGTTAAAGCACCACTGAAAACCAACATTTATACAATTATAAAATAAGGTTAAAATGGCCAGTATTAGAAAAGGGATGGAGAAGCAACTGGAGAAGAAATAGTAAAAGTGCTGCTGAGTCTATCCTATAAAATATAAAACAAAAAGTAACTGCATTGATTTTGAGTGTCCTATCCTCAATGCAATACTAACAAAAATCTAACGTTTGAAGGATTTTAGCCTTTTATGGAATTAATTCTTAATTGTTTATGATTCATTAGTATCATTGTTTAAATAAATTAAATCAATGGAATTATAAATTGTTTATTTGAAAATTTATATTTTCGAGATATATTAGTATTGCCCTGAAGCTGCGATTTAATATTACATTACCTACCCTCAAGAAGGATAGCTCCAATGATTGGCACAACTACAGGCCAAACCCCTCCCAATTCCTTTACAGAATTTACTCATTGTTTCTCCAAAAGAAGCTAAGACCAATAGTGAGGATAACCTAGAGGTTAGAGAGGGTGCATTACATCCAGGACATCATCTATGTAATGTCTTGACCTTATTTTGCCTCCGAGTATAATCATAGAGAAAACTTAGGATTGAAATTAAAATGTCTACTTAGTTCTTCTGAAAATGAAAGGTGCTGGTTATACAATGCCAAGAGAAGAAATTCTTTAATTCCGCTGGTTTAATACTTTCAATATAATAAACTTATTTATCTAAAGGTATTGTAACAATTAATAGCTTAGAACCAAAACGCTTCTCGATGGAAAAACGAATTAAGTAAAGGAATAGTTTAAATCCTTTTTTCTTTATTACCTTCATTGGCGATATTATTGAAAATCGTAAAACAAGAAGATTGAAATTACTAATTGTTCATAGGAACTTATTTTATTTACTGGCACAACTACTCATGTACACCAATGGCATTGTTCTCATCACTGACTTTGTAGAAATCTGGGATGCTGTGAAACCCAGAATCATATCAGTTGAATTAAGCCTCCCTATTACATAAGCACCAAGAAGAATATATTATGTTTCCAAAAAAAGAGATTGATTTAACCAACCGCAATTAGTATGATATGTTAAAACAAATTCAAGGACTACTGATAGCCTCACTTCTGTATAAAGAACCCTCATTAGGTATACAACTTGACCATGTGACGACCTTTCCATTTTTTGGTTAGACCTCTGTTTGGCTGTGAAAAGCATTTGATTCAATTTATATTGGATACCGTATTGAATATATCTTCGGTACCATGTTAAAGTAACCAATGAGAAAAATTACATTTTTCAATTTCCTTCGTTTACCATTTTGATTACTTCCCTTTTCTTCACTGCTTGATCCCTGATAGAAAATATCCTCTCCTTATATCTGGCCAAATAATCGAGGTGATCCTCATTATAAATTGAAGTGATCCAATTATCCTCATTACACCGTCTCCTCAATTTTTTGCTTTTTTTTTTGCTTGCCCTTCGTATTCATTGTGGAATTGTCTTCCCAAGAGTGGAAACACCAATAACCTGGCAAGTTCAGAAAGTTAGTTTTCTTGGAAGTCTATTCTTTGATAGAAGAACCATTTTATAGAAATATTATGTACTCAGCTCTACCCTTAAGTTATTTGTATGATTACCGAGATAGATCTCCTGGTTTAAATTATCTCTCCACATGTTTGGGAATTGTCTTCCCAAGTGTGGAGTTTCCTATAAACAAGCAACTTAGTCCTCTCGCTTACATGAGTCTGGTATCTTCTATAGAAGTGGCCCTTCTATAAATCCTTTTTAATTCAAGTTGAGTATCTCTGGAACTCTATACCCTCAGATATTCAACCCACAAAATCAATATTCTCTTTCAAATCTATCCTCTTCAAACACCTACTCCATTCCCAATCCCATTGATCACGAAATGCTCTTAAAAACCTAAGCTGTAAGAATCTCAAAGTACACCCAGATACTTTGATTATTTTATGATTCGTTGATATTTTGTATACTTAATTTACTTTCTCTGTTTATTTTATATTTATGCATGTTTTTATATCTTTTTATTATCTATAATTTTATTGTATCCCTAATCATCCTGTAAATATTTAATTGTATTTTATGGACACACCAGAATATTAATATATATTCTGTATTTATAACTTGTTCTAAAGGGACACTAATCCCAGAATAAATTTTTTTATTTCTTATGACATTTACAACTGTATTACATAAATACATCTAGTAAATTTGGACATAATAGATATAATGACATGAATACACTTGCTAAGTAACTACCCAATGGTAGCACTCTAATGATATGACTACATTAGGAGATCACGGGGCCATCTTCTTTTCAGACGCCTCGGAGGGTTATCAGGAATCGAAGAGGAAGCAAGGTTAGGAACGAGAGGGTTGGGATGATTCTGAAGTTTATTATGGAAGGGCCAGATCAGAAAGATAAGGAACATTAAGATCTTTATGGATAATTTTATTAGTGACAAAGTAAGGAGCATTGAGGATTTTACGAAGGATTTTGGATTGTAAGGATTGGATGCGAGAGGAATTCGATGGTTTAGTGGAGCCCCATAGCTCAACTCCGTAAGTCCAAATAGGTCTTATTATAGTCAAGTATATAAGTCTCTTGTAATTAATGGGAAGTTTAGAGCGTTTGTCTAGTAAGTGCTGAAGTAATCGGAAACGTCGAGCGGTTTCTTGTCGTTTCAGTCTAGTATGAGGATTCCAAGTTAGTCACTTGTCCAGGTGGAGTCCTAGGTATCTAATTTGCTCAACAGGGATAAGTGGAGTATTGTTAAAGGAAACTGTAGGACAGGCAGTTGTTGGTTTACGACGAAGGGTAAAGGTAATTTGATGGGATTTATTGGAGTTTATTTTAATTCTCTAGTTTTGACAGCATTCTTCAAGATTTATGATGTGTGATTGAAGCATTTGGGATGCAATTGATGGATCATTATTTACTGATAGGATACATGTGTCATCGGCATATGTGGTGATGACAGTGCCCAGAATAATAAAATTATTTTCATTCATTCTATAGTACTCAGTTCACTCATTCTATCTAAGAACATCCCTCTCACACAGTGATGAAGAGGAGAAAGACAATGTGAATAACAAAATGACAAGATTACATTTTAACTGTAAAATGTTTCAGTAAATTAACAATCATATAAAATAAAAATTTGTTTTGAACTACTGAAATGTAAAAAAATTCAAACCATATCCTTTGCACAAGGAGTTCCAGGAGCTGGTGGATCTCCAGTTGAAGCACATTTTTTTGGCGTAATTTGGCAAAAAAGTTCGGAACAAAACTGAAAAAAATAAGTAGAGGATTTAAAATAATATCATAAGAAAAAAAATTTCTATTAAAGACAACAAAAATTTCTTTTCACACATATATATATAATTTTTTTAATTTATTTTTTGCTTTGATGAACTGAGAGATTCTTACTTCACCAGTTCTACATGCTAGTGTTCTCATCCTGAAGTTTATTGAACATTGATGAATTGCATCATATACTTGTCCTGGCAAGATGTCTGGAAATTTGAAATCGTGCTCATCAGGTGGGTCTGATAAACACCATCCTATTCTCGTGCTATAATTTTATAAACATATAAGATATTACTAAGACTCATAAATATGTAACTCTGTCATTATTCTTAGGGGATTATAGACCTAGAATAAAATTACTTTTTCATTCATAATTATGGTTTGATGGTTGACTGTAGAGAATAATTAAAGAGAAGGATGGTTGGGCTGATCATTCAAATTAAAAAAATGGCAAAAAATAAATAATAAAAGAAGAAATAAATATTATTATTTATTTTTGCCATTTTTTATTTGACTGATCACTCCAACCATCCTTCTCTTCAACTATTTTTTCATTCATTCATTAAAATTTTAATCAGAATTTAAAACCAACTAAACTAAGACTACTGCAAGAGTTTCTAAAAGGCTAAACTTCTTAAAATAAGAACTTGTTCTTATTTCCCTCTCACTCATCTCCTCTATCCCTCCAAAGGATGGAACATCTTGCTTGAATGACAGTTTATTTTTGATTTTGTTATTGTCTCAATTTATTGCAAATTCATTATAACGTGTGCCTATTTCATTCCAGACTAATAGGGTTGACTTTTATTTTGTCTCACTAACCCACCTTTCTTGGCGATAATATCGAAAAAATTTCATTGGAAAATAATATTAATAATTTTGGTATCAAGTATAGGATCGAATTCAATATTGGAATGCCATCACCTAAATAGACTAGGTTGTTAGATATGGATTTTTCAAAATTACTCTTTGGTCTAAGAAAACTTTAAACCATACCCCAAAAAGTTACTACAAACCTATTTACTAATATTTTGTAAGAATGGATCTTTCTCGTTACACTCTGCTTGCATTCTCTTCTAATACAATCAACTGCTATCTAATAATAATGAACTTACTATAGGAATTGTCTCACACAATGCTGACTGCAAATGGACCACTCAGAGGATGAAAGAGACATGACAGGATTCATATGGTACCTTGTGCCATCAGGTTCTTCTCCTGCACAACCACCAATTTCACCATCATCATGGTCAGCTCCCAAACTGTCAACATGCAACTGCCATTGAAAATATGACAGTTAATTATCATATGACAAATGACTAACAATTATAAAAAATCTATACTGACCTATGACCTATTTGATGAGTGATTATATTTGCTAATAGTAATCCTTCTTCACTCACAACAGCACATGTTTTATCCATACGACAAAGGCTTGCCATGTTAGCTACACCTAAAATTTTTTCTTGGCAGGGAGAAAATCTATAATGAAATATTAAATCTATACTATCCGCTTAAAACAATCAGATCTGATTTTGAAAATGTTTAGGTTTATTTTAATGTTATCAAGATAATAAAACAAAAAGTTAATGGAATTTACCTGGTAATAAAAACAGCAAAGTCATGATGATTTGGATGACTTTCCAAGTAAGGATTCATTTCTAGTTGCCAATCACAGAAGTTACCAAGAAGTACCGAAGGAGAATATCTAGCCACATCTAACTAAATGAAAAAATTGCAATACATTTGTCATGTTCAAAATTAACCTTGGCCCATAAAGTTATACCTACCCTTGCTAAAGTGTAGGACAAATATATTAGTCTCACCATCTTTAAATGAATTGGTGTTCCTATGGAACGGTCATGAAACTTTACGACAACCTGAAAGAACATTAATATAAGTTAATACTCATAAATTTATACTCACACACATTTATGAAAAGGTGATTTTCATTCTATTATTTTTTAATGGCTATTTGGCATAAAGTAGAAAACTAATTTTAGTTTAGTTCCTGTTTTCTTTTTGAGGAGCATAGGACACAAATTACTGTGGTGGCTCCCTTAGAATCAAAACTTCTCCATTTTTTTTCTTAGTATACTATTAAGACTTCAGCGCTTCAACTACACTTCTGTATTCTTAATGACAGATGGTAGCTTATAATTTCTAATGCTGGTCATAAGAATATGACTAGGATACATTTTTCCTTTTTAACCAGAGGTGACAAAACAGCCTTAATGACTTGAGCAGTTCTTTGTCTTAGGTTCCTCTCTTAAAGAAACCTACAATGAGGAACTTCCTGCCTTTGGGAGGTACACCATGTCCATATAGGCAGCGGTTTTCAATTACATTTGGGCTAGAATCTTAAAATGTCATGCTGTCATTGGTGTTTCAGTGATGAGGTGGCTGTTAAAACAGTTTAGAATGTTTTGTTTCAATTTCCGAATTTAGTTATCTTTTTTGTGATGGTTATAATTAGTTATACACTATAGTTATAATTAGTTATTTATTTAATAACCAGAAAAATATAACTGGATCTAAAAAAAAAATTAATATCTTAATAATTATAAAAAGAAATTTCTTAAAATAAGATGGTATGTCACTATTGAATGGGCAGTTTTTTTTTCAACCATCCAAACCATAACTCCTTACTCATGAGTTATCCTGTTAAGACTTTATTAAGTCAAAATTCCTTTCTCCTCTCCTCTTAGTAACTCCTGGTGTTTCTCAGGGATCTTCACTCTCTCTAACTCTTTTTTCCATCTACGTCAACGACCTTACTGATTCCATCCATCATTCACAATACCACTTATATGCGGACGACCTCCAAATCTACCTTTCCTTCCATCCTATCCAGATGCTTTGGGCAATCCCAAGGCCACAAGAAGATATAGACAGTATAAACGCTTTGGCAGCGAACAATGATTTAAAATTGAATGTTGAGAAGACCAAAGCCATTTTTATTGGTTCCAAGCATCTTATTAATAATATACCTTACTAACCCATACTCAACTTCAATGGACTACCAATTCGTTTCCATGCTTCCGTTATAAACCTTGGACTAATTTTTTAACAATACCTTTCCTAAAATAATCATATTTCCCAAATCATCCAAAATTCTGTTGCTACCCTACAACAGTTCCTCAGATTCCCTGATACTATACCATGAAAACTCACCAGCTCCTCGTTTTCTCACTTCGATTATGGCTGCCTTGTTTAAGGTGGATGTCTGGTTGGCTTGAAGTCAGATTGAAGAGACTAATTAATCGTTTTATAAGATTTATCTTTGGACTCCTCAGGCGCTCCCACGTCTCCAGTTGGTATGGCAAGTTGAAGTGACTCTATTCAGTTTTCCGAAGGCAATATTTCCTAGGTGTTTTCCATTCCCGAACATTTTCATCCAAAATACCTTCTTATCCTCTTGATTTGTTTACTCTTCACTCTTCTGTCCATTCGTTCAACACGAGCTCCCTCTCCACAAAACCTGTTAATTCCTTAAACTACTAACTACGTAGTACCTTTTAAGTAATACAGCCGGTTGGACCCATATATAATTAAAAATAAAATACATAATTAGTTATTCGAATCGTAAACTTATGTAAGCTCTTAGATCAGTTCGTTACATGAACAAGAAAAATATATATTATTATTTTTATTACCATATTAAATATGGTAAAGAGGAAAGTTTCCAAATCATGGTCGAAGAACTTCTCGAGCCTGTGGTCGATTACGAAGAGTACCTCCATGAAGCGAGCTGCTGGTGAGCCACGTTTTTCATCACTCGGCGGGCAGACATCATCCTCGTTTTCCTCCTTATCCTTATCCTCAGGTTTATCTCTTTTCGGTCTTCCATCGGTCGTATCGATATGTATCATATTGTTTATTGAATTTTTGATCGACCCTTCAATCTTACGACCGTATTTTAATTCGTATTCCAGCCTTTCTTTAAGAGCCTCTTCAAGTTTTCCTATTCCAATAGATAAGATCAATTTAACTTTTTTTAAAAATTACACACATATATTTTTACTCTTGTAAATAAAATTAGTGGATAGCATAGGCCTAGTATTGAGGAGTGGCCCGTGACCCCTCCCCAACTAATTTGAAATAAATTAAAGCGTTAAAAAAATTTAGTTAAAATCGGAAGATTGTAGAAAACTTAATGAAAGTCGCTTTTTCTTAGCTTTAAAGAAGTTATTAACAACTATAAGATTCATAAAAAATTTCTTGTCCGCACTCCTCTCCCCCCTCCCACGAGCGGATCTACCCGAGGGGGAGGGGCTTTGGGGCTGAAGCCCTCCCAAAATGGTAGAATATAAACATGTCTTATAAAAAAAATTAATAATTACCTCCAAAAATATTACTGTTCGTGTAATTACGTTTGGTAGCACTTAAAGAATCACTTAAACTCTATTTCATATAGATAGGTAGTTCCCTTCTTTTTCTTCCTACGTAATTATCGTTACATGTTTAAAAAAAAAAAATCTTTCGGGCTGAAGTCCCCCCCCTCCCAAAATCTAAATCCTGGATTCGCTAATGCTTCTCCTTAAAATAAGTTTAGGATATATTAATCATTTGAAAGTGTGCCTATTCGAGAGGAAACCGGCCACAATTCTCCCTTTCATCTCCGAATCAATTTGTTTCATGATTGAGAGTTAACATGACATGACATTAAGGTATTAGACATGAAGGAAAGGACATATAGTGAATTGTGACAAAATGGAATTAAAGTTAGTGGAGAAGGCACATTTTTAAACATACGTGATGAAAAATGATATTATATAGTATTAATGTAAATATTAATTGACAGTTTTAAGCTGGTGTGAGCATAGAAAAAATAAAATATAATTCAAAATAAATAAAAGTAATCCCCTCTTTCAAAATAATAATAATAAACCTCAAAATAAATGAGTATTTTTTACTTTCACTTTTTTTATTTATGAAATTTACAACTGTATAAAAAACAAATATACGTCTAGAAAATGTGATACAATGACATGAGAACACTTGATAGAGAAACCACCCATTGGAAACACTCTTATAAAATTTCTAAATTAGGTGATCACGGGGCCATTTTCTTTTCAGACGCATCGGAGGGTTATCAGGGATCAAAAAAGAAACAAGGTTAGGAACGAGAGGATTCGGATGGTTATGAAATTTATTATGGAAGGATAGGATACGTTTCTGTATTGGATCAAATCGGAAACGTATGGAACGTCAAGATCTTTATTAAGGATTATTTGATTTGTGATAAAGTAAAGAGCATTGAGGATTTCACGAAGGATTTTGGATTGTGAGTATTGGATACGAGAGGAATTCGATAGTTTAGTGGAGCCCCAAAGCCCAACTCCGTAAATCCAAATAGGACATATTACATTCACATACATGAGTCTTTTATAATTAATTGCAAGCTTAGAGTGTTTGTTTAGTAAGTGTTGGAGTAAGCGGAAACGTCGAGCAGTTTCTTGTCGCTTCAGTCTTGTACTAGGATTCTAAGTGAGACGTTTGTCTAGGTGGATTCCTAGGTATAGAATTTGTTCAACAGGGATAAGAGGGGTGTTATTAAAGAATACTGTAGGCCAGGAAGTCAGAGGTTTACGATGGAGGTTAAAGGTGATTTGATGGGATTTATTGGAATTTGTTTTAATGCTCCAGTTTTGACACCATTCTTCAAGGCATGTGATGTGTGATTGAAGAGATTAGGATGCAATTGATGGATCGTTATTAACTATTAGGATACACTTGTCATCGGCATAGGTAGTGATGACAGTGTTAGGATAGGTTGGGATGTCAGCTGTATAAACTGTGTAAAGAATTAAACCAAGGATACTAACTTGAGAGCACGAGCAGATTGAGAAAAGAGGGCTGAATATTCATTATTGTGATTTATTTTGAAGTGTCTTATCAGTAAGGTAGGAACGGATGATGAGAAGGTGTGTAGGAGAAAGGAATTTACGGAGTTTGTAAAGCAATCCCGGGTGCCCGACTCAATCAAACCCCTGTTCAACGTCGAGAAATACTCCTAATACATTCCGTGTACCAATGTAGAGGATACAATGTCCATCGCACGATGACATTGATGGATAGTAGAATGGTATGAGCGGAATCCAAATTGGTGATCAGGGAATATGTGATTAGAATCTAGGATGGGATACAGGAGTTGTAAGGTAAGTTTTTCTAGGAGTTTGCCTCAATGATTATAAAATATAAAAACGAAAAAAATAAAGTATAAAAATGAAAATGAAAGACACTCATATCAAAGGGATTATTATTAAGTGTATTGAATGTTTATCATACAATTACTAATTGCTTTTTATTTTGTAAAATAAGCAAAAACAGCTTACCCTTAGTCCCACAATTTGTAACATTTGCAGTTGTTTTAATGTCACTCCTTTTGTAAATATAATGTACGTGATATTCGCTGCTTTCGTTTTCGTCCAGAGAAGGTTCTATTAAATATTCTTCACCGGGTACCACTATGTTGCCAGCCTGTATTAAATAATATGCGGCAATGAAAATCGGTATTGATAAATAATAACAACAAATACGCACATTTCTGTAATTTATCCTGAGTTTATTTGACCCAGGGGTGTCTAGAAGGGGGTTTCATGGCGCAAGTTGCGCCGTCAAATTTTTTTAGGGGTCATATTTTGACAGATTCTTGAATTTTGGAGGGAGGCGAATTTCTAAATGGTCATGAATTTTTGGACTAAATGACAAGGGGGAAATTTGGAAGGGACTGCAGCAAGTGTAATTGTATGTGGTCTGCGATTTTTCTAATTTTACCTCAGCTTGCTCTGTTTTTAAGAAAAATGAAGCACTAAAATATCTTGGGAGGTGGGGCAGAGGGGGGAGGGAGATTCGTAGGCCATCGACCTTGGGGGGGGATAGTCACTCCTGAATTGACCAATCGTATTTTATATATTCTAAGTTCCATTTTGGTACTTTCCACGTCACTATTATATTATATATGCCCATCATTCAGTAATTTCCCTACCCTCGTAACCCTCAGCGAATTTATTTCACTTGTTGGGTAATTTTCTTAGTACTCATATGACGGCATGCCTTTGTTTTGACTTTTTTTTGGCTCCTATCCATTATTTATGGATATGTAATTATTAGGTATGATCACTAAGGAGCCACGATATTAACTTAGTAAAAGGAAAAAAATGTTGTGTTTGAAAATAATATAAATTCGTCCGAAGGAGCAAAGGGCGTACTTGTCCCTGAGGGCAGGATTTAGTACGAAGAGAATTTTGAACAAAAATTTATTTTAGGTTTAGTAGAAAGCAGAGGTGCCCAGAAGGGTGTTTCATGGCGCAAGTTGCGCCATCAAAATTTTTGAGGGGCACATTTTGAATTTTTGACTTGGTCAAATTTTGATGGGGCTATGGATTTTCGGACGAAGAGAAAGTGGGAAAATATGGAATAGACCACAGCAAGTGTTATTGTATATGATCTTTTTAAGAAAATGTGAGCAATGAAATATCTTAGGAGAAGGGGAGGAGTAGGTTCTTGCGGCATCGGCCTTGGGGGGATGAGCACCTCTGGTAGAAAGTGTTTTTTTTTATGTTTTTTTTAAAGTCTTAATTAATAATGATTTGGTCAGGTTTTTTCAAGAAGAAGAGAGAAGTAATAAAATGTCTTGAGAACGAGAGATTCCTATGCCATCGATTTTAGGGAGAAGGTACACACTTGGGTTGTACTATGATTGAGAAACGTCGAGCGTACTTTTTTCCTCTTCTGTAATAATAACATCGGCCTTAATTCCATAATGTTTAAGTAACCGTAATTGTTGAGTTAATATATAACTATGAAATAAGTGTAATTTTTAAGTATTAAATCCCAAGTTTTCACTTGTTGAATCAAAAACAACTTACTAAACCATAACATGTTGACAGAGCGGCTCTGGACTTATCTATTCCTTTGACGAAACCGTTGTAATGGCATTGAGTGTTCCTAACCTGCCTCACAGCTATCTTGCTTTTATTGTCCCTCATGTAGTGGGTTTCAACCACCATTCCAGGGGACAGGAACTCACTACTTGGCCACAAAGTGACGTGGTGGTCCATCCCATCAAGGGGGACGATGTAGTGCACCTTTTCGCTTTCGGTATCTCTTTTCTTCCTTCCAGCTGAGTGGAAATGTGGAATATAATGAGACAGGAATACTCCATCTTCATTAACTTTACGTGGAACGGTTGTCTTGTATTTATCCACATACGACGTATATCTGTCTGAAATAATAATCTGTTAAATCCATGCCAAGATTGATTCACAATTGAATATATAACAGAAATTCACCTCTTATACTATAGCACAATAAAAAAAGATTTAGAAAATATATTAAGAAAGTTACATTAAGACTCCAATTTAGAGCAACGTTAGTAATATTAGTCATTTTTTTTTAATAAGGATTATTTAGTTTTTTCACATGAATTGGAATCATGTTAGATAACAACGAAGGGGTTTTATTGTACCTTTATCACTAATCTGTATTATATAAAATGCACTTTTTGTTTATAATCATCTGTTCTTATTTTATTAATTAGAGCCCCAAATTTCACGAAGACGTGTTATAACTTATGATATAGGGATTTTTCTTGCTTGGATTTAACATTCTCAAAAAAATAGTGTCAAATAGATGTTTTAAATAATTAATTTTAAAAATATTTTCAAATTAGTAATCTAATATCAGTATGAATCAAGGCCATGTTGGCCGAGGCAGCACTCGAGACTATTCGCATCAGAAAATTAAATTATGCATACGTTTTTCTTTAATTAATTTCGAAAGCATTCTTTTAGATCAATGTGTTATAGTTGAGTCGGTGAAAAGCCAAGCCCTTTCTGCTTTTTGTAACAGCACGACCACACAAATTGCAAAAATATGCCAAATTGTTCAATGATCTACATTGGTCGAATAATGTATCCGCTGCATTTGGCATATGTTTGTATTTTTTTATTATATTTTCCACCTAATTAGCCATTTATGGTATCCGGGAGAGAGAGAAGAGGGTAGTTCTTCTGGTAAACGACCTATTCTAACCAGAGTAGGGAAGTCATCATAATTCATTACGTGGGGCCACCACTAAATAAACAGGTTGCTAAGGTGATGCCTTAACACTCTCGGCCAGTACAGCCTCGAACTATTTTTCATATTTTTCACCTTGCCGTAAAGGATTCCGATTTCCGAAGTGTTTGAGAACACAATCCTGCAACACTGTGCGTCAAGTAGTGAGTATCATAGTAAAAAAAAGAAAAACTAAGTTGTGTGCTTTAGACTACAAGATAGAAGTGAAAACATTAACAAGGCGAGATTAATAATATGAAATATAAATTTAAATAATAGCTCATTATACAGAGAATAAAATACTGAACATTTCCCTCGCTTACAGTACTTTAGTCCGATTTTTAATTTCTGAGATATTTTAATCAGTATCTTCCATAAAACTCGTCATTTGGTTTTAAACACTATTTTTTTTTTCCTTTTCGCTTATCTAACACGGCGTCGCGTTAAGATACAATTTTAAATAATAGCCCATTACAGAGAGAATGAAACGTTGAACAATTCCCTCGCTTACAGTATGCAGGCCCGATTTGTAGTTTCTGAGATATTTTAATCCATATATTCAATAAAACTCGTTGACATTTGGTTTTCAACACTATGTTTTTCCTTTTCGCTTATCTAACACTACGTCGCGATAACATACAATAGATACAAACGCGATAAACAATAGCTCATTGCAAAGAGGATGAAATAATGAACATTTCTCTCGCTAACAATATGCAGGTCCAATTTTTAATTTTTGAGATATATATATACAAAAACGGTTCAATTACTCGACTCCAGCCGACTTTGCCCGAGCGTTACACGTCGTAAATCTGACGGCTCAATCTAATTCATTCCCCACAAATAAGTACAAGAAGCAACTAAAGAAATTTTCAGTTCAAAAAATCAAATGTAGTGGGGCACCTAGACCATTTGGGAGACAGGGCAGATTAATGTTTGAGGCCCATAAAAGAATTTGTAAATTAATAAAATTAAAAAAATAAAAGGTTTTTTTATTTAATTTTAAGAATAATGTTCTTAAAATTCGTTACAAAGTCCCAGTAGAAGATTTTTTTACAACCTATAAAGAAGGAAATGTGGAAAATGTGACAGAACAAATAGCAACAAAAAGTATCTAAATTAAAAGAAATAAAAATCCACCGTTCCAAACGGAAAACTCCTAACCAACTCTCTAGGAAAGATGAAACAGTCCTCTGGCAATTATGACTGGGTACTGTGAATTTTCACATGTCTATCTACTCTTAATGGACTAGACCATCTAAACTGCGATATTTGTAAGATTCAAAGAACTCATCATTAAATACTGCTCTATATTTGATTTTTTAAAAATAATAAAACTTTATAACAGGTAGTGGCAACAAAAAAAACATATAAGTAATTCTACTCGTTTTTTCTATTTATGATGTCATTAATGATTTTATGGCCCTGTTTGAATGTGGAGCTCGGAGTGGTCCCTGCTAGGTAAATAATTTAGTAATGAACATTGTAAAAGAGTTTAATATTTAACAGATAACATAATTTATGGGGCTTGTTTGCTTTTCTTGGTCACTTTAAGACCTATTCATCAAGCAGAGCGCACAATTAATTCTCCCCACCCCTTCCACCCTGTTCCAAAATTGAAGTGTGATTTCTAATGTAGACGGGGTATATTTTTTTTCTTCTCAGACTTTCTCCCGATTATCAACATTTTCATCCTCTATAAATAGTACTTTAAATCACTGGCGGATATACGGAGGGGAGAGGGGAAGAAATGCAGGTTATACACCGTTTCTCTTTATCCCCCAAAGTAATTACTGCTTAAATTTTTTTTCTACATCCCCTTAAAATTAAATTCTGGATCCGCTACTGCTGTAAACCAGGGGATTTCTCCATTAATTCTTATTAGTATCACTATATCTCATTCGTTCTCCGACTGATTTTTGGATTTCTTTTTCCTTTTCCTCAATATTCGTCTGTTAGTTTAATTTTAATAGCTTGACATATTGAAAAAAAAAAATTGAAATCTTATTTTATTGAGAAAAAGTACATTTTGCCTCAATAAGAGGCATTGAATATTTGAGATGTGAGAAACTCATTCATACAACATGTACAATTACAAAAATAGTAGAAATTATAACAAAAATAACAGAAAGAAAGTTTAGTAAAACAGATGAAATAAAATATGATACAACATAAATAAATAAATCAATAAGAAAAAAATGTATTCATGCTTATTTACAATATTTAAAGTCAGCCGAAGGAGCTCCAAATCGGGCTCTTTTCCCCACGTGTGGAAGATAAGCCAAGATTCTAAGAGATCCCAGAGATCGCTTCTCTCTCAGCCGCATCACTGAGATGGGGATCCAGTGGAGACTGAGAAAGGGCACTATAGCCACATACGCTCATGATTTGAATGGAGAAGCTGGCCATTGCCAGGACTCCAATGGTGTATTTACAAAAGATCTCGAGGACACTGCCTTTTTAATCTTCAAGAAGGATTGTAGGGATGACTAGAGCTGGATATGGATTGTGTTAAGGGATTAGGATGATGGATTAGATTTTGATGAAAATTTGAGAAACAGGATGGAATAACGTCAAGGACATAAAAGATGTTAAGCTCATGATGTAGTTTAGTTTGTAACATAATAAGCAACATTTACTATTGTACAAAGGACTTAATTGGATGCGTTTGATGTTCGAAAATTTAGTTGTCCCCCAAACTTCAAGTCCGTAGGTCCAGATGGGTTTCAGTATGGTACTGTATATTAATAGTTTGTTTTCAATTGAGAGGTTAGATTTTCTGTTAAGTAGTCTGTATAACTGGCCAAATCGTCGGTTAAGTTCTTGTCGTTTAAGTCTGGTATGTGAGCTCCATGTTAGTCTTTGTCTAAGAGGAATCCAAGATACGGAACTGTGTCTGAGATGGGAAGAATATAATGCCCCCCGTTGAAAAGGATATGTGGACAGGATCTGCGTCAGAGGATAAAGGTGCCATGCTTGCATTTGGATTCATCGATTTTGATGCGCCAATTTTTGCACCACTGCTCTATTAGGGAGATGTGTCTTTGTAGGTTTAGGGACGCTGTTTCAGGGTCCGGGTGGGATGATAGGATGGCGGTATAGTCAGCAAATGTTGCTAGAACGGTATCAGGATGAGTTGGTATGTCAGCTGTGAAAAGAATGTAGAGAAGTGGGCCTAAGACACTGCCTTATGATTGAAAAATTTAGTACCAAATATTCAAAATGGATCGAAGTGACAAATAATAATATATATATATATATATATATATATATATATAATTACAGTTTCGTGAATGCATGAAAGGCTACTCCCGATTTACTCGTGCTGATTCTGTACAATTAGAACTAATGGTATGTCGTATCGAATGTTAATGTGTTAGCTTCTCAAGGGGTTTCCAGATTTTTTTATGGCCATTGATTGCATCTACGTTAGTGTTATCTTTCCCATCATAAAAATTAAATAGAAAAAAAATCAGTATTTACCATTAAAACCAAGAGGGGTCTTGTGTTCTGTCCTCATTAAGGAAGTGCTGTTTCTAGGCCAACGGATTTGCAAGGAAGTGATGTGGGGTGGGTCTACTCATCCGCTTGGTTGTTTTCCAATTAAAAGTATAATGCTCCCCGTATTTAACATAATAAATAATTATCCACCACAACTAGGCTTGATCCGAGATAAAAGTGACCACTATTATAAAATTATACTAAAGATAGTAGCGGAGGCCTCCGTGGTCTTACGTTTTAAAGCCTTACTCACTATACCATGCTTCATTCTGAAGCAGCGCCGATTCAAACCGGCCTGGACGGGTTGAAATTTATATCCTGGAAGAGCCATGGAATAAATATCCACTTTTCCAGTCTGGCTTAAATAGATTAGTAACTTTTAGTGTAATCCCTTATTTCTGGCCTTATTGAAGAAGATAAAGGCGTTAAATCCAAACAAACAAAAGCATTTTAACTAACCAAGGTTTTAATATTCATTAATAATTTTGTTAGTTACTATGTTTTAAGACTAAGTGCCCCAATTCTTATTATATTCAAAATTAAATTGAATTTAGAAAATGAATATTGTGAGTTAAACTTTGACTGTTACTAGTTTTATTATTTTGTATTTGAGTTAATTATCGACTTGATAGATTAATTTTTAAATATTTACTGCTTAAAAAATTCATATATTCGAAACGAAAATATTCAACAATGAAAATTGTATGTAATGTTTTATTTATTTTACTGGCTACACTGAAGGTTAGTTCAAACGTTTTAACCGCCAAAGCTGTAACGGTTCCCTGCTTGTTACAAGTTTAATGTTTAGTGCTGTGTTGTAGATTTGAGCAATTTCTACGTGTTTTGTGCGCTTTTTATATTTATATATCGAAATATATTAAAAATGGATAAGTACAGTAAAATAGAAAAGATAGGGGAAGGAACTTACGGTGTTGTTTTTAAGGGTAAGAATAAGAAAACTGGACAGCTCGTCGCTATCAAGAAAATCAGAATGGAAAGCGATGATGAAGGTATCCCATCCACTGCTTTGAGAGAAATTTCTTTATTAAGAGAACTAGAACATCCCAATGTAGTGGGGTTGTTAGAAGTACTAATGGAAGAAAATAGATTATATCTCATTTTTGAATTTTTGTCTATGGATTTAAAAAAATACTTGGACTCATTCGAATCTGACAAATTTATGGATCCTAAAGAGGTGAAATCATATCTGTTCCAAATACTAGAAGCTATTTTATTTTGTCATAAACGCCGTGTGTTGCACAGAGATTTAAAACCCCAGAATTTATTGATTGATGGCAAAGGAGTTATTAAAATTGCAGATTTTGGATTGGGGAGAGCATTTGGAATACCAGTTAGAGTTTACACACATGAAGTCGTCACTTTGTGGTATAGATCCCCTGAAGTACTTTTAGGATCCACCCGTTATTCATGTCCTGTTGACATTTGGTCTATTGCTTGTATTTTTTCAGAAATGGCTACAAGAAAGCCATTGTTTCAAGGAGACTCAGAGATTGATCAACTATTCAGAATATTTAGAGTTCTTCGTACACCTACTGAAAAAACCTGGCCTGATGTAGTAAAACTACCAGATTACAAACCAACATTTCCTAATTGGACCAAATATACTCTGGATTCTCATGTGAAAAATTTAGACAAACAAGGATTGAATTTGTTAAAAGAGATGCTTATTTATGATCCTGCCTTGAGGATTACAGCAGAAGAAGCTTTACAGCACCCTTATTTTGATGGTTTTGACAAAAAAACTATTCCTATTGATTATGATGCAGTTTATTAGTGCATTATAAATAAGGAAAAACATGTCATATGAATTTAATAATTTTGGTTAAAGTGTGTAATTACATTTTGAATTTTGTTGATTAAACTTTACAGTATTTTAACATTTTATGTTTGTTGTTTTTTTCTACAATATTGATTTCTTTAAGAATGTTATGTAGTTTTTCTAGTCTTGCTTGATTACATTTTATACTTTCTGCAATGTGTTATACATTTTACAACTGAGTTTGGTTGATTGTAAATAAATTTATTAGTTTTGTGTACAGAAAAAAAAAAAAATCAAATGGGATCCATGTCATTAATGCGTATCATTTGGGAAAGAATATCTAATTAACTAATTCCATTCTGTATAAGTAATAAATGTATATACTAGAATAAGTTTTATATAATAAACCTTTTATATTTATGTATAAATTGCTGTTTTTAAATATTTTTTACTGAATTCCTCCTCTATACCTATTGCAAAGCTAGTTATATATTCCGATCAGTTTTTAATTTGATTAGAAATATATATATGGCTTAGATTAGTTTAGAATTTCATTATTCTTGGTATGCTATTGTTATGAAGAGTTCTTCAATTTTATTTAGTTAAAAATAGAAAGTGGGTATTCATTCATTATCTCAATTTTAAAATATATATTAATTTAATTCATGTTCATCAGATTGCTTGATTTATCTTTATGTTTATAATATATTTTAATGCTTAACGAAAATTTTGTTCTGATTGAAGCAGTCTTCTAGTTTATTTTATTTTGACTTGTTCTATCACATAACATCCTTTTTTATTGATAAGAAGTCGATGAAGTATTGAGTGATGAAATGATTCTAGGTAATTGGAATGTAGTAAAACTGGCATACTGAGCCTACTTTAATAATAAATATTCAAAGCAGTTATACTTCCTTGCAATAATTCTACCATCTATATTACTCATAACAATGTGTGATAACAAATCCATCTGAAATTGACATGATGCTGATATTTATTTATTGAATGACAAGTTTTGGTTTTAAATAATTATCAAACACGAACATATATTTTCCTCATCTGAATTGATTTTGATAATGTGTAACAACAAGCAACCAAAATGTTGATTATATTCCCTCTTTTATTTTTTAACACATTCTTATTCCAATTTTATTATAATCGTAATAATTTTTTTTATTTCTTTTCAAAATGGCCAGGCTCATTTACATTTATTAAGTTGTTCCTACCTGGGCTAAGTCTATTAGAACTGTGACTTACTGTAGTTGCTATTTTTTCAAAATTGCAAAAAAAATATGAAAAAATGGTATTGTTCCAAAATGAAAATCATTCATAATTATGTTGAAATCATTTTTAAATTAATTCATTCTTTAGTCTAGTATGATTATTTGAAATGTTGGATAGATTCGGTTAGAAAAATAAATCAAGAGCTAAAAATATTTGTGTGGGTATCAAATGAATTTTATAATTGAGAACTTGGTTGGGATGTCCAGTCAAAAAGTAAAGTAAAAATAAATAAATTATATTTATTTTTGCCAAAGTTTTGGCCTTACCCTTATGTTCAGGCCTTAGGGCTGAGAAAAAACAAGATAACATAGATATGAGTAAACTAGTAAATGGTAAAAGTAATAATATGTAGGTAAAAGATATAGTGTTAATAGTCTACCCAACAGTGCCCTGCGCTGGTTCAAATCGGTCCCAGTATGTAGTTGTCCCAGGTCAACCTCCATCTAAGACTCTCCCCCTCTCTTGTGTCCCTCTCTATCTCCTACTCTGTTTGCAATTTACATCAATGACCTTCCCCTCCTGATCCGGCACTCCCAATACCATATCTATGCAGATGATTTCCAAATACACCTATCCTTTCCGCCCTTAGACCTATTATCAGCCAAAGAAAAACTTCAAGAAGACTTGGATAGGATTTGTGACTGGGCAAGAGCAAACAAGTTGAAGTTGAATGTGGAAAAGACAAAGGCAATCTTAATAGGCTCCAATCACCTCCTTAAAACTGTTCCTACACAATAATCCCATCAAATTTCACCCCACCATCAAAAATCTTGGAATAACCATTGATCAAACGCTTTCGTGGAAAAACCATATATCCAATATTTCCCGCCATACGATTTTCACCCTAAAACGTCTAATTATTCCCGTCACCTATTTCCTTTTGAAATCCGTAGGCTCCTAGTCACTTCCTTAATTTTTCCCCACTTCTATTGACTATTGCTGTACGGTATACGGGAGCGTCTCTAGGAATCTCAAGGCGAAACTAAAATGTTTGATAAATTGCTTTGTATGATTCATCTTCGGGATGCCTCTGTTTCCCATTTTTATGCGGAGTTTAAGTGGCTTTGTCCTTCCTATCATCGTAAGTATTTCCTGGAATCCTTCCTCTTTCAAGTCATCCATTCTTACCATCCCTCATACATCTCCGAGCTCCTTCAATTCAAATCCTCTCTTCGTTCCCGGTCTTCTGATTTATACATAAGGACCCACCAAACTGCTGCTTTCGACAAATCATTCATTATCCGATCCTCATCTCCCACATCCATCAATCCAATACCCTTCCTACCTTTAAATCCTGCCTGTTCAATCATTTCTTATCCGTCCATTCCCATAAAATGGTAAATAGATACTACTGTAAATATGTACATAAATTATTAGTTCATTGCATTAAAGCCGATCTGAAGGGACTGGGTTTGGGCGGCGAACGGTGGAGGGAGGTGTGTAACAAGCGATTGGTGGTGTCGGCATCGAACCTTCGGGTTCGCTAAGCCTTATTATTATTATTATTATTATATTTTTATTTATGTATCTCTGAGGCTCCTTAGCTCACATTTTTGTCTTGCTGTATTATTCTACAGGGACTCCCGAAATAAATAAAGTATTATTATTATTAATAACATGTAGGTAAAAAAAACTCGCACATGCATACGCACTGGTAATATTCAAAACCAGCGGCAGCGGTTTAGATTGATTAAGAATGGAGTCTGAGTTGAATAGTGGTTAAAATAATGAAACGGCCATTAAATATTCTTATGATTTTTTATTTTTATTTCTTTATCATTTTAAAAAATATAACAAAAATTTTAACATAATTTTTTTTATTTTTGTATATTTGGAACAATAAAATAAACAATAAACAAAATAAAATTATATCTGTTCTTTTCCATTATTTTTAACTTTCAAAAAGTAACAATAAATATGAGTTCTTTAGAAATTGAAATCAGTATCCAATTCTTCATCAGAGTTGTCCATGATAGAAAATACTGTTTGAGAAAAATTCTTCTGTGAATTAATTTCTGGATTAACACGTTCAGTTCCATTACTGTGACTAGGGAATTTTTGCAATGCAGAATTAGACGGTATAGCTCCAACAGTTTTATCGTCCTTCTCCACAAAAGAAAACATTTTTAATTTGTTTTGAGTTTTGGGAGAAATTTTAGGAATATTTTTGCATTCCATAAACCTGGACTTTGAAACATTTTCAGAAATATTACCACTATCAGATGCATCATCATTGGTTAAATTAGGTGTTGCAGGAATTTTAGCTTCAATACTGTCTTCTTCATGGTGATTAGATATATATTTTTTGTTAAAAACACTTTCATAAACTAAGTTTTCTTCATTAGAGTCAGTCAAATTATATCTTCTCTTTTTATTCTGTGGTGTTTTACCATTAATGGAGTCAGGAGAGCATATTTCAGCATTCTGTTTGGAACTTTGCTTGGAATTGTCAGTTTCACCAAAAATGCTTTCATATATGAAGTTGTCTTCACTTTTATCTCCAGTTTTTTTATTTTTCTTATTTTTCCCCCTAGTTTTATCATTATCCTCAACAGTATTAGACTGATATGTTTTACAACCCCCTGGTTCGAGCATGTGTTGAGATAGAATACTTGATTTATCAGTTTTGTTGAAAACGCTTTCATAAATTGTCTCTTCATCACTTGTAACTTTCAATAAATCACAGTTTATTTTATGTTTTCTTTTACCTTCATTGCTTTTATCCTGGTTTACTTCGGGTGAATGAAGATCTTTAACTCTATTTTTTTTCTTTTTCCTTTTATTAGATTTTAAATTTTCTAGTTCTTTTATTTTCTCTGTTTCCACTGATATCTGCTTACGACATAACATCTTTTCATTGTTAACTTTTGATTGTTTTATATTATTTAATATTATATCCAATTTTTTGTTGATGTCAGAAACAGATGGCTCTGGTATTACATTTTCTTCTATTATTTGATTTTGACAAAGTTCTGAATTAGCAGTTATCTCAGATCTAAATGATGCTACTTCCTTTTCTAAAATGTCGTTCAATCCAAGTCTCGTCAAGATTTCTTCGGCTGAAAAAATACATAGGTATAAAGACATGACCCAAAATGAATGATAATAATTCTTTACAAAGAATAGTCTAGTCATTATAAGCAGTTTTTTAATAGTTTTAATTTGCATTAAAGAATTGTATATTAACTATAGACTGATAATTTTGAATTGATTTTAATCATATTTGTATATTGTTTTTTTATTTGGAGTTTTGCGTCCTAATGTCCTCTAACCACAATAAAAATGATGAGGTTATATGTAACCAACCTATTCTAGTTAGAATGAGACAAGGTGAATTAATAATAAGATAGACTTAAATGGGTCTGCAAACTCGAATGATATATTTCAGTGGCGTCATTGGCCTTTTCCATCCTCAACGTCCTCATTTTTTCTAATGATAAAACCAAAAAATGAAGGGCAGTTAAAATAATTAATTAATCATTAATAAATAAGAAATCCCTAATTAGAATTGTAATTTGTAATGAAAGGTCATCTCTCAATAATATTCAAATTATTTGCTGTCAGTTTCAAAATATGTTATATTGGGAAATTTAGCAATGTTTCTATAAGAAACAATTAAAGATTTGTTGAAAACCTAATAAAAAGCACTGCAAATTATATCGCAAGGTTTATTATTTTTAAACAATAATACATCTAAAGTAACATTACCTTCTTGTTACAAAGAAAAATAAATAAAAGTGTAAACTTTTTGAGTTATTCGGAATTTAATTTTACCATCCCTCGTAACTTTTTTTCCAGCTTCTTTTCGTTGATGTTATATAGATAAATTTAAAGGGCGTCGAGAAAATAACTTTAGCGAAGTTTCATTGAAATCGGTACATTCGTTTAGGAGCTACAGTCAATAGCAACACAGGTTTTTTGGCCGTCATTTTGAAAGTAAAAGGCGGATAGTAATGTCGATGAAGGAGGATCATCCTCAAGTGACCTCTGATTTTATATCCTAATTTGAAAAAAATCGGTCCAGTAGTTTCAGAGAAAATGCGCGGAAGGAGGAGACAAACAATTTTTTATTCGTTTTTCAAATTCTACACATCCTGAAACGTGAAACCTCAAATTTTGAGGGGGGATAAGTTTTTGAATTTTTTGGTCGATCACACTGGTTGATTATTGAATATAATAAACCAAAAAAATCTTATCTGATTACAATATGTTCCTTACCTAGATGGAAAGTAAAAATCAATAATTGTGATTTCCAAATAGAATTAGTAGAATAGAGTCAAATACTTTTGATCTGTAATCTAATAAGCAATGCTTCTAAAATAATCCAACTTGCGTCTTGCTCTCTAGACTCACATTTTCATTTTATTCTTTATTCCTTGTAATATATTACCAAGATTTATATTTTATTTCTTGTTACTGAAACAATAGTTATCAGTAATTTTTATTTTTCGGAGGCATAAATTTATTTCTTAATGACAAATCGCTACTGAGATCTACGAGCAGCTTTCGGGCTGAAGCCCTATCCCCAAAATAGTAAAATATAAGCATGTCTTATGAAAAAAATATTTAATAATTATCTCTAAAAGTATTATTGTTCATGTAATTACATTTAATAGTACTTAAACTCTATTTCATATATAGATAGTTAATTCCTTTCTTTTTCTTTCTAAGTAAATATTGTTATATATTTTTTTTTAAATCTTTCCGGCTGAAGCCCCCCAAAACTAAATCCTGGATCCGCTAGTGGTTTGATGTACTATCAAAACATATTCATTTACATCTTGATCTTGGGTTATCAATACATAAATCTATTTTGATGGTTGCTACAATTCCATTCGTATGGAACTGAATTAATAATTGGTAAAATTAAAATCTCAATTCAAATAAAGTTGATTATATTTTAATCCAGATGAATATTATAATTTCAAACCTATTCTTATGGCATTTGGCAAAAACTATTACCTTGTTGTATGTATTCTTCAGTTGGGTTCAAAGGAAACATTGTCTGAACAGGATTAAAACAAGCTAAATTGAATGTTGAACCATGCGCACTGCATTCCATTAGTGAAACACTTATGATTGCGTCTTGGACTAAAACCATATCTCTGTACATGAGCCTTGCATGGGCCTGAGCCAATCTGTAAGTTATTAAGTGTAAGTTAATATTTGTAATTATTATATTATATGTTTTATATAAAAATTTATTACTTGGGGAAGAGTAATAATTAAAAATTTTATTTAAATTGTCAAATTATTTGCATGAGAAAAATAAGTGGTCAAAGCTTTTTGAGTAATGTAAAAATTAGGTCTAAATGAAAAAACCATCTAATTGTAAAATACAGGGTGTCCAAAAATAATGAGTGTTATTTATTCTTTGAATTACTATAAGATGTGTTGGGACCGCAAAGGGAGGAGCGGTTAATATTGAGTCCAGTTCTTGGAATTTTAGTACCAGAGGAATCATTCGCTAAATAACAATGAGCTTTCTTTGTCCGAGTGTTACCAGAAAAAATACTGCGATTACATTTCATTATTTTTATCAATGACATTTTTAAACACGAAGTGCAGCCAATACAAATATTAAAAAATTATATAAAAATATTTAAATCAATAGTGTAAACCATTAAAATTCAAAATGCTTTTCTCCCTCCCTGATCATTTTTGGCACATGGGGTATTATCCTACAGGTTATCAAAAATTGGGAAGGTTAAGATTCAATCCATGAGTCCCCCAGGAAGTAAATTTTCAACAGATCCCACATGACTTAAGGTCGCTAAGGTGATGGCTTAACATTCTGATGGTATGTTATTTATCTATAATACTAGTATCACAGTAAAATATTGCTTTTTTTTTTTTTTTCCTACAACTAAATATAAAATCTTTCATAGTTTATATTAATACATTTTTACTACTATTAACTATGAGAGACAATCAATAATTTCAAATACACAAAATTAAAGACTATCTAGAGAAAGCAGTAAAAAGATTTTGACATTTAAGTTCTGTCAAACCATTATGATGAGGATAACATTTAGCTAAACACCATCTAAAGATATTGATATAACAACTTTAATCAAAATCGTTCAGCTATTTTCGAGAAAATTATGAATAAGTGTAAACTCAACAATATATAATAGCAATAAACAAAATTTAATAAAATAAATTAAAAATATAGGTTCTTAAATAATCACCTTATTAAACTTTCAAGAAGACGTACTGTCGTATGAGAAACATTCAATGAATCATTTCTCCGCTGAAAGTGATAGTATTCTCTCAAAATTATCATTGCTTCGGGTGTCAGCTTAGGAAGCATAGTTTTAATAATGCAGTAATATGCTTGTAATTTTTCAAGGCTCCACAAACTCGATCCAGATTCAGGCAACATTTTTCCCACTAATATAAAGGAAGAAATTAATCTGAAAATCAAAAATTATAGAATTTACATTAATCTTTCTGTAAATGGATATAACATCCATGTGTTTGATAAGGCTCTGCCTCTATCTGCTTGTGGAAAGTGCTTAAGGGTCAACATGCTTGTATTTGTTCTCACCACGATTTACAGTGCTACCGTTTTGTCGCGAGTCCTAAACTTAATCCAAATTCTTCCTTATTTATCATTTTATTTAAGAAATAGGAAAGAGATTTCGGTAAAAAGATGGATATGCAGGGCAGATGGATACGGATAGGCAGAGTGGCTACCAGATACTTAAAGTAAAATTCCCTGACTTTTCCCTATTTAATGATAGTTTTTCCTGAATTTATTTATTATAGATGAAAGACATTTATAATAAATAATGATGAAATCGGTTCTTCTCAATATTCCACTATCAGGGTTAAGACAAATTTTACTCGATAAGACTAATGAATATTTAAAATCAATTCGCTAAACCATTTGATGAACCTCAAACTAATATTTTGTGAAGACGGGTACAAAGATTCTGTTCCCAATACACTGTTTTAAAAAAAAAATAGCTATGAAACTGCGAGCATTTTCTTTCAATTAACCACTGAATGGAATTAACTTTAGCCGACAGTTCATGAGAATTATCAAGATGCTGACGTATTCAACGTGGTGAAACACAATTTTTTAAAAAGTTAATGCTAGACTGGACTCAACATTTTAAAATCGAAAAATGTTATAATGGACATTTATCTATAGACAGAATTACCATTAAGAAGTTCATTAATTTATTAAAAAAAATAAATATGTCCATATTGAAGAGAAGAATAGTTGGGGTGTTCAGTCAAAAAGGAAGGCAAAAATAAATTATAATATTTATTTTGTACGTATGCCGACGTCTCCACCTGAAGTTCAGGCCTTCATCAGGGCTAAGAAAATAAACAGATAACAAGGTATGAGAAACATAAGTAATGATGGTAAAAAAGATTAAAAAAAAAAAAAAAAAAAAAAAAAAAAAAAAAAAAAAAAAAAAAAATTATTAGAAAAATAAAATAGATAAATATAAAGTAAAATGAAATTGTTAGAATAATGACTAAGAACTAAGAGAAAAAAATAAAAACTGTTTCATAGTGTGGAATGATAAAGTAGGCATAATCAAAAACCCCCCTTTTTGATTATGCCTACTTTATCATTCCACACTATGAAACAGTTTTTATTATTTATCTCTTAGTTCTTAGTCATTATTCTAACAATTTCATTTTACTTTATATTTATCTATTTTATTTTTCTAATTTTTTTTTCTAATTATTTTTTTTTATTATCTTTTTTACCATCATTACTTATGTTTCTCATACCTTGTTATCTGGTTATTTTCTTAGCCCTGATGAAGGCCTGAACTTCAGGTCGAAACGTCGGCATATGTAAAAAATAAATATTATAATTTATTTTTGCCTTCCTTTTTGACTGAACACCCCAACTATTCTTCTCTTCATTATCCACGACAGTCAACCAATTACCAATTATAAATATGTCCATAGATGTATTTAAATTACAAATAATAAAAGTATTGTTAATTATAAATTAATAAATTATAGTATTGTAATGTTTTTCTTTTCAAATAAGCAGTTTTTTTTATATCATTTTGCTTAAATTTTATTCATTACCCTAGTTTGATTTTAAAATAACGACCAATGCCGTTATTGGCAGTCATAGGTGAATGAATAAAGCGACCGTGGTCATTGGTAAGGATGAAGTTTCTCCCTTCAAGATAAGCGCTATCCTCCTAAAAAATTCCTGACTTTTGCCGTTTTTCTAGGTCAGTCGCCACCCTGATAGATAACACAGATGATACCTGGAGTAACAAAGCTTCACAGCTTTATGTCATTGTATATCTGTAAGCTAACTTATCTAAATTTAAGATAGAGGTATGTGAGCGATTCCATGTACATCAAGTTCTCATCCCTGGCTGTTTCTGAGCCTTTTATTTTTAGAAGAAATTTTTAGGAAGTGCCAACTATTGCCCTTATTACCAGAAATAATGACTTTCCCAACCATTGAATTAATGAAAATTGCTATTATTATGCAAAATAAAATTATAATACAATGTACTTATAAATTAACTTTTACTACTTTTTCAGAAATTTAAATTATAGAAATATAAATAATATGTATTGTAGCTCCTTTAATAAATAAACATTTTCTTAATCTAAAATGTTTTGCACTAGCCTTTTTTTATAAGAAAAGTAATGGACTCATACTTCCCAAGGTGACCAAGTGACTCAACGAGAAATCCGTTAGAAAACACTAAGAACCTCTCTTGAAATTTCCTCAGATTTCACTCCTGAATAATTATTTTATCTAAACTTCATCTTAGTGAAAATTACAGTACAATAACAAATGTCCCATGAGTCCACCCTACTGGTACTGGTGGGAGGACTAAGTCCAACAAGTGGGCGTATTGGTCCTTTTTGCCAACCCCAAAAACAATACGACCAATGGTTGTCTATTATACCTCCAATTCTATCTCAAATCTTTTTATTCTTCTAATGAAGTTCAAAAGGTTGGAGGTACATTTTATGGAGGTAGGCTTCGTGTACATGTATTCTATCTGTGCCAGAAGTCTGTATCTGAGCGACGCAAATCGGTCGCATTCTGTAATGTAGTGAAGGGCAGTTTCTGGTGCGTTTCTACACAGATTGCAGAGTTCATCGTTTACTATCCTGCAGATCTTTCAGGCTAAAGCCAAAAAATGGAAAAATATTATCATGTCTTATGAAAAAAATATTAAAAACTTATCTGGAAAAGTATTATTCTTTTGGGTACTTAGTTTCTTTCTTTTATCTTCCAAATTAATTATTGTTACATTTATATATATAAATAACTTTCGGGCTGAATCTCTCTGCAAAATTAAATCCTGGATTCGCTGTTGCTTATCGTAAATACCTCCCTGCCAATTTCAATATTAATAATAAAAGTATGATTATAAGGTAGTAAAATACTACATATAGAATGAAATAATATACAGATTATGCCATAACAAGAGCTACATCTTTCAAATTTATCATTGAATTTAACATGAAATAGCAGGACCTACTCACTTATCCCATTGAGGATTTTTGTTGTCGAGAAGAATAAAAACAAGATCAAATCTACTCAATAAAGGACTGGCGATGGCGCAATTAACAGTAATTGGATGGGATGGGTCGTAATTCCCTTTAGGATTTGTTGCAGCCAAAATGGTGCACCTCGTACTCAACTTGCAAACCATGCCTGCCTAAAACCATTGAAAAATGTATATAAAAAAAAAAATACCAAAACTTCAAAAATTATAACAGAAATCTATAATTATTTTCTCGCAAAAGAAAAATCTACAATTTGTTATAGAAAGTTAAAAATGAAAAAAAGAAAATGATAAATAGTACTCAGAATTTTAATAATACACCAGAAGTGTAATAATACATTTATTTTCTTCTGTTAGAGGTTAAATAGTTGACTTCATATAATGTGGTAGAAAAGTTAATTGTGGGTTGCAGTTATAGTGAGAAACATTTTTATTGGTTTATTTATATTTATTTTATTAATGTTTAGTTATTTTTATTTTGACTACAACCACAAACTAATTTACCAACTATTTATTTTCCTCATTATTTAGAAAAAGACAGAAAATATTACATGAAATTACAACATTAGATGAAATTCTTTATTTAGTTAATATTATTTTTCTGGTTTTCCTTGCATTTATTTTTATGTTTTTTTAGTCTCCGCAATACTCACCTACACAATCTAAATAATTATCATCCATGTACCATCTCATTAACTAATTTTTTACTAGAATAAACAAAAACAAAAGTTACAAGAGCTATTATTTTCACAATAACATGTTCCTTCCTCTTACATGGTAGCTTCATACATTCTATTTCAAGATTGAAAAAATGAAATATGTCTTGAATTTTTTACTTGATAAGTTTTTACTTGAATAACATTCAACAATTAATCAAGTGAGGACTGTACAACCAACATAATTTCACATAACCTAATAAACATATAGTTCCTAATGTAAAAGGGTGATAAAAACTGAACAGCTTGATGGTGGGACTTTATTTGAAAATGTTCTGTTCTGAAATTAAAATAAGTGTCATTTTCCTCCCTACATTAAAACAATAACTCTATAAATGAACACTTCTATTATATTTCAATGTACTTATGGTATATTACCTTCGCAACACTTATAGTTTGTTGTTCCATTGCTTCATGTATACTTGCTCTATCATGTTCCCTTATGGAATTAAATTCATCAATACAACATATGCCTCCGTCGGCCAACACCAAAGCACCAGCCTCAAGTTGCCATTCCCCTCCTCCCTAAAAATGTATGTAGTGTTTTTAAGGTGATGTTGATTATTAACAATAAATTATTATTTTTAACAATTTGTTAATTATTATAAATTTACAATTTTATTTTAAATTACAATTATTACCAGAAGTCTAGTGTTTTACACAATTACAACACCATTTCACTACCAGAAAACCATTTCATAATATCCTATATATTATTTCTAAAAGGTGGTTTTTTGTCAGTACGCCATAACTTCGTCAATTCTTCATCAAACCCAATGATTGACCACTCATTTTGAAGATATTCTTCTCCTTCACATGCCAAAAATAGTCCTATCCCCCCGAAATTTCTAGAAACAAAGTTATGAAGGAAAAGAAACTTTAAGAAACTTAATTTGCGAATAACTCAAAAAGTATGTATTTTTTTCTGGATTGTACCTATGATAATTAGAAAGATTACTAAATTACTGACAAAAAATAGTCTATTAGTTTTGGTATACTCAATAATGTCTTCCTCTTTAAAATATTGCATTTAAGAGTAGAATAGTCTACTACACTTTTTTTCCTGGCTGATATTTTAACTTATTATTTCTTACAAGCATTTGTTTTCTGTTACATTTTATTTTTTTTTAATAATTTAGAAAATTCCATGATCGGAGCAATATTTTGTCTTTATTAATTTCATTATTATTACAGACAGTGTTTAAAAATAGGTCCTAGCAAAGAAATTTGCACAAATATTTTGGTCTATTGTGTTAAATGGAATATTGTATTCGACCAAGGAAAAAATATTAATTCCTTCCTTACATAATACGTAGAATCTACTTATTTCCATATTGTTTTGCTATTTATTTATTATTTATTTACTAAACAAAATTTTCTGTGAATTATTCGCACGGGCCAACAAGTATACACATATATTGAATTCAAAGCTCTCCAAGGATAGTGACAAACAAGTTAATATTTACATAGAGAAAGCACTATCCTTAGACATATTGCGTGAAAATGTTTTGTCATCACATCCACTTCTTAGTTCTACATTTACTATAGTCATGTTTATTTAATATAGTCATGGATATGGCAAACAGTTTTAGAAGCTTCAATACCACAGACAATTAAATTTTGTAGAATCTTCTTTTTCAGTGCTATCTACATTTTTTGTACACTCATTATTTTTATAACTTTCAAAATAATAAAACCATTATTATTATTATTAGTGAATAAGCCTAATCAGGACTACACAAAGTACTCTGATACACTTCCTAGATTTCCTTTATGTTCAAATTTCTTTAATCATTTTGCTGTGTGCTTATTTTCTCTCTTTAGTCCATGTTTTCCCAGTTCTACTCTTTGGGTCTTCTTTTGGATAAATTCAGCAAGTGAGAAATCTAAAGGTTATTCTGTTTTGAAGGTCCACTTGTTTAATCTCTTATAATTTGAGGTCCATTTTTAATTCACTAATTGCCTGCTTTATTCATGTTCTAATAAAATTTAACCATTTTTCTACTGAAGTATTGCTAAAAATTTAGTCTATGAACACTTGTGTATTGTTTGATTTCTGCTTTACTCCTGAATTTTTACTACTTTTGGTTCCAGAATTTTCCTGATGATTTTGCATTTTTTTTTTTTTTTTTTTATGTTTTCTATATAAAACAAGTATATTATTAAAATTAATGTTATAAAAATTTCAATCCTTGAATTTGGTAAATTATTATTGGTGGTTTAAAATAAATATTGCACACAATTAACTTTTTTCATTTAACATAGGTAAAATTACTACATTTGACCTCTGATACAAAAATTTAGAAACTTTATTTCAGGGTTAAGCGGCCAAACTGCAAAAATGAACTAAGGATCCTCAAAGTAAGAAAAAATTTCTTCTGAAGGTGTATCTGCAAACACTTCCTTTAGGAGATATTCACACCTAAAGATTTTCGTTGTTATGAATTATTTACGTTATATGAAATAAATAAAACCTATTTATTTGTTCAACCACTTTATTAATTAAATGTAAACATTAACAGTGAATGTTGTTCAAAGTGATTTTCTTGAGCATTAAGACAGGCTCGGAATCTTTCTTCAACAGCAGCAGTGGCAGAACGGCACTGGATATGTGTTTTGTTTCACAAGATTCAATTATCCTTCTTCATAAGGAATTAATGTCATTGACCAGACATGCTCAATCATATCCCATATCGCAATCAATGGACTGGCCGTGCAGGACCAGTGGCTTGGCCTGCATGCTCTCCAGACCTGACACTACTGGATTTTTTTGTTTGGGGTAACATTAATAAAAAGTCTATGAAAGTCCTGTCAATGACCTTAACTCCTTACGAAGAAGGATAATTGAATCTTGTGAAACAATATCACATATCCAGTGCCGTTCTGCCACTGCTGCTGTTGAAGAAAGATAGCAAGCCTGTCTTAATGCTCAAGGAAATCACTTTGAACAACATATAATATGAATGTTAATGTTTACATTTAATTAATAAAGTAGTTAGAACAAATAAATAGGTTTTATTTATTTACTTTAGGTCTAAATTATCTCCAAAACAAAACGTTTGCAGACATACCTTCAGAGGAAATTTTTTTCTTGTTTTGAGGTCCTTAGTTCATTTTTGCAGTTTGACTACTTAACCTGAAACACTCTGTATATCATTTCCTCATACCAGTATTTTGATGAACTGGAAAAGTCATGGAATTCCATAAAAAAGTTTCAGTAGACAACCAGTAATGGCTTTACAAAGAATAATAATTTAAATACTAAAATGGGATCAGGTTCTGAATAAATTCAATTTTTACTAGTTAATTAATCCTTGTATTAAGATTATTTCATTAGCAACTTATAGAACATTTTACCATCAAAGCAGAAACAGTTAGTCCAGCAGAGGTAGACCCGATTCCTGTTGTCAATACGGACCGTGGGCTTAGGGTAGAAGCGAACCTTAGTATTTGAGATTTGGCTGTACCTGGGTCGCCGACTAAAAGCAAGTGAGATTCTCCACGCACTCGTGCACCAGATCCTGTTTCTTGGCCAACTCCACCAGCCAATACTAATGCAACAGCTAATTTTATAATATATAAGCCATATACCTACAAAATATAAATGCATGTAACAGAACTGCTGAAATACTATTAATTATGTAATATAAACAGAAACACGTATGAGTGTATAAGGAGTACAGTAGTCATGTAGCTAAATTTCTACTAGCTAAAGCTCACGTTTAGAGTGAATTATTATTTAATTCTTTATTTAACTTTATTTAATTCTCTTTGGGTTTTCATTCATTATCACATAAAAAAATTAGAAAAACTAGAATTAATGTGTTAATTATTAGTAACAAATTAATTCTAGTTATTACCTAACTTTATTAATATTTATTAAATAAGTGATATTAGTTCACCTCTGGGCAAATAGATGCTAAAATCTTGTTACGGGCTTCGAATACTTTACTAGAATTCTGTTTCCAAAAATTATTAAACTCTTCTTTAATTTCAGTAGTGACGTGAACTGCATTATTTTGATCATTTGAAACTTCGAGATGGTTAGCTTGTAGAACCAAATCGATTTCAGTCTGTCCACCAACAACCAATGATTTCCATCTCCTCCTAACAGTGCCACTGGAAAATAAGACATTTTTTTATGAACTGATAATAAACAACAGTAAAATTTGAACAATTAACCAATAATGTTCAGAATGACATCAACCTCAAAAGAACACCCGCTTAATAAATGTTGATAAAAACAAAGATAGATTCCCCTGCATAGTTTCTTTCATGACGTTTCATCTAAACCAAAATTTGTGACTGGAAAGTCATGATTGTATGACCTCTAACAACACATAGAGTTGTTGGGTTCAGCACTTAGTAAGTACCATTTTCTGGCCAATTGTTATACAAGGAGGAAACATCATTGGCACTTTCCGTTAGCCAATTATGACGAAAAAGTTACTGTAACATCTCAGACATATACATAACTAAAATACTTCATTTCAGTTTCATATGACTTTTCCTTTTTGAAGGACGTTCACATACATACAGACACTACTAAGACTAAAATGTATTAAGTTATGTAAAATTAAATTTTCATAAGAATACTTGAATATCTTCTTATGGACTTACCAAATAACTACATCATCTCCAGGTTTGCAAGCATCAACAAGATCATCTTCAAGGGTAACCCACATAGACCTTGGCATAGATCCCATATCAAGTTTGGCCACTTGTTCCTATAAACGGAATAACTTAAATTTTAACCCCAATTAGAGAATTTAACAATCTATAGTTAATTGAAAATAATATAATTATATTTGTAATATAGAAAGAAATAATAAAATGACTTACAAGTAAACACCTGATCTCCCTACAGATTTTCATAATTAATATTTAGACAAATTACATTAAAAAATAAATACTTCATGTATCTCTTTTATATAGTTCTCTAGAAGAAGATGTAATATAAGATCATACAAATATGACTTCAGCTACAATGGAACATCCATATTTGTATGTTGGACAGCATCTAAAGTTTCCAACCGACTCATATTAGGCTTCCATAAAGAACAATAGAAAATATAACAGTCGAAAATTAGAGAATCACTTTTAGCTTCGAACACAGAAAGCACTAACTGATAATTATGTACGGATTCTTTTACAGAAAAAACAAACCTTTTCCAACTTATTCATAACAGGGCCTTCAATATTTATTTCATGGCCGTTCTGAGAAATGGATCGAAGCACTTTCAATGATGTTACTCATCATCGGTTGGTCAAAATGTCCACTTTTCGGAATATTTTCTTACCAATACCAGAAACAGAGAAAAATGCTATGTACATAAACTTAACTTCATAATCAAACCAATCACCTGCATATCTGTAATGCCATAGTTATCATTTTGATAACATTAAACATATAGTTTATGCTATCTCTACATATTCCAAGAGCGAGTACTTAATTTAATAAATTCTGTATCTTTATCCAAGCATAGATATTTTACCATTTATAACTGAAGTTTTTCTTACTCCAGTGCTATATTAAAAAAACAATAGAGAATAGCTTACATTTAAACATATCTCAAGAAGCAGTAGTACCTATGATTAATTAACAACAGGAAAGCTTTGACAGAAATAAAATTAAATAAGGTTATAAATGGACTTTCGCCTGTCCTGTTCAATTTGGCATTAGAACATGCTATTAGGGAGGTAATGCGAACCGAGAAAGGGTTGGATCTGGGCGGGACAACATCCGTGCTGGGCTATGCTGATGATCTGGTACTGTTAAGCGAAGACGTTGAAACTATAAAACTAAATACGACAACGTTAATGAAAGCCGGTAAAGAACTAGGACTTGAAATAAACGTGGATAAAACAAAATATATGGTTAGCTGCAAAAATGGCGATACTACTGGTGATATCGATATAGATGGTAATATGTTTGAACAGGTAGATAAATTTAGGTATCTAGGTTCTACGATAACTAGAAAAAACAAAATTGAAGAAGAGATTAAGGTTAGACTGAAGGCGGGAAATGCTTGTTATTTTTCTGTGACAAAACTACTTAGTTCGCGCCTCTTGTCCCGAAACTTAAAAATTAGAATCTATAAAACAATTATCTTGCCTACAGTTCTTTATGGATGCGAAACTTGGCCGCTTACATTAAGGGATGAGCAGCGTCTTAAGGTTTTTGAAAATAAAGTATTGCATAGAGTATTCGGACCGAAGAAGGATGAGTTAACCGGAGAGTTCAGACGGTTACACAACGCCGAATTGCGTGAGCTATATCCGGGTAATATAATTGAGGTAATTTCATCGCGGCGAATCAAATGGGCTTGTAAAGTTGTTGGGCTTAGTAACGAGAGAATTCCTAAAAGATTAATATTTGCTGTGCCGAATGGTAAGCGTCCGAGGGGTAGACCGAAGCGAAGGTGGGAAGATTGCATTAAAGTCGATCTGAAGGGACTGGGTTTGGACGGCGAACGGTGGAGGGAGTTGTGTAACAAGCGATTGGTGGTGTCGGCATCGAACCTTCGGGTTCACTAAGCCTTATTATTATTATTATTATTATAAATGGAACAATGAAATTGTGTTTTACTTGAAGCTTAATTTCTTGATAATCTCGGAAGTAGTTAGAATCCAAAGGCAGAAACTTTGTACCTTCACAATTTTCTAGATTCTTGCAAACTGAAGGAGCAGTCATTGTGTAATTCATTTCATAATCTGCCTAAATATGAATTAGAAATTAAAGTCAATACATTTTTAAAAAAATATATTAAATAATAAAAAAATAAATAAATAAAACTTACATAAGCAGTAAATACATGTTTACATTTACTGCACATGTAATCTTTACCATACTCCAACATTTTTGGGGCAGTTCTTCTGACCACCGTCCCAGTGATTCGAAGAAAACATCCGAAATCATCATTGCAGGGAAAAGCTGATTTATGTAGCTCAGGGCAAATTGGAAGTGCTAAGGTGCAATACAACAAACAGCTATTTAATAATGCATTAATATAATGAACTTACTCATTATTATTATTAATACCTGTTATACGAGCATGAATGTTATATTTCACGCTTACATGGTCTTCTTGAAGTGATTTAAACAAATCTTTTTGTGCATTCACTAAAGCCTTGTCACATAGCGGCAATGTGTTCACAGGAGAAGAAAGTATCCCATCTCCAAGCTCTGTAGATGTTTCGAATAAACTAACAAAACTGGAAAAAGTGTAATTTGTAATTAGATTTAAAAATTCTAAATGGAGAAGTTAACATACATGCATACAATATATACATGAGTGTTTATGTGTATATATATTACTTGTTTAAAATATCAAAATAAGAACTATTATTAACAAATATTCTAAATTAATTACTTCAATGTAATGGAGTAATGGCGTTTATCATCTTCATGGCATAGAATAGTAATGAGATCTTCTCTGTGATGAGACAAAGCATAAGCTGCTAAAGTACCTAAAATGTAACCATTGATTGATAGATACTAGTTAACAGATGTCACGTGTGGTTGATGGATGGGTCAGGATCACATTAATCATACTATACATGGAATTTTTAATAAACCGTATTGATAGCCATGTTCAAAATTAGGCTCACTTAATGACTATATAAGCTCTTATCAACTCGTTTTCAGTTGAGATTGGGGTAAGGAACGAAGATCAGTTTCCTCTATAAATGTTCAGACACTTGGTAAATTTAGGGATTCAAAGTACGGTATGATCAATACAATCTTGACCCATCAACAGAACTGTTGGACCAAAGTTTCACTGAATGCGATTAATCAGCCTAGTTTGAAGGCAAATGTCACTTTTGCCACATGGTTGAAAACATAAAAATTGTCCTTTTTATTAAATTGGTGGATTCAGAAAAGACCAGAAGAAAGAGATTATTAAGTCATTAAGAGGTTATACACAGTGATTAAGTGTACTATCATTTTTACTGAGGCGATAATTGCAAATAAACATGAACCTTCAAGAGTGAAAGCTAAGGGTATTTTAAGAGAACATATTTTCATCAAGCTCAAGAAGGCTATTGAAGAGAAAAATCATAGAGCAGCCAACCATAGGAGAGAGGTATTTTATTTAATAATTGAGATCATGCATTTTATCTATTTTATTACTGATTATTGATTACTTATTGAGAAAGTCATTATTTCTTGTAACAAGATTAACAGAACAAAGAGTACTCCCTACAAGTATTTACCTCCTTCAAAAAATAGCAAATAGAAGGCTGTAAAACAGCTTAAGATAAGAATTCGACATTTTCAATGGAATTACTTATATATACTCATTTGCAAATGAAGTGGATCATTCAAAATAAGATGAAAACAACACTTAGTTCTTATTTAATGATTTTAATTTTAAAAAGGTAATTTACTTTAACATGTCCAGAAGTAATAAATTAAGAAAGTTTGATAAAAGATAACCGTTTACATTTGTTTTTTGGGGTTTAGAAATTATAAGGCAAATTTTAAATTTTGAAAAACCTTAATTATTTTGTTTTAGTTCCTTTACGGACCACCTTAAGCATTAGTTACTGCCTGAGGACGACAAGGCATACTTCTTATTAGCATTTTGATGCTATCTTGACAGGTCATCTCCCATTCCTCTAAGAGTGCTTTGTGCAGTTCATCCATAGTTTATGGAAGGGTATTTTGTTCTAAAATCCTCTTTGAAGTTTAACCCATAAATGTTCAATGGGATTTAGGTTTGGCAAGCAAGCAGACCAATCCAGGTGCCAAATTTCTTGATTTTTAAAGAATGCACTTTTATGAACCGAGCTCTATGAGGTCTTAAGTTAAAACAAATTCTGGGTCAATTGCTTCTGCCATAGGTTACGCCAATGGTACTCAGACCCTATCCAAGTAACGCTTAGCAGTCATAGTCTTATTCATAACACCAGAAGCTCTATTCAAGAGAGCTAGTGAGATATACCACCCCACACTCTAATTGAGTCTCCGCCAAATGGGTAAACAGGCAAGAGCAGCAAAGATTTGAATCACTTACCAGACCTAGTAACTCTTGCTTGGTTTGAATCATGGTGCAGTAAAAATTTAAATTCATCTATCAAAAAGCAAATATCTAGACCGATCAGTCCATAATATATGAATCTGAGCAAACTGAAGTCTTTGAACTTCATGTTGAGGCATGATTCCTGGTAAGCTCAGAAGTCTTCACCAATGCAATCCATGTTCCATCATTCTTCTGCTCACAGTACAAAGTTTGATTAATTTGCACAGTAAAGACAGAAAACAAAATAATCAGCTAGCTTTCAATGTGTTGAAGTGATTCCTTTGAGCATGGACAAACAAATAATGGTCTAGTACTGTTGTAGATCTTTCATGTCCAATATGTGTATTCAATGCAAGGGAACCACTATCCTGGTAACATCTCCAGGTGCGACTTACCGGACTTTGTGAGGTTTGTAGGCTTGGAAGCTCTACTGCTATAAAATATTGTGCAAACGTTCTTTGATAGCCAGGAGAACTTTTAAAAAGGTTAATAAAAAAATCGAAAAACATTAAGAAAAAAATCACCAGAAATAAATATGAAGTGAACACAAGCTGTAAACAAACTAAACTGAGGAGAATCCAGACGGGATTCTCGAGTGGGTGTTTGTTCGAGAGAGTTAATTTCAAAGGAACTATCCCATTGGGAGTGTGAACAATTAACAGGTGTCAAATTGGAAAAATATTGATTCCTCCCAATTTTATGTCAAGTTAATGCAATGATCCACTCCATTTGCAAATTGGTCTGTTTTATCACTCACGATACACTAAGTATTTTAATTAATTCTCCAATATGTCCAATAATTTCTTAAATTAGGACTATTTGTTGTTTTTTTCAATGATATGTTATCTTTGATTGAAAAACTTTGCATGCAGCATAAAATTTAGATGATTTGGTGTTGACAGTTATTTAGTTTAGTTTACAATTCATTAGAGTGTAAACTATTCGTCATTCATTAGAGATTATAAATGTAATCAATAGAGAGACTATCCTAATACATGCATTTAGAAACCAATGTTAATTAAAATGACTAAAAATAAACGAACATTATTTTTTAAAAAATCAATCTATTCAATAAAATAATTAACTAATTTATTTAAAGATTTCTCTGTGAACGTTACCTTCAAGAGAAGTAGACATTTATCAATAAATTCGAAGTACTTTCTTCATTATTTATGCTTTGACATATCACTTCAAACCATATCAAAGTTATCAACGGATTACCCGCCAAAACGCGACAAATACCAATAGCTAAAACAGAAGAAGATAGAAATAAAAATGAAATTGTAATAAATGACGTCATTAAATAAAACGTTTTTTTATAAAAATGATTTTTTTTCCTTCGACAATTTTACAAAGATAACGTAGGAAAATTTATTATTAATAATAATTACCTTCCTAATCATCTATAAATTGGTTATTTAACTTTGATCTAGTTGCTGAAACTGTCTAGTCAGGAAAGTGTAAATTTTTAAAGACGCTTGGTCAATTTCTATCTAATTTCTAAAATAATCTTGCTTTTTGTTAGTTGCTATTCGAAGTTGTCATTCAAATATTTATACCTAAGTGAGTTGTTTAAGGAATATTTTTGTAGCGTTCATTTGGATGACAAATGCTTGCTATGCTCAATTTCCCAGGTAAAGTACTTTATATGTAATCAATTTTACGTGACTGGCATTTCATTTAATACCTTTACTTAGTTTCACAAAATTGTCTCTGAATCGGAGGGTTGAAACATAGATACACATAGGGGTTTGTTTTTCTTGGACCGGTCTATACCGTCGGCTGGCTTATTGCAGTCACTAAGTATATTTTCGATAGATCTGTTGTTTTAAGCACTTTTTAAAGTGAATTTGGACCTTATTTATTGACAAAAACATGACTTGATTTTGTTTATTATCATGAAGAGTCAAATAACCAATTCGGCAATGTGGAACTCTTTCGTATTGTTCGCTGATAATCAAGACTCGCGGCTATCAAATCCGCAAATGTTGGGGGATTACTTTTCGAAAACGGGTTTTCCCGACGATTTTCTTTTTCAAGCGAAAAATATATATATTGGAATATAGGTAATTGTGTAATCAATGGAAATAGTGAGGAAGTTATACTGGCCTTACTTGGCAGACTTTTTTTTTCATAGTTTTTTTCACTTTGATTTAAAAAAATCAGTGATCATTTCTAGGTTTTAGTAGGAAAGATAAAAATACCTCTGTATCAGCATATGAATATGATACTTATAGCTTAATCGAGATTACTAAAAACCAAAATAACCATTTTTCCTTTTCAGAATATTTTCAGTAAATGGTAGTGTAAGTTCAAGAAATGGACTGTATTATTTTTCTAAAGTTAGCAATAAGCTTCTTATAATGTCTGTGGCAACAGTTCATGCAGAGGTCACATAGAGTAAATATGTTTAGGTTACAATCCATTCTTGAGTCAGAAGCAGCGCTGGTTCGAATTTAGTTTTTATTATTAACTTCAAAGCTAATAAACAAACGATTGTTTAAATCTGTAATTAGTCTTCTTTAAATACTTAATGTTCTGTATGTCTATTTGGATTTTACTTCTTGAAACACTAACTATGGCCGAAACGACCATTAACGGATCCAGGATTTAATTTTGGAGGGTTTAAGTCTGAAAGGTTTTTTTTTTTTTAATACATATTATGCTATTTACTTTAGAAGAAAAATCAGGAAACTAACTACCTATATGAAATATTATAAATATATAAAATAATATATGAAGATTGATTCTTAAGGCTTGCAACTATATTTAAAACTTTTGTAACTTGATCGGTAGTCTGCTGTCATTTGAATGGACTTGCAGAAGTACGTAATATGTATCCAATTCCTGATTCGCTTTGAACTCACCGTATTTGTTGAATAATGAATGAATTATTTAAATCAATGATATGTGGTCCATGGTACAAACCCTTTTTTATCTTATGATTAACATCCGGCTAAAACTTCGTATATAGCTTCATCTCCTGGTAACCTACAAATATTTTATTTGCGAAAATTCTATTAAATGGGACGTTTTCAATTTGGAAATCGACAAACTTTGTTTATTTAATTAGGGACTAAAAACTGATACATACCCATTTGCTTTCCGCTTGAATCGTAAGATAACTTCCAAACGAAGTTGGGAAAAAAGGTGGCCTTCAAAAATATTGAGCCGTTTGGAGTGACTTGTACCACCGAATTGTCAAAATGACGAGGTTATATGAGACAAACGGCCCAATATTTTTAAGTTTCAGCCGGATGTTAATAATTTTATAAAAAAGAGTCTCTACCACGGACTAATAAGTTGTTGCTGGAAACTTATAATATGGACTAAGCTAATCGGGTGTTTTATAATGGTTAAAAACAAATCACCCTTTTAATAATAAGTTTAATTATTTACATTTAATAAAATATCAGCACATTCTGATTTGAAAGGATATATATATATATACATTACTGGAATGATTTATATGAAAAATATGATATGTGATATTGATATTCATGTACAATACTAACATGCATATCACGCATTTGGAATAATAAATAAACTAGATTCAAAAGTTTCTAGTTGAGTGAAAATTTACACCATTGTCAATGCATTAGCCAGCTCATCTTGAATTGCATTAAGTGTTGGTCAACATATATGGCAACCCCTGGAGGATCTCGTCTTCAGGAACTTCACATTTCTTTTCATTTAAATGTTTCAGAACTAGGGTCTCCAAGTTGCGTGAGCTAATGGTTTGCGAGTTTTCTATGTAATTTCGTACAATGGCCGCTTCACATTTATTCTTCACGTAATCGCTGTGCCACCAGTTACTTATATTGAATTTTCGGCTTAACATAGAGACTGGTCTGGGGCAATTATAATGGTCTTTATTAACAAAACCCGTTTTTTCGTATACACTTCTGTTACAAATCATACATTCGAACTCATTGATAATACTGTCCACTTTCTTACCACCATAACCACGAAAGTGTTTTATTAGAATTTCATTATCAATTTTCTGTTCTATTTTATGTTTTAAATAGTTGTTATAAGCTTCACGGTGATTGCTGACATTATGGAGATGCTGTGCTAGCTCTTTGGGAGAGGAGAAGTCGGAAGGAAATATAGCAGCGTTGTTATTCGGCAGCCAATCCTGAAAAAATAAATAATTGGATGCAATTAAAATTCATATTTTTGTAATCGGCATGGAAGTATTATGAAACCCATTTTAACTGGACTACTTTAATCTGAGCATTCCTCAACCTTCTTCACCCCGGACCCCAAGTTGCTTTAGGTACTCTATTGCTTAGAACAGCTTCCCCTGATGAACACTTTTCATCGTACTTTTGACTGTAGAACATTACCCGATCACTCGCGATTTCCAATCAGCAATAGACAACCAACAAGTAATCGATTTATGTTCCTTTATACTTCTTTAAATAACTTTACAACAACACCTTATTAAAATATGAGTAGGCCTCCTGAGGTTTGCTCCATGGACAGTCTCTTCCATCCTCGTTCGTCTCCAGATTCTAAACAGCCGTAATCCATAGATCTTGACTGATTTATCGCAGTCCTTGAACCGGAGAGAGTCGGAGAAAAGGACAATGCCATGGAGTTATGGGTGCCCTACCACTGCAACGTGAGGCTGGGAGATCCCCTCAAGGCTATCTCTACTCCTGAAGCAATATACGAGTCCGTTCATAAGAAGACTACATTTCGCGGCCAAAGATCTACGTGGTCTATAACGCCGAACGAAAAAATAAATTATAATATGATCATTATTATCAGAAATAGGAAATAGTTGCAAAGGTTTAATATGGACTATTAATTTGTAATTCAATTTTTATTCCCTTTTAGAAGTTTCATAAGAAAAAATTATATAAAATTAAGATATTTTAAGGGAGATACCTTGATTGATGGAGAACCTAAATATATTGGAATGCTGCCGGCAATTAAAGGTCTCCACAATTTTTCAGTTATGTAATCTTCACAGACAGCATTTTCAAAAGATATAGAGAATTTGTAATTAGCAACTAGTTGTAATAATTCTTGAGACATCATAGTTTCTAAAGCATTTGTTAAACTGTAATGGAAATAAACATATATATTAAAAAAAATAAAAGTACCACTACTAGTTGAACTTTGGGATTTCAAGATCTAATTTTTAATCGCCGAATGCTTTATAATAAATACAAAACAATGCTTCTTAAGAAATAAAATTATTCTATTTCTAATAACTGATTGTGGTGTAAACATAATTACGTACCTTGTTGGCAGTTTTTTATTGTTCAGACAAGCCCCATAAGAATCTATGGATATATATTTCATTAACTCTTTTACATAAGAATCCCTATTATTAGGCGTATCGCAGTCTGACTGTATATACACTATCTCAGATAAATTTAAAAGATTTTTTTCTTCGAAGGTTTTATAGTACTCGTGACCTATAAAAAAAAAATAAATGACTAAATAAAAACAAATCACTATTGAAGTCCACTATTTATCTTCTTGGTCTTTTGCCTTCTATTGATGCATTCATTGTTATGTAGAGACTTCTAGATGGATTGCTACGAGCTACCTGCTCTATTTGCCCTAGTTATACGCTGGTCTAGTTCTGCCCGTTGGTCATATATATCTGTGTGGGTGTGTGTATTTTCTCGATGTTTGTGTCGCATCGCAATTTGTAAAAATTAAAGCTTTCCATAACGATATTCCACACTTTCATGACCAATGGGCTTTGTTTGGATACTGCATATATGCTCAGCGACGCTTATTTCTTTCACCTATTAGATACTTTAACTTTAAATAAAAATGTTAAATAAAATTAATATTAAATAAATTTTTTTTAGAACATTATGAAACAGAATACAGAACTAAATGAAAAGATTAACTTTTGTTAAAAAAATATAATAGCCATTACTCACTTGTCAAACTTTCTAATGACTTCAAGTACATTAATGTGAGAGGAAGGTCGCTAAAACGGCTGAAAGTAGAAGAATAGTTGAACAAACTCAATGTCAATTCATGATTGAGAAGTGGATTATTTCTAGGCGATTCTTCATGAAATAATCCCCAAATTTTGATATCTCTTGGTAATGGAAGATCAGAAACGTTGAAATGGGTACCATAAAATAAAAAAGCCTTAAAATAGATTATGAAACATGTATTTAAAATATTGAATTAAAAAAAAACAAAAAAACATTACACATAATACTAAAGATTTAACTACCACATTATCACGATATTTCAGGTGTCTACTGTTTGTGACGAAACAATGAACATTGCCACATTGAATATACTGATCGCTTAGAGTAAAGGGAGTCCACCAAATAAGAGTAGTATCTATAAAAATAAATAACTTCATTATTACTTTATGGTGCACTGCTACGTAAACATTTTGAGAATTTTTATGGCCTGTATTTAACACTTACTATCAGTACTGGATTCAGAATATTTATTGTTTTTTTTGGGAGAGTGAGCCACAGATCATTCATATAAACAAAAATGGACTATTGAAAAAACAAAAGTAATCATCCATATTTTTCTGGGAGGGGATGGGAAGAAAGCGATAGAGGCCTCTGTCCGAAACTTTCCTGAATTCCCTAGTGGCTCTATAGTCGCCATACCTCAACTTTTAGGAGCGGTTGCGTAGATATTTTCATTTTTAAAAAACTCCGAAATAATGGCCAAAAACGTGAAATGCTCCGCGGAAAAGAGAAACTCCGCGGATTTTCTATCATGTAAGAATACACATCCAGGTTAAAAAGAAGGTGAACGAATCTAGTCCGCGACGGATAAAATATCGCATGTCCGTCCGAACAAGAATGGCAAACTAGATGGAAGAATTATTGGACTATGTGAAACACGAACACAAGAAAATATGAATTTGACTTTGATTGCCCACAACACTAGCGGTCCCAGGATTTAATTTTGAGGGGGGGGAGGCTTCAGCCCGAAAGCTTTTTTTCATAACAATAACAATAATTACTTTGGAAAAAAAGAAAGAAACTAACTATCTATGAAATGGTGTTTCAGTCATTCCTAAAGCTCTTTTAAATGTTATTAAACGAACAATAGTACTTTAAGAGATAATTTTTAAATATTTTTTCCATAAAACATGGTTATATTTTACCATTTTTGGGGGGGAGGGAGCTTCAGCCCGAAAGCCCTCTCCCCCCCTCCCCCGTAGATCCGCCCGTGGCCCACAATACTCTTGGTTACGAACTTTCATGTTGATTTGCTTCGATTTGTGCATATTATGTTTCAGCCGCGTTCTGTTAGGCCGAGACTCCTACAGATAAGAAGAATTGGTGATATTTCGCCCAACGACGGCCGAGCCATCTCAAACAACTCTCTGCAAACTTTACCAGAAACCGAGATATGCCTACGATTAACAATTTTCATCAGTGTCTTATAGTTTCCACTTTAAAAGATCCTAAACCAAGCGAAACCAGTTACCATCGCCGAATATGTTTAAGAGACGCAGCGAGGTCAGTGAACATTCAATACAGGTGTACAAACAATATTTAAAGAATTTAAATCCTCTTTTCAAAATATTTAATACTGATTTTCTAAATAAGTTTTAAATAAAAATCATTTTAGAGAGCTCCAAGCTACTTGCGTGATGCCGAATTACTAGAAATATATCATGTATATTTTATATATATTATATATTATATTATATTATATATTATATTAGTATTTTGCAAAAACTTAATAAAAGCAATGACCATAATTCAAATTAGGGAGAACACCAAAGTGCCTGGGCGAGAGATCTACTTTAATTTCACAACGAAAATTGAGGCCAAAGAAGGATTGTTACCGTTTTTCTCTTAGCTATCAAGTATTTTTATTTTTTATTTTTTTGTTATTGTATTACAGAATTATTATGACACTATCTGCTGATAGTGGTGTAGTGGTCTATCTGTATGTTTTTAAATATAAAAAAATAAAGGAGAAAATTAATAATATGTATTCCTAAAGAGATTAATGTTTGGAAATTTCACCAGTAAAAATAAATACGCATTCATAAATATGTGTTTAAAAGGTTTTTTTCATTATTTACAAAGGAAATAAATTTCCTATCAACTGGTAACAAAAGATAGAGAAATTCTCATTTATTATCCATATTGAAATAATTACATGATGTAGTATTGATATGTATTCTTGTATACTTATTTCTCTCAATTTTAATATTATAAAAGTTCTAGGATTTTATGGAATTCGAGTTATAAAGAACTAATTGGTAAGCTATTAGTTATGAGTTACATTTTAAAATAGGATAAATCTCAAATACGTTTCTAAAACAAATTATTGAGACTAATAATATACAAAGTCTTAAAAATAGAAATTATTTCTTTTTTTGTTACTGAAGAACTATCAATAATCAATAATAATAAAAACAATATGTTTTTAAACAGTACTATATTTATTAATTATTATTTATAATTATAAGATATTGTTTTATTAACAATCAAGATCATCGAAGCTAAAGAACAAAATTTAATATTATATTTTGCTATTGTTATTATTTATGTTATCCACTTAGTAATTAATGAAACTATAAAATTTAGTTATAATTAAATGCTAGTTTTCATTTTAATCAAAAATAATTTGTAATAACTGTGAAATTAATACTTCTAACGAATATCATTCACTTACTTTCACTATTTGTAGCAATGTCTTCTGTCGAATTTTCTTTCTACATAAAAAAGTTATTTCGTATGAAGTTTTAGAACAATTTATAAACAATTAGGCTTAATTTTACTTACTTACAAACATTATTAACTGTATACAAATTAATAAGGAGAATAATAGCAAACCAAATAAGTAAATTGGCAATATTTTGACTCTTTTCATACATAGCATTTCGTTACACTGCCCATTATCTCATCAACTTCCTGTATTGATAAAACTTTTTTTTTAAAAATCATTGCTTTCTAGACTTCTTCAAACTTATATTCTGAAATATTTTTTCATGTTCCATTTAATTTGGAAACCTATGGAACCTGCAAATGAGGTGGTACATTACGAAACTATTTAAATTTCTAGTTGAAATTTCGTAATATCCAAAGAGGTAGGAATTAGCGATGTCTCTAAACGTAATTCAAAGTGAAAGTTGTGGCGTGTATTTAATTTCGATAGCATAATGACTGTACTTTATGCCTCAGGTGGTATTTATGTCAGGAGGACAAACTGATGCATTATATTTTCAATGGAATCCAACCAAACAGGAAAATTAACGAACTAATAGCCCCGTGCATTATTCACTACAGATTATTAGTACCATTATGTTTCATCGACTTAATTATGTCTAAATTTTATTGAAGTATTTTTTTAGTCTAGAACGTTGGTATTCTGTAAAAAGGGCGAATCCTACATTCTCTACTTTTCAAGAGAGCACGATTGAAAAATTATTTTAGAAAGTGATGTGGTCTTTATTGGATCGAAGGAACTATAAGGAGGATGAATAAGTGTGGCAGTTAAAGATACACCATGTTTATGTACATATCTGTCGTTAATTATGTCATTAATCTAAAATGCCATGAATCCGTTAAAATCCAATTAGTTAAATCCGGTCTTGTATCACATGTATATACATATATACTCAGTCCTGTACACGTTAAATCGTGATTGGAAATATTACTTATGTAACATCATAATTTTTCCCCCAATTTTTTTAATTCTTTGCTAATTCAGCATAGGTTGTATTTCATACCTAATGGTCTACTTTCCATAACTTTCTTCAAGTCCTTAATGAAAATACGGTTATCGGGAAGATTGGTATCGTTCTTTAAGTTTGGTTTCATAACAAACATTTCATGGAACCATTCTTCCTTCTTCTATTTTCAATCAGATTTAGCTTTAATAGAAGTTTAATTTATGTGTTTAGTTTTATGAATAATGGTGATCGTTTAATTTTAGAATAAAGTGAAGGCCTATATTTGTATTTAATGTTACCTTTTCTTTTAGGTAGGTATTATTTTTGTTGTCAGATGGGTCGGTTTTAGTAAGATTATAACTGAAATCGTAGATGATACATTGCATGTCGTCATGGTTACTTAGCAAATTTTTGGTTAGGAACAGAAGATGTCAAGATTTTTGTCAAAATATTAAAAATTGTAAAGTGGAAAGAAAGATAGAAATAAAATCCATATAATATAAGTTTGATGTCATTCCAGAAAAATCATGTTTGAAAATAAGTTCCACACTTATTACTGGATGTATCGTATAATAAAAGAAATGACATTTTTATTGTATTATGCTCAATAAAAAAATTGTGATTGATGCAAAATCACTGCTCTTGGTTTCCATTGTGAAAATAATTATAATCGTGAGTACTAGTATTTTGTTTACTTTTATTTTGTTTGAATAAATTAGTTTTTATCGACGTCTTTATGGGAAATAATGAATATTGCCATATTACTCCTGTTGGTAACTTCAGTTAAATTCATCTTAAAATCACTCAGTACAAAGTATCTTATGAATTCTTCAAAATAAATTCAAGTTATTTATGCAATGAAAGATGTAGTTGTGTTATTTTCATCCGTTTTAACTTTTAAAACACATGGTTGAATAATATTGGTATGTCTTTTCAGATCCTATTGTTAATTAGCTGTTACTTTCAATATTTATGATCCTTTACACCCTACGAATCGTCATCGATTTTTGAGTTCGGCCCCATGTTATATAAACGGTTGAAAAAATATTTTGAAAATTTTTCTCGTAAACAATTGGGTTAGATTTGTTGTTAGAGGCTGAGATGCAGAACCAAACAGTTCTAAAGCTTCCCATTAAAGCCCCCATTTCATTGGCTACGCATCTTTCCTATTAGGGCAATGTCCCCACTCCCTTGCCTTACCCAACGTATGTCCATGTTCATTGACTCCTTTTGAAATTCCCTCGCTTTTAGTTGGTAGACTAAAGCAAATCTGATAAAATGAAAATACCTTTATTATTGTGGGACTAGTGTTGCTTTAGAGCAAATTATAAATGCAGAATATAAACAAATATATCGTTGTGTCCATAACTTAAACTAAATATTTACAAAATAATTGGTAATATAAAGTAAAAATACAGGTAATAATAATATGCATAAATAAATATAAAATAAAGAGAGAAAGTTAAAATAGCAAAATAGTATCTGGGGGAACTTCTTCAAGAGAGTCTTGACTTAGACTCTTACATGCATTTCATGATTAAGTGGATTGGGATAGTGCTGGAGATAGATATTATAACAGTCATGGGTGCCCATCCCTCCCTCAAGGTCGATGGCTAGGAATCTACCTTTTTTTCCCAAGAAATTTTATTACTCAACTCTTTTTAAAAACATGTAAGATAAAGTAGAATTAGAAAAGCCTCTGATCATATACGATTAAAATTGCTATAGTCTGGTCCATGCTTTTTCCCTTGTCACCTGGATTGAAACTTTTCATTCCTAAAATTCACTACCCTGTAGAAATTTGCTTCCCACCCATTTCCTCATGCATTCAAAACCGCTTATAATCTGCCCCCACTCAAAAATGTTGGCGCATCTTGCGCCATGAAACTCCCTTCAGGGCACCCCTGATAACTGGGTATAACTAGAAGTTTTCTTCAAATAATTTGGAATTGTTATTTTGGTGCTAAATTTTAATAAAATTGACCAATAATCTCTATGTGCATAAACAAGAAATCCAAATGGTTTTGTGTCAACACATTCAAACGTTGAACCCAACCTTCTTTGGTTTCCTTGATCCAGCCGGAGGTATCCATTTTTTTCTGTCTCCTAAAGTGTTTTGATTGATTAAAAAGTAATGTTTTTCCATACATTAATATCCATGCCCTTGCTATTATGTTTAATCCGGCCTTATTTTGTTTTCTTTTTCCCCCCTTTCTCGTTTTTTAGGCTATATTTCTCGGCGGCGGTGGTTAATGAATTGAAAGACATCTAGAACCGGGATTCGAACTAGCAATCTTCTGTTTATCAGGTTGCTGGGAAACGCATGTTTTATACAAAATGTTAGCCCTCTTGGCCATCCCATCCCCCAGGATCCCCTACTCCACCATACACCTAAATATTTTAGCCATATAGTTAACAATTTACTTTCTTATTCCGAGTTAAAGAGATGTCTCTAATTACACAGGCATCCGGATGATATACTTATTGTTTCCCTTGTCATTTGCAGAGAAACGTTGTTTTTGCTAAAGCCTTGAGTCTGTTAAAAACACTTTATAATAAAGAGGTTTTCGTAAAGTCACATTTCGTTTTGAGTCATATTGAATATTTCATAGTTGACCGTTGCAGTATAAAGAAAGGAGATGGTCCTGGATGGCGGTCATTAATAGGCTAAATAGTGGTAAAACTATTTTTATTGAAAGCCTACAAAAAAACTTTGTTAAATCTAAAAATAAAAGAGATCATACAGGAATTAGATTTTCTTAATTCAAAAATTTCCTCCCCCACCACATTTCTTACATCTATTATTTGGGAAGAAAATATTACAAAACTCAAGTACAAAATTTCACGAATTTGTTCCTCTATTAAAACCATTAAAAAGCAGTCTCACCAATATAAATTTAAATCTTTCAATAAAAATAGTTTTACCACTATTTAGCCTATTTATGACAGCCACCCAGGACCATCTCCTTCCTTTATAGTGCAAGGGTCAACTATTTAATATTCAATAAAGAGGTTTTCCTATATCACCTTCACTATATTCTTTATGTTAATAGCCGCATATTATTATAGTTGGAAGGGTATCAATCAATGCAAAAATTGCTACTCAACAAACGTAATTAATCCACCTAAAATTGAATTTTTGATACAATACAAAAAAAAAACTTGAATATATCTAAAATACACAATTAAAAGTTTATTTAATTAAAATAATTTATCCAGTCTGCCAACAGCGCCTTTGAAGGACTGGTAAGAGAGTTCTGTTTGCAATACCTGATTCTTGACCTTAGTTATCAAAAGAAATTTTAGTCAGCAGTTTTAAAATGTATCATTCAGTACATTTATCAAAACTTGGTCCCCACCCACTGAATTTATACTAAGAGAAATTTTTTGAGCTAGCCAGGAACTGTATTTTAAGTCACCTTTCTCCCATTTATTTATTTAATAAGTAATTTTTTAACAAACAAATGTATCCAAATTATGTTATTTTTGTTTTTCATTATTATTTCTAGGCAACCTGTATTTCAGGAATTATTGTCCTTATTTGTAGTGAAACTAACTGGTTGAAACATCCAGCGGCATATATTGCAACTAATATGGGAATACTTGGACAAATTTTGATGGTTCTGCCCATGCTAATTTCCCAACTTTCAGAAGTGAGAACGGTTTTTTTGGTAAGGGCGTTTATGTTTTTGTAAATTTTGATACATTATTAATTAAATGCTTTATTCAGGAAATTAATTGAGTCTGTTTCAACAAGATTTTTGATTATTATCAAACTATCAACTGTAATACGGTTTTTCTGTTCCAGAGGCATCCTAGGTAAAAATTGTATAAGATAAAAACTGTATTGCACGTACAATTCGCTGATACTAAAGATTTGTGTTGGAACAGACCTATTATAGAAAGTCACAATACTTGAAATAGTATATTTTAATGTTTTGTTAAAATAGTATATTTTAATGTTTTGTTGAAATAGTATATTTTAATGTTTTGTTGTTCATAAAAGAAAGGCTGAAGTACCCCGCATTTTATTTATGGAAATAAGAGTAGTATTTTATCTTCTAAAAATTAAATTTAAAAGACGATTCTGAAAGATTATACATTATCACGGAGCTATTAGACGATTGAAATAAATAAATAAAATGAAAAGAAAGAAAATCTTAAAAATATGAATTGATTTCAGAATTAGAATTTAAATATCAAAACTATTAAGAAACTCTGACTGTGCTATGGTCCACAGCCTCAACAATTCTCTTCCACTCGGAGCTATCCTCTGCAGCTCTCTTACATTCTGTCACTCCCAAAATCAATAATAACTACAAATCAAGAATTTATTCTCATATTAAAATTTCAAGATTTGAATTATGAAATAAGAAGGATGGATTTGAATAAAGAAAGAGAAGTATAGATAGAATATAGGTCGAAATTTCAGAAAGCAGTGGAGGGGACAAGAAAGTATGGTTCGAAGGCTTTAGATCTGTGGAAAGGAGTATAGATGTCTAATACAAGAGATTTTGTTTACTGAGAGTGGACTATGGGTTTGTATTGTAGAAGACTGTAGATTCAGGAAGTGTGGCGGAAGTTGACAGGAATCATAAATAATAAAATAAGTGGGATTGTAGGAAATATTGACAATGGGAGGAGGGGAATAGCCACTTTAACTCGCCATAGAAGTGAAACACATGAGACCTTCACGCAGTAAATAAGAAAAGGAAATTTTATTCAGTACCAATACAAAAGACAGATCTCAATGAGCAGTTCATGATTCGTAAAATGGGTGAAAATACAAGTAATTTTCATAACGTTTAACGTTAATTTATTCAAGACAGCCCCAGGCACTGATCTATTTAGGTTTTCCTGAATATTGGCAAGGAATATTCAGAAGGAAGAAAAGATAAATAAATTTAGGAGTTGTCAGAATGAAGGTGACAGGAACAGTAGAGTATTGAATCAGGAATATCATTGATATAGGTGTTAGAAAGAAGAGAAGGAATGTTCGACCCTGAGCTATGACTGAGGAAAGGGTAAAAAAGGAAGACAGAGGTTGGTTCAGAATGGAAACTGCTTGGATCCATGTGATAAAGAAAGATTGAGAAACCTGAGAATAGAGCTGATGGAGAATGATTGTGATTTTAATTCATTAACGAATAGTCCAAGGAGTCAAAGTTTTTGAAAAGTTAAGAAATATCATTTTTATCTACAGCAGTATGTATGTCGTTTATGGAGTAATATTGGCGGAGGAAGAAATAAACTGATGAGTTCAATCCACACCTGGTAAGGAAGAGAATTTTGAAGAGAAGTTTTTGAAGGTGCCATTTTGATTAAGAATCAGGAGTAAAGGAAAGGGATTCTTCAAAATAGTCAGGTTTTGTTTCCTTAATTGTTGTTTGTGTCAAGCTGCCGAGTGCCCTATGTGCTTGACAGTCTTCTGCTAGCCTTGTTTGGACAAAGGCTGCCTCAAACTTTTATTCTTAAGACTTGAGACTAGCTATCCCAAAATAAATATTACTTATCTTTCTTTGCTCAACTTAATTTTATCAAATAATAAAAATGTATATTTATAATAAAAAGGTAGTAATATTTAATGTTTTCAGGTAACAGTATGCGATTCTTTGGGTGTTGCAACAAATATATTGGCTGTTGCTTGCATTTACAATATTGATTTTCCAACAAAAGTGATGTTATTGGACCATCATATAGCGATTTCTGTGTTAAGTGTTGTGGACCTCGGTCTGTTAACTTTAACGATAAATGAAGGGATTTTTCGAAAACCAATATCGTTTGTAGATAAATAATGTTAAAAATGAAACAATAAGTATTCAGATATTTTATCATGGAAAGGAAATAATAACTTTCCTAAAGAAAACTAAGAGATGGTTTTTCAAACTCTGATAATAGCAGTTAAGAAAATTTTGCTGCGATTGATATAACAAATGCGTTATTGCGGCAGAGGTATTGAGAATGGAATGACATCAAATAATGTGATTCTAAAAAGTGAAAATCAAGAGACATTACTTAGCTGAGTTTTTTATTCATGTTTTTAATCTATCAAATAAGATTGTTTCTAAAGTAAAAACAAAAAAAAAAAAAAGATAGAGAAAGAATGTAAACATTGACTTTCAAATATAGAAAAACCATACAAACAAAGCTATGAAAAGACATCAAACTGAAATGACTAATAAATAACTGAATAATACAGTTTTATTTAAGAATTTATGGGCGTTTTGTTAACAAAATGAAATAAAATGATGGTAAAAAAACAATATAACTTTCTATATTTTACATTTAACAAATTAAAAAAATATATAGTACATTAGCGACAGGGGGTTGATATTTGAATATATTATCAAAATTCATTGATATTTAGATCTTCCAACTGATCTTCGTAGACATCGTCAGGCGTATCTGTTATATCAACATTCTTCATTATTATTTGCTTACTACTGTCAGACAATTTTTTCACCCTCTTCTTTCTCTTTTCTTTAGGCTCACTAAAATTAAACAAAAATATTATCACAATATTTTTTTAAATTATTGTCTAATTAAACAATTTTGAAATATAAAACAAGTAAATAGATTGAATGATATGATGAAATATATTAGGTAGCACCCAAATACACTCCAAATTAATAAAATTAAAATATGTTATGAAGTCAAAATTACGTAATAGGAGAAAATTTATACTGTGTAAAGTATCTTGAATCTTCTATTGTAACATTACAGTGAATTAATAATGATAATTGAATCATTGTGATTGTTTTCTACTAGGAACTTGACTGAATGAATTACAATTTAAGTTAAAAATATTATAATGTCAGTTCTAGTTAAATAATGTCTTGCACGTCTTATACTCATGTAAATTCAAATCTTCTGGACTGTTTGAATTACAAAATATTTACAGACAAAATTGCATGTATTTTTTAAATTACAAATATATTGTTGATTAATTAATTTAAGCTATATATTAATGTGTAAATACAATTCAACATAATATTAATTTTTCTATATTTAATATATACAAACTGAAAACTTGTTGTATAGAGGAATTTGATAAATCTACAGTTATAACTAAATTTAGAGACAAAGAGGAGATGGAAAAATAGAATAAATTAAAAACCAAAAACTTACTCTTCAGACACTTGGGGAAATTCAAAATCTGATTCATCCGATGGCAACAGCTCAACAGGTCCTTCATCAACCTTCTTTCTTTTTAATCTGTCTTTTGACATAGAGGGCCATTTAACATCTGAATCTTCTTTCTAAAAAGGAAATACAGAGGAACATAGATATTATATTCAAAATTAAATTATTATTTTAAACTATGCGATTTTCCTAAGAATATAATAATACTGCTTCATATTAAGTTTATAGAAAAGATATTTATAATTTACTAGACATAGAATGATGAGAAGAATATGAACAAAAAAAACCTCAATGTATCCTAAGCAGATGATATTGACTTAAAAACATTCACCTTACTTAATCTGTTAATATGAAATGAATAATTTGTATTCTCTGGCATACTGTTACTTATAAATAATTTAGATCAGCTGAATTGATTTTTCGTTTGATTTTGCATACATTTATAAAAAGAAACAATTTAGAATATCAAGGACTTAAGAATAGCAAAACGAAAATAATAATAGGTGAGGTTATGCACATGGAATCACCACCGAACTCAATGAAACTTTTATTGGTGATATTAACTCAAAAATTTTAAGGGTTCTAGCCGAAATGTCTTGGAAGCCAAGAAACAATTTTCTTTTATAAATTCAAGATTATTATATACCAATTAATTAAGATCTTTGGGTGTAGTAAGAAAAACTATAGCTGATTTTGTTAAATGAGTCATGATAAAGTATGAAAACCAAAAAACTCTTCCAGTAACTTAAGTCAAGTAAATTCATATTTAAAATAAAAAGCCTATCAGAATTTGCTTTTAGCCTTTAAAAACTTAAATAAAATTTTTTAAAGAAATTAGAAAATTAATTTTTTTTACATGGTTTTAATTTGTTTATGGGGACCAGTTTTTTGTTTAGTTAAAAAGGCTTTGAATTCCTCGTAAGTACCTTGTAGATCAAGGGTGTTGTGTTGAAGTTACCACAATTTATTTTGGAAAAAAATTAAGGCTCAAAAAGTAGTCAAAAGTTTTGTTTTTCGATCATTTTAATAAAATCTCATACTTAAACAATATAAAATAATATGAACTTAGATTCGTCATAAATGAATGTCCTTTATTATGTGAGTCGGTCCAAATTTTGTCAATGATGTACTATGCATTTGGTACATAAAAGTAAAATAAAATAAACATGCTATAACTTTAATTTCATAGCAATTGAAAACAACAATTTTGTGCTCAAAAATTGTACCCACTCTTTGGACCTATGGTTTTTTTTTTTTTTTTTTTTTTTTTTTTTTAAAACATTACGATAACTTCAACACAATACTGATTTACAAGAAACTTAGCAGAGATTTAGATCCTTTTGAACTATGAAAAATGGCAAAAACCTGAGCTTTGTAAACAAATTAAAACCAGAGTTTTTATTTATTTCTCACTCTGAACGGAATCACATCTAAAACTTATCAGTATAGGTTGTGAGAGCAGTAATTTAGCATTCCAATGGTTGCAGCAACATTTAATTCAGAGAAAATCCTGCAGAGTAATGAATGGCAAGAAAAAAAAATCTTCCAATAAAATCTTGTAAAAAAAAATGATATTTTTGATTTCTAGAAATTTCATATTTAATGATTTTAAAGGAGGTTAAAAACGAATGATTGTCTTTTTATAGCAGCAAAAATTTACTTAACTTATTTTACTAGAATCTTCTTTTTTGGTTTTCAAAGTTTCTCATGCCTTTTTTAAAACTCATTTTATAGCAAAAAACAAAACCATTTGATCGGTAGAATTATTGAAAGAAGTTAGTCGACTACTCTATATACCATAGGTGATTTTAAATAATCGGAATGCAGTTATTTTTAATATTTATATTATTGCTGTCCACCCAAGCTTGTGGGTCATAATTAGGGCATGTTACAAGCACTGAAGGTGTTCAAGTACTCTAACACCTTAAAAACTTGAATACTGGGACTGAAGCCCTCTCTCCCCCAAATGGCAAAATATGACCATGTTTTATGGAAAAAAATATTTAAAAATTATCTCTTAAAGTATTATTGTTTGTGCAATTACATTTAAAATGATTTTAGGGAATCACTTAAACACTATTTCATATAGGTAGTTAGTTTCTTTCTTTTTTTCCAAAGTAATTATCGTTATTTTTATGAAAAAAAAAAAAGCTTTCGGGCTGAAGCCCCCCCCAAAATTAAATACTGGATCCGCTAGTGACACCTTCAGTGCTGGTAACATGTCCTGATTATGACCCAGCTTGATAGCAAAGTTGAATGGAAACGTCGGCAACAATAAAAATCTTTATATTACTGTGTCCTGACTATTTATCAGCTGCAAACATTTGATTGGTATATTACATAACTACACAAAAATTACCAGATTAATGAAGAAATTTAAACAAAAATATTAAACCAATATAATTATATATTGGCTCCATTGTTTGGAGGTATAAGGTAGAATGAGATTTTGAGTGAACAAAACTTGAATAACACTTGCTTAAAATTTACTTGGATCAAGTTAAATATAAAATAAGAAGCTGAATACTTGAATACACAACATATTGTAAACTTTTCATTATTGTGAACTTTACATTTAAGCAAAAAATTACTTTTAAAAATTATTATAACTTAAACAAAAAACATTATTTATTAACTTACCTCTTTTTTCTCAGATTCATTTCTCTCCCGAGATTTTTTCATCTCATTGATTTTTTGAAGTTGATCCCAATATTTTTGTAATGGGGGAACTTTAAGTTTCATGTCCGATTCGAAGGCTTTGATTTTGTCATTTTCATTCAAATTTATATTTAATTTATTTCTTTCATTATTGATGAATTTTGAATTTTCTTCAATCTTTATCAATACTTGCTTTAATTTGCTTGTGTATTTTGAATTTTTGCAATTTTTGATAACAGATTTTAGCTGAAAATCAAAGTGTAATAAAATAAAACCATATAAACAGTAACTATAACATATAAATATATTGAACATAAAAATAAATAATAAAAAATTTAAATAGGGTCAGAAAATATATTTTTAAAGAACAAAGGATCATTCTGGAATCCTTAAAAAGAAAGATAGTTCTGCCAGATTATTAATTAAACTGAATTGTTACACATGCAGATTGAAAGAGCCAACTGCAATTTTTGCAAAAACAATGGCAACACTCCACACTTAACATAAAAGGAAAAGGGTATTATAGTAACACATAAATATAATATTCAGATCCTCTTGATATTTTTAATACCTGCACCACTACAACCCATGAAGGGTCTGGGATTCAGTACTATTTAGGGAAAGCACTGTTTCTAGGCCAACGGTTGTGCAAGGAGGTGATTTGACCGAGATCACGCTCAACCGCCAGGTTTTCCCCCATAATTAATTATTTAATTAAGGGTACCCACTTTATAGAGGCTGGGTGTGCCCAGGAGGGTCTCCCCACAGCCAATGAAACAGATAAACAAATTTTCTGCCATGAGCAGGGGTTCGAACCTGGGACCTTTGCATTGGAAGCTCAGTGGATGTTTTTAATATCAATAACATATTTTTACTTTTTAAAAAATGTGTTTTTCGGAATCAGAGGGCTCTGAAACATATAGATCTGTCGAAAACTGCACATAGGAAATTTGACCTGAATTGAAGCGCAATACTTTCCTTACCTAGTATAGGTAGGAAAGTAAAATAAGATTAATGGCAAATGGCAATCAAAGAAAAACAAAATAAAATAATCAGCTGTTAAATTACATTAAAATAAAGAATTTCTCCAAGATTTAGAATTAACAAAAGATACATACAAAATAAAAGTCTCTATAGGAAAAAAAAAAAAAAGAAGAATTACTTTGAAGAAAATAAAGAAAACCAAATCTATTATAGTAACTAGTGGGTATTATATCAGCTAGCCAGGTAAGTTATTTACAAACACTAGAAACAGTCAGTTTTCTCATTATGTTCTCTTCAAATATCATCCCCAAACTGCGAGACTTCCTTATCTCCTTCCGGACACCTCGGTTTATTCATTCTAATATGTCAGCTTTCAATCTTAATTAAATTAAATTAAATTTGTTAAGTTTATGCTTTAAATCAGCAATCAAATAAGAGGCTGAGAAAACTAGAGGATGTAAACAGTTTGATTGATTTGGTATTGAAAGGACTGTCAATATAAAAAAATAATAATTTGATCAGTAGTATTTAGAAATGTATATCCATTCATCTTCACATGGTATGCAATTTTAATAAATGCAATGTTACAAGTTTTAAAACATCCACAATTAACTTAAAACACAATTCGATCAAAATAAATCCTGGTAATTTATTTTTTAAATACCTGTACAGATGCAGCAATAAAAAGATCTGGAAAAGCTATAGATGAAGAACATGCAGCTGCGTATTCCAATAACAATTGGTATACATATTCTACAACAGCATCTGGAAATCCAGTTTCGGTCATAGCTTGTTTAGACAATCGTAATACAAAAGTAAAATCAAATGGTTTCATTGAAACATTTTTGTATTGTTTATTGATATCCGCACATGATAAACCCTGAAAATAAAAATAATGTCATCAATAGATAACATCTGGATTGAGAAATTACTGTAAAAATGTATTTTATAAATTATATCTTACATCTATTATGAAAGGCAGAATTGGAATGTAACTATCTGTTTCTCGAACAAGTTTGATAAGCATTTGTATACAATGAAATCGCAGAGGGATGTATTGCGATGTAGGTATCAGTTTTATAGCACCTATTATAACCTTTAAAAAAAAAAGAAGTAAAAATTAATATTAACTATGAATAATAATGTTTTATATAATTTTTTAAAATTTAAGATTATTTATTATTATCAGATAAAAACTTATGCATTATAAGGAAATAGATGAGATTTTTCTAAGAGTAAAAATACTTAAAATGAAAAACAATTAAATAGCAACATTTTATTACATGACTTCAGATCCGCTTCTCATGGAGATAAATTAATTCTAAAATTAAGTCTCTGAATTCTCTACAAATGGAAAATCTCCCCATTAGTGATTTCCATGTTGCATGGCATTTAGGGTAATTTTTTTTTCTTACACTTCCTTACTTCCACCATAAGTCTTCTAGTAGCTCTGGGGCTGTTATAGGCGACAGTTGTGATCGTTTTGTTTTCTTGTTATCCAGAGAGCACGTGGTTTACAATAACTGGACACAATCACTTTCACTCTCTCTTCATCAGGCACTTTCCTGAAGTATGGTTGGCAATCTTTTGCAGCAATCTCCATTTTGGGATTGGGAATTAATAGCCCTATGCCCAACCCCCTTCCTGGAGGACCAGGAAGGAGCTATGGTATAAGACATATGGGTCACTCACCTCTCTGTGAATTTACTTGTAATACTTTGCAAAACTCAATTTTTTTATTTTATTTTATTAAAAGTTTATTTTAAAGCAATTAAATTATTATGAACTTCCGGACATTATAAAGATGCAATAAAAGTTAGTAAATACCAGGAGAACATTACAAGTAGATAATTTTTACAACCTTATAAACTTATTTTTAAATACAATTTTTTTTTTTAATTCAACATTATAATATATAGTTTCAAAGACATATTGCTATTACCTGTACAAGAGGATAACATAACTGAAGCAATTCCTTAGAATTGGTTTCACACATAAGATCGACCCACAACTTAAGAGAATGAATATATTGCCAATTATAAACTGACTGGAAACTTTCCTAGAAAAAAATAAATTAAATGAAATGTTATGGACTATTTTCTTTCACATAATAGTCCAAGCAAAGTAAAAATACATAACACAGTGGAGTCCCAATGTTTCGCATTTTCATGAGTCTTACAAGATTCCAGGCCATTAATATTCAGATATTGTGGTGTGATTTAGTTACAGAGAACAATTTTAAGGGAAGTAAAAATTTATTTATATCAGCTTCTTGCTATGGTGTATGGATTAGAATATTAGTAGGTTATGGTATTAGAATAATTCTATTTTATGTATATAATTAGGCTTCTATCTCCATTCATTTATTTATTTTTATAGCATTTATAATTAATTTAATAGAAAAAACCTGTACCACAACAACCCATGGAAGGTCTTGGGTTCAGTACTATTTAGGTAAAGTACTGTTTCAAGGCTAACGGTAGAACAGGGAGGGGATCAGACCAGAATCATGCTCAACCGCCAGGTTTTCTCTCTTAATCAATTATTTAATGAAGGGTACCCAATTTGTAGGGGCTGGGTGTGCTCCAGGAGGGCCCCAAGGCCATCAGAATAAATAATTTTTCTGCAATGAGCTGAGATCGAACCTGAGACCTTAAGCATTTGAAGCTTAGTGCCCTACCACTGAGCTATCCCGTCCCCATATTAATTTAATATGTTACTTTATTATTATTTCTTAATACTTTCAATTACATTATAAATAATGTAACCAACACTAAATAAACAATGGAGAAATGAAGTGTACCACCTGACTTAAAAAAAAAATCTTTAATTATTGAAACAAAGAAAATACTAAGAAGGCCAATATAAATTGCTCTTTGTATTATATTGTATAACTAATGAATACTAACTTTAATAACGGGGCCATCTAGCCATTTTAATAAAGGGCCAGATTTTTCACTAACCGCTGAAATATAAGAGGAGTTGGTAGGGGGGTGCTGTCAAATAAATACTAAATTGGTAAAATAGTATTTTATTCGTTACGCCGACGTTTCGACCCACTTTGTACGTTTTCATCAGGGCATGGTATCGGGCACTGCAGGAAGCAGTTGGTAGACTGGCCAGTCGACCGCACCCCCCCGGCCAACTCCTTCTCATATTATATCAAGGTAAACCAACTCTATACTACCACCGATATATGTTAGTTAAGAAGCATAAAAATGACTGGGATTACACTGTGGTTCAGAAAACTCTTCCAACAAATAATAAACTATAGCTTACCTTCTTTTGTAAGGTAACAGCATTTCTCAAATGAATGGCAAGTTGCCTGATGTAGAGGAAACAATGCTGATAGCTCAAAACAGGGTCTAAATTAAATAAATCAACAAGTGATCTTTTCATGAAATTTATTTGTGCCAGAGTGTTTATAGACACAAATTTTGATCCTCTGATGTAAGCTATATACAAGTACTAAAACAGAATATAATAAATTTATATTTATGATTTTCAAATATATGTATATTAAGATTAATGGACAAAAAAACATAAATTTATTTAATATTGAAGAAAATATGCATTGGCATTTGTATTTCAGCTATCATTTAATGAAAGTCCAAAATGTTTTTTATTATTTTAGTTCCATTTTCCTTTGTCACTTATAGTATCGATAATACAATAAAAAATAATTTAAACCTAAATTTAAATAGAAGTGAGAAAATTATAATAAAAATTATTAATGTTTAAATTTAAAAATTATTAATGGGCCCATATATCTGGTCCATGATCTCTCCAATTCAATTTATTTTACATAGATAATAATGAAACCAACCAATAAAGATCGAAAACGGTAACCAATAAAGATTGAAAAATATTAACTAAAAAAAAATAATAATTACCTTTAATGCGCTATTAAGCAAATTCGATTTTTTTAATGTACATAATCGTAGTATACACAAATATGCTAACACTCGTACACTCTCTTCCCCAGTACTCCATAATTTAGTCAATTGCTTTAATGCAACCCTACTCAATTTGTGAAAATAAATGACAATGTGGCAACATGAATGCAAGTGTTTCAGAAGTACACTGACAATATTTTCTGAGGCTACACCGGCCAACAACTACAAAAATAAATAAAAAAATGAGAAATATTATAATATTTGTAGACATCTCTATGCAAAGTTTTTTTTAAATAATAAACAGCGTACCTTCAAAAGATCAGTAAAATATCCTTCGACCAATGATCTTACTTTCACCCATTTCTTTGCCTTTTCAGGATGTTTGATATTAGATGGGTTGAGTTTCAAAAAATCATTAATTGATTTGTGAAGATGCAAAACACACATTTCAATTATTGCATTAAAAACTAAAAATAAATACAAAATAAAATTTTTATTTAAAGTATGAGAATATACATATAAAATTTTAAAAGATTGTAATAATCAAGAAATTAATAAAACTTTTTTTTTTAACTTTTATTATGATATTTACAACTGTATTAGTATGAATATATCAAGTAAATGTGTACAGAGAAATATTATCACATGAAACACGCTTGTTGAGAAACTACCCACTGGTAGCACTCTAATAATAAAACTAAAACCTATTTTTTCAGTTAGAACAGCAAGGCAGTAATTTTTGGTGCAGGTGATATTCATGAAGTATGAGTAAGTAAATTAATAATTAACTAGTAGACCCGTGCAAAAATTTGCACAGTATATTGTTCGGTGATCAAATAATAAATAATAAGAAAATTAAATAATGCAATGTATGAAAAGAAATCAAGTGTTACTTTCTCGCAAAATATAATCGACAAAGGAAACAAAAATTAATTTAAAACTTTTTTAATGTTTGGAACCAAGTTTAAAAATTTCTATAAGCTGCATTTTTGCTAATAATAGTCTGATTTCGATGATTGTTTTTTTCTTTTGTAGGGAATTTAGTAATCTTTTATATAAACATGGACATGACCCAGGGAAAAGTGTGTAATTTTTTAGTTATTCGCTAATAGTTTCTTTTCTTTCATAACTTTTTTGCCAGAATTATCTGGGTGATAGTACTATTTTTCCCGCCTGAAGGAGAAGGAAACCTTCAATCTTGTGGATTTGGTGAAGAATTAACGATGATATGGTACAACATGACAGTACTACAATTAACGTAAGGTTGAGTGGATGGGAACCCTTTGCCTTGCACTATCTCAAAAACAGTACGTTTTTGGACTTTAAAACGCAGGGCCCGAAGGGTCTTGGTGTACGCATCAAAATCTTCAAAGCCCAATATGTCCTGTATCAATCTACAGACTTACCACCGTTCCTGTATTGAAGCCTAGCAAAATGTTTATAACGACTTTATTTATTTTAGAAAGAAAAACAAAAGCGGATAGTACGATTCGCTGGCCCTCCCGTGAAATTCTGAATCCAACAGTAAACTATTCATGGTATTTGAGCATGACAGGAGCTTATGTTTGGTACAAAACCGATTTTGAGCCTTACTGTAATAATATATCTGGTGATAATAAAATTAAAATAAGCTTCAACAAATTATTTCAGTATTCAACAAAAGTATTAATTGTTAAATTAAATCCTTTGAAGTTAACTGCCAAACATGTTACATTACGTGATGTAACATGCTCCATCCGACTGACTGCCATTTTTTAAGAGCCATTGATGCATTTAAAAAAAAAATCCTGAATGAAAAGAAGGTAAAATTTGAAAGACATAAATCCAAAGAAGACTCTTGGCAGCCAACAAATACTAATTTCTGCATAAATTTCTTCGAACAAGGAAAAATAAAAACCTTGTTGGGTGTTGGAACAAATGAATTGAAGCAGAAGGAAGGCTTTGAATAAAAATACTTGATTTGAGACTTTGAATAAAAATAATATTAAGTTATTATTTTATTTTCCTCATGCACAAGGAAATGACAATTCTTCATATGTTCCAACTGCATAAAAAATGAAGTAAAAAACACCCTTGGTAGGATTTCAAAAACATCAGGTTAAATAAATAAAACATATGTTAATTCATGCCAAATCTATGCTTGCAGGAACTCGTGAAGCTGTACAAGAGCTGCCTTTTCATAAATATTGGGAATAACATCTTTAAGAGGGTTGAATTTGTTTACTTATACTATTAGACCAACTCTTAACACTGATGTAAAGGCAGAAATTCAAAAAATAATCTTCGGTGCCAACAAATGCTACGTTTGCCTTCATAAGTACAGCCATCTTCCAATTAAAAAGGTAAGCATCTACAAGACACAGATCAGATCTGTTTTGACCTATTATTCACAATGTTGGGTAAGAAGATATTATAGAGACATGTTTAGCCCCTTGAATAGTAATGGAATATGGCAGATCTGGATCAATACAGTAAGTGAACTGTATACCAACCCTGAAATCGTAAAATTAATGAATATATTCCTGAGCTCTTCCTATAGGGAGAATTTTCTGCCTTATATTGATTAAACTGAAATATAAAAAATATTAAGTGAAAACTTAAGGTCAGTATACAAATCTTTTTACCTCCGCTGCCATCAACTTTCAATTCCGAGTTGTCTTCACCAGTTACTCGATCGAGTGCAGCATGAAATGCTTCGACAGCTTTAGATATACTTCCAACAGACCTGTAAATTAAACAAAAGAAAATTATAACTAATAAAATAAAATAAAACAAATCTAGATTTTATTTGATTAGATTCTAGTTTCATTAAATAATAAAATAGTTATTTTAGATAATCTGAAGTTTTTTTTTAAAGGAAACATTTAACTACATGAATATAGTAAGTTCTTCTTACCATGAAGGAATGTACTGCAAGCCTTAATTATGAGTTCTGAATGAATGAATTTTACCCCACATAGGAAGAAAAATTGTATAATACATTTTTTTTTTATATTTGAAAAAATACATGATACTCAAGTCTTTAATGAATAATAGCAAATTTAATATCCATTTAATAGTAAATAATATAATACTTTAAATCTTGATAATAGTTAATTTTACTTGACTTTTATACAATTCTTTCAATGAACAAGTAAATTTCTTTTCTGTGAAACTTCAGAAGTTCGAAAGGGAACAGATAACTAGGCCACATCACCCCACGAGTTTTAAACACTCTGCATTTTAGAAAATAATGTAGAAAGCTTTGAAAAATATGATCAGTCTCTAATTGGCTGATGGGTTCTTTAATATTATAAGGTAATATTGATTCAATCATTGAAAGTTAATTTCCCACTGCTAGACATAGAAAACTAAATAAAGAAAATACAATTAACATATCAATAATTATTTTTAATTTCATCATTTGTGAAAAGAATAGGCTGATATTTTATGAAGCAGTTAGACATGAGGCTGAGTAGAACCAATCCCTGATCTTTCTTAATTCAATACTAGTTCGTTTCTGCAGGGATGCCCATCCTCCCCAAAGTCGATGTCGCAAGAACCTGCCCTCTCCTCCCAAGATATTTTATTGCTAACCTTTTCATACAAACAGAGCAAGAGAAAGTAGAATTAGTCAAATCGTAGCTCATATACAATTACACTTGCTGTAGTCTGTTCCACGTTATCTCCTTGCTCCTTGTTCTGAAACTTTTCATTCCGAATTCATAACCCTATTGAAATTCCCCCTCCCCTCAAATGCCCTTCTGGGCACCCCTTCTGAATTCAAGAACATTAAATAAATAAGAGATCTTTTAAAAGGCATATAATATACTTACGGTTCATTGATTAAATTTTCCCGCCATTTTTTAACCATGGCCATTGTAACTTGTTTGTCACTTTTTTTCTCATTTTCCTCTTCAAAATCACTTTCTTCACTATCAACCTAGAGATCAATTAGTAATAAAATTATTAAAATTTAAATATTTTTAGCTCTTTTTGTTAAATTACAGAGGAAATGTTGAGATAAGGATGGTGATATTAGAAAAAATGTAAGTAAATAAAACATCACATAAATATTAACATTGCCTTACGCAATTCTAAAAAAAAAAAATACTAATTTCATTATCGGTGACCTCCTTAATGATAGATATATGACATATTTCAATCTGAAAATGTCTTGGAAAAATATATTTGACATAAAAATGGTTACTATTCGATTATGCGTGAAGAAACTGATGCAGCTAACTAACTCATTTTAGTCAAAAATTGAATAAGACATTGTTAGAATTTATATGGTGATACATAATAATTCATTCAATTGAAGCCATAATGACTTCATGTGTTAAGCTATCCTGGATTGAATTTTATTTTGTGATAGACGCACAGAACGGACTTCAGCCTTCCCACTCTAGATAGAATAGGTCGGTTATTTTTATGATAAACATCCCATATGCCAGAAATGGCCAGATAGTAAGAAAATAATTATATAAATACAGGTGTTTGTAAAAAAAATTTTAAATGTGGCACAAGAGGAAGAGGAAATAACAACTATACTAGCAACACAATCAATGGTTCACTTACACAGTCTATATTCCATAGAACATACTAATAATCCACTGGGAATCGCAAAACTTGTCTGCTATTATAGAAGAAAAATAAAAACAACATTAACATCGTGAAGTTGGAAAATAAGATTTTAATAACTGGAAAACTATTTGGGTATGAGATTCATAACTATGTTTTCAGAGATGTTCAAAATGATCTTTCCTTTTATAAGAGATAAACTTTTTAAGATGAATAAAATAAAATATCAAGCCTCTCCTACAGTCATTCATTGTATTATTTTTGTTGAGTAATTCAACAATGATTGACTGTTTAAGGAAAGTGTTTAGTGTCAAACAAATCTCAAGAGAAGATCTCAGTAATTTTTTATCAAATCAATGTAAGTGATTTCTATAAGATTTTTTCCAGATAAATTCTTTATACTTCCTACAAAAATTGAATTAATCATCAATAAATGGAAACAGAAGTATGGAAACATTTAGTAGAATCCCTTCAAAGAAGCGTAAAAATAAATAATTAAATTGATTTTAACCTAAATGTTTAGGGTCAGAAATAAAAATCAATAGAAAATGCAATCCCTCTATGAGGGATAAATAATATATAACTGACAGTAAATATCCTTAATATCCTATTTTAAATTTTACAAGGAAAGTTGATTGGGGATTCCATTAATGGAAGTACACAAAAATAAATTATATTTATTTTCTTTGTGCTGATGTTTCGGCATAAGTTTTAGACTTTCATCAGAGCTGCTCTTTGAAAGGATATCAGCGAGTTAACATCCTTTGAATAAGCATTCCTGATGAAAGTCTGAAACATCAAAACAAAGTAAATAAATATAATTACTTTTGTATACTTCCATTAATGCAATTTTCAATCAACTTCTCTTATAAGAATCAACAATTAGCAATTACTTTATGTATTATTTATTAAAAGTGAAAAAAGGTTGGCATGGTCGGGATAGATACTAAGATAGGTTTTAGAAATGCTCTAGAAAAGGACAATAAATATGATATTTAAGTAGAAAATACAGTAAAAAAGGAAAACAAAAAGAGAATACCATCATTGTATAGGATAATTACGGTTGAAGAACTTCATATAATGTAAAATTAAATAAGTTAGAAGATGCTATGAGCCAAATATTTTGGAAGGAAATAAATAAAATTGGTTGACAAGAAAATCATAACTATTTAAAATTATTAGTAGACTGAACATTATGAAGTTAAAACACAGAAAACATTTTAAAAATGTACTCCTTATTTTAAAACTTACATGAAGTTGAGAGGGAAGTTTATAGACTTTTCCTTCATCATCAGATTCCTTAGCTTCTTCTTCTACTTCTTCTTCTGAGCTACTGTATTCCAACAATTTTTTATCATTTTCCTTCAAAAATTTGTAAAACTCTGGATCGGTCTTTTGCAATTTTGCCAATGACTTCTTATGAGATTCACTGAAATCAACTATTAAAAAAGCAGATATTAGAGGTAAGATAGTCCTTCGTCATTTAGTATAAGTAGATACTTATATAGATTATGATTAAATTATAATATTAGATAGCACTAATTAAAAAATAAAAAAAAGAAGATAAATATGTAGGTATTCTTGCTCTGAAACTCCTCTGGTTATAAGTTAGGTTCTACTTAAAATTAGATTTATTTCTACTATAAAAGCTTAAAATATCTTAATAACACATTATGATGAGTGATAAATTCAATTTTGTAGAATTTGTAGTCTAATAAGGTAATTTAAGGAATTATAGTCATCTTTGTCTACTTTCAGATACATTCCGCCTTTCTCATATTCCGTTTTTAGTATGATAAAATGATTTTGAGTTGCACTGTACAAATTTCACTCCACCTTGTCCGATGAGCTGGTACCAGTTTACTTATGTTACTCCACCGACCCACATGGATGCTACAGGTTAACCGGAAATGTTTGCTATAAGGTTAAACAAATTTTTTTTTTTTAATTGTTTGTAAGTTAGTTTATTTTATAAAACGATAAGTCTCTGAATTGATAAGACATATAACCATAATAACTATATAATATTCATTAATGTATGCCTTCAATTCATTGAAAACTTCACATCAATATGTTTTTCTATATTGAGCCACTTTTTGTAGGTCAATTTGGTCATTAGTGGTGATAATTTATTCTTATTTGAACATCCAATAGCTCCATACTCAATAGTTAATTTACTTACGACCTTCCTAAACAATTGGGGGACACATTAGGAAGGAACTAAAAAAGTTATTAAAGAATGTCAGGCAAGGTTCAGGAATCATTACTCTACCAGACAATATTAGAACTTACATAAACTAATTTAATTAGCTAAAGATGAATAATTACGTATCGTTACTTTGCTTAAATTAAAAAGTGTTTCGTCTTTTTGTATTGGGTATACTCCAGATGGTAAAAACACCACATCCATCCTTATTTACTTAGTTAAACACCGGAGAACAATAGTACGAGGAATATTACCAACTTATAATCGTAATATTTCTTCTCAATTTGGTCATCATTCTCACAGTTCTTCTGAAAATTACTACTGGACCTGCCTCTGGTAACATATCTAATATCTACTGATTAGATATGTTAGTTTCTAAAATTAATAATACAGCGATTAATGTGACCAAAGAGGAGGTATGAGATGAATCAATGGGCTTAAAGATCATTAACAAACACTGAGTAAATTACCAAAATCAAAAACTTCCTACCTTCAGGTTCATCATCAGATTCATTCCCATCTTCTTGAGAATCATCACTTTCTTTATCTGAATTTTCCGCATTTTCTTCTTCAGACTGTCCATCTGACGTTTCCCCATTTTCTTCTTCATACTGCTCATCTGAATCATTCTCTTCATCCTCTACATTAGAAGACAATTTATCTTCATCGCTGTAATCCGATTCGTTGGGAACAGCCATGACAACAAGCTTATATTTATTTTTATATTTTATGAAAAATTTCTTAGAGGAATATTAAAAACAGTTATTAAAATATTAAAAATAAAAATAGGTAAATGGACACAAAAGTTCACCCAAACAAAAAACACGTGGGGGACGTTACTAGGAGCAGGTTATAGTATAGATATCAGATACCTGTCAAAATCGTTTTTACCAAAGAAGTTATAAGTTGGTTGGCAAAGTTAGATAACTCCGTAATTTAAATATTAATTGACTGCCATTTTATACCAGATAAATATCTCTTTCATTGTTCATTTTCATTATTCTTAGAGATAAATGCTCCAGAATAAAATTAACTTTTCTTCTACTGCTATAGGCCCTTACATTCTTCTCAAGAAAACTCTTCCAAATACACTCATACAATTTTCATTGGGTTTTGTTATGGTCCCGGCTTCTGTTTCATAAATTAAATATAATAAGTACCAGGTCATTATGTTTCTGATTAGCTTGGTGAGCTCAAGAAGCCCAAGTAACAGCGATTAACCACATTAATTATCATATTTATGGCTTGAGAATTGTGATAGTGAATATGAATTTGGAAATAACGTGGGGCAATACTGGACACCTCCTTCTATTTCACGTTTCAAAGACTCAAAGGATTCATTTCTTAATTTTAGAAACGTCATACTTCTGTTATTCTAATATATCTGCTTAATGCTTCTTATATGGTTAATTGAGGTAAAAAATAAAAAAACTCAACATATCCTGTAGTTAGAAAAAATGTAAAAATAAACTCATTGTTTATTAAAGTGAAGTTAACTTCCAGTTTGTGGTCTATTATCTCGTATTAAAAAATGATCAGAGGAGTAAGGAGTAAATAAATCAAGAGGTTAAGAAACTTTTTTTAATTGTAAAGGTTCAGAAAAGGAACAAACCTAGGAAATATTGCCAACGGAAAGTTGGATAGAGTCATTTCAACTTGGCATACCAATTGGAGACATGGGTACGCCTTGAAACTCCAAAGAAGCAATTCATTAGTCTCTTCAATCTAATCTCGTGTCAACCAAACAGCTCACTATGTACAAGGCAGCTATAATTTAATATTTATACGATCAGTGAGTCGTAGTTCCAAAAACCATTTTTGTGAACGTTGTGTTGATGTAAGGCTTGAAATTAATACGGAAGCCCAGTACTACAAACAATAATTATTTTATCTATGAGCAAATAAAGAACTATGGCCGCAGGTGATGGTTCTATTATCGCGCTAAATGATTGTGTTGCCCTAAAGACTATATGTATATATTTTGTCCTTGCCTTTTAGGATAAATGGAAGTTTCCCGGACCAGGAGGTGAGGCCAGGGAATTAATGTTAAAACCACCTCTTGCCACCTGGACGCGAAATCGTAATTATTTTATTGTCTTTAACTTCGGTTATCAGGTTGCCAGACAACGCGCGGGGTTGTGCACACGCGTTACCCCGATCCTTCTGTGTGTTTATCTGCAATATATTCCAATGTTTGGAAGAAGTGTGGTTAAATACGATTGTAATTATAGATGCATACGTCTCAGCTTTTGGGACTAGATATGGTAATGAAAGACTTTTGCTTCTGAATGATCGCAAACTGATTTCGTTCCTGAGTTTGATTACTTAGAAGAATGAATTCATCTGTCCTCCCTCCCCCAATATTAGTGAATTATAGCTTCTTAACTATTACTAATTATTTCATATACTATTTAGTTTTATTGTTCCAGATCAGTTTACATCTCATGTTTTTATGTTGTGTAATATTCTGACTTTTTTGAAAAACGTCCTTCAGTTCATATGAATCTTGTTCAGAGGGAAATATAATCAAGGACAAGGGCAATTCGTATTTGTATCTCTTTGTTGTCGATTTTTCGTAATGATAACGATAAAGTTGTCTTATACCTTGTCAGAAGTGGCGCCTTTAGTGTGCAATTATAAATTTAGATTCACCTCTTATTTTTATAAATTCTGCAGTTATAATTGCTTTTAACGAAGCTCATTCATTATGACAATTTTAGAATGCCCTCTGTGCTGTGCTGAAAGGTTTACTGACATTTGCTCTTTGGAGAGCCATTTACTTGATATTTGTGAAAATATAATTTGTCCTGTTTGTGAATTACAATTTCAAACTATAAAAACCTTAGCTTGGCATTTGGGGCAGGAATGCAACATTCTGTCAAAGCATCTCCCTGACATGGCAAACAAAAAAGGATTGAATCCTACCAAGTGTCATACAAAGCCTAGATCATTAATTAAGGTATTTCATTCTCTTTTAGAGAACTTTTTAACACTTTGAATCCAGACACATATGCTTGGTCTTAATTATTTTTAAAATTTTATATATATTGTATTTGTAATATCGAGATCTTTCATAATACACATCTTTCAAATCTTTGCATTGTCAATGATAAATTACATAGACAATCAGTATTAATATTTAAATTACAAATATAAAATGCCATAGTTTGAGATTATTAAAAAGGATGCTATTTCTTAATTTGAAGTATATTTATGCTGATGTATGCTACCATTCCTGTATTGATATGTAAAGCTACAATTTCCTGTATTGTAAGATGTAAATATTTTCTTAGGATTTCTGATTGTTTGTGTGACTCTCTATTTATTTGATTTATAACACAAACAACCAATTAAGCATTAAAATGTTAAACAATAAGGCTATCTATTTCTTGATTACTATTTATGTACTATTATTAGAAGAGTATTCTAATAAATGCGTATCATACATTAAAAAATATACATTAACAGAAGAAATTATCCTGAAATAAAGTTGAAATTGGATTGAAACATCTCAACGTGCTGACTAATTTTTATCCTTTTTATATTTATTTTAATAGGATAGAATAGGATGAACTAGTAACATTTATTTATTTTTTCTTGGATTATTCTTCTTTAAGTAATGGTATTGCAGATTTATTTTACAATTTTCTAATAATTCATTTAATTTAAAGTTTAATAATAAAAATATTAATTTATCTATATAGTTGGCTTATTTATTTTTAAAAATAAATTTATAACCCAGGACAAATAACAATAATTGTTTTTGAAGTGGTGATAGGTAAAATTGAGAACAAATCTATTAATGTCATAGTTTATACATAAGATGATTTTATCCTCTATTTTGTAGTAAATATAATATTCACATGATTAGGAAACATCCAAGAATGTTGAAAATAATACTAAAAATATTAGTGAAGAACTAGTCATCAGGGGTGAAGTTCCTGGAGATGATAAAATTATTGAAAACAACAATGAATTTTTGAAAGTTAAAGGTATAATATTTGTATATAATAATAATAATATTTAATTTAATACATTATGCATGTATAAGTCTTATAGAATGAAATACATAATTTAAGATTTAATATTAAAATATTGCCATCAATACATTTTTCTTATGAATCAGATTGATAGTTGACTGTTGTATATGTGTATATTGAAGAGAAATTGGTTGGGGTTTTCAGTAAATAAAAATACAATATTTTTTCTATGATTTTATCACCATTAAAATGAAACCAATTTAACAAAAAGTATGAGGTTCAATTCAAATAGCACAGTTGAAATGAAATTAATCAACAAGGCTTTACCAACTTTTTAAAAGAATATTATGAATTTGTCTTTCCACTCTCGTAATATGAGGTATCAACCTATAGATTTATACATCCCCTCCCATAAAACTACTTCCTTCAGCAAATCCTTCGTCATTCGTGCTATCTCCTTTTGGAACTCTCTTCCTACCTCCATACGTCAATCCTCGTCCACTAATTCCATCAAACAACTCCTGTTCCACCACCTATTCCACATTCAAACTTCCGCTAATATGTAAAATTACTTGTATATGTATACTGTGTAATTTCAACTATTGCACAACTGCAATAACAATGAGCACTATATCAGCTTGTATTTTTTATTATTTTAAACCAGACTAATACCCATAAATTTGTAACACTGTTATTATTCTTTGGGGACTGTAGTCCCAGAATAAAATTATTTTTTCATTTCATATTTTAACAGAGTTCATAAGAATAATTTCATCGCTCGCAAATGTTTATTGAAATAGTTTTTGATGTTTTAAGGTTGATGTTTGTAATGACTATTTATTTATTATTTTAATGCTTTGTAGATTCCTCATTTAATGTTGTTTCTGATGATAATATTACTGAAATCGAATCCAGGAGTGTTTACGAAGGGTGTATAGAAGATAATAGAGAATATTCTGCTTCTTTATACAGCTGTTCAGTCTGTGATATTACTTTTTCTTCTGTAAAAGAACATTTAAATGAATTCCATAAATATGAAAATGTAATATTTGATAACAATACAAATGTGAGTTTAACATCAAGAACATTTTTGTTGGTTTAATTAATCCGTTTATTATTTAAATATTATTTTTAAAGGAAGACATGGGTGAAACAAATAATGAAAATTTAGTCGACAGTAGTGTAAATGAGGCTTTTCCGAAAAATTCATCAACATGGGCCCAGGAAGAAGTCGCCAATTTGATGGTATTTGTTATATATTATTTATTTGTTTATAATTAATTTTATGTGTTGATAAATTAATTTTTTAATGTATATTTCACTCTCACATCGATTTTATTAATGTCTTGTTTTAAAAAGAAGACCAGTATTTTATGTAATTGTATCATCTTAAAAAAAATCATAAATAAAATTTTTAAAAAATACCACTTTGGTCATAAATGAGTTAATTAGAAAGAAAAAGTAAATAAAACTGTAATGATTTGTATACAGCGTAGAAGTGTAACAATTGAATGTTATGCAACAAAAATGTTTAACATCCTTTTCCACTCCAATTATAACTTATAGAATAGCAGAGTCCTAAGAATTTAAAAACAGAATTTAAGGTCTGCGTAACAGGTTTTCCAAGTATACATCTCATTGATAGGAGATATACTTGAAGAATGATTGCATTAAAATGTGCATTATATAGGATCTTATCATTGCAATGTCTTAGTTAATTTTTTTTTTTTCTATAAAGGAATTGTCATGGTCAATTCAAGAATCAAGTTGAAATCCTGGCATTTGATTGTATTTTTTTCATAATAAATTATTTGTTATTTAATAGGCTTATTGCAATTATATAATTTAACCACTTCATAAAAGGTATAAATTAATTTAAATGAAATGTATTATTATAGATATAAATAAATAATTTCATTTATTATTATGGGTGATAAATATTCAGGATGCAGTCATTATAAAGTTTTCATTGGTTCCAACGTTTCAACCCAAACATTTGGGTCATAACATACCTTGATGATGACCCAGATGTTTCGATTGAAACATTGGCACCAATAAAAACTTTGTAATGACTGTGTCCTGAATAATTATCACCCATGATATGTAGAACAGTAGACTAAGTTCCTTCAATAATTCATTTATTATTTATTTTATTTATTAGATTGTTAATTGGGATTCCAAAATTGATAGTTTGGTAAAAGCTGGACCTGGTGTTTCTGAAAATCCTTGTATGGAATCTGTTTCTAATGGTGATGAAAAGATTATGACTTCTAAAGAATATTATATTTCCAATTCAGAAGAAACTGAAGAACCTATTGATAAAACAAACATTTCAACAAAAGATGATAAAATGATAAATGATACAGTAAACATAAGTAGTGTTTCTAGGCTAGATGAGGAATGGCCTGAGTTATTGAAGAAGTATCCAGTAGCAACATTTGTCGAGTGTAATGAAATGGTTACTGATAAAAACGTTGGTTATTTATGTGAAAACAAACCTTACGTATTTAACGAGCATCGTGTGAGTGTTTGATTATTTCAAATATGATTACTATTAATATAATATTTTATTTTTCTAATTGCATGATAATTATGTAGATATATGTATTTTTTTTTTTAGGTAAGACTTCTTAAATTTAGTCAGAAAATGGATCCTCCAAAAATTGAAGATATCCCATTTCCTGAAGAACCTCCTGATTTCATCGAACCAATTCTGCAACTAGCTGATGATGTTCCTCAAGATTTAGCTGGTTCATACGCTGTTCTGTGGCCTTGCCATCTCTGCGGTGCATTTGTCTACCATTGGTCTGACCTCGCAAAACATTGTTGTAGCTCTTCTCCAAAATATTATCCTTGTACCATTTGCAGGAAGTCCTTCCAAACTCGAAGGAGTTTGAACAATCATTATTCTGTAAAAAATCTATTATTTTACATTTTGTTTGTTAATTTTCTTCTTCTTATTTTCCATTAAATTTTCAGGTGGTTCATAAAATTATACATTCATCAGGTGGATGTTTTCCATGTCCTCTTTGTCCCGCAAAGGTACAGACCTCTTCACATTTGGAGAAACATTTAGCGATGCACAGGAAAAATGATCTGATAAAATGTGATCTTTGTGAGAGTATGATTCAAAGGTCTACTTATTCTGATCATTTGAAGGCACATGGAACAAATGGAACTCTTAGTTTAGTTTGCCAGTAAGATATTTTTATTTGTTTATTTTATGAATTAGGTTAGGAAGAGAGAGGAAAATAGGATATGAGGTAGAGATAGAAATATGAGGAGGAATAGGACAAATATATATAAGGGGAGAGAAGGGAAAGAAAGGGAAGTAAAATGTTAATGAATGAATGAAAGAAACTATCAAAAAAGAAAAAAAAATTAAATATAAAAATAATACATATAAATAAAATAAAAAATATTGTATACTATTCTCATATACACTGACAGGCAAAAAATTCCACCAACTTAATTTTTCCATGTTTTCATCTAAAAATATTTCTGTAAAGTTGTATTTGTATACATGATATTTGTAGATGATACTTAGTATTTATGGAATTTTATAATCTTTTTCACCTTTAATAATCAAAATGTGATTGGGTAAGAAAGATTAGAGAAAAAAAAATTGAAAAACGAACCATTATTATTCTAAAAGAAATTAATTACATCATCGTTTAGTAGCGCGTGTTTCCTCCTCTTGCCTTCACTACTTCTTGAAGACGCCTTGGCATACTTTCCACCAGTCGGGAAATGTCCCTTTGCTGGAGGATAGACCATTCCTCCCGAAGAGTCCTTTTAAGATCCTGCAGTGTATCAGGAAGTGTTGTATACGCTCTTATTCGTCTTCCGAGCTTATCCCATAAATGCTCAATGGGGTTCAAATCTGGAGAACAGGCTGGCCAGGCTAAAACCTCAATATTGTTCTGTTGAAGGAACATCTGCACTATGCGGGCGACATGTGGGCGTGCATTATCATGCATTAGAATAGAACGATCGCCGATTTCGTTGAGGATAGGCAACACATGAGGTTCCAAAATCTCATCTACATAGTGAATGGCCGTCAAAGACCCTCCACGAACAACAACCAATTCTGTGCGGCTCGCCATTGAAATCCCAGCCCACACCATTAAGGAACCACATTGGAAAGGGCTCTGGGAAAAATTACAGGCTGCATATCTTTCGTTTCTTCTTTTTCACGCCCGTCTGGAGATCAAAGAGCGAATCTTGACTCATTTGTAAAAAGTACAGCACTCCATTCATCCATAGTTCAATGGCTGTGTTCTCGAGCAAAAGCCAGCCGTGTTACTCTGTGAGTTCTGGTCAACTCTGGTCCTCTTACTGGACGAAAAGCCATTAATCCATACTCATTTAATCTTCTCCGAGCTGTACGTTCAGAAATTTGCACACCTCGAACTTCTTCGAGCTGATAAATCGCTTGAACAACGGTAAGGTGCTGGTTTCGTAAAATTCTCAAAGTCAAAAACCGGTCATCCCATGGTTCTGTTACCCTAGGCCGTCCAGAACCGGGCCTTCTATTGTAAGAACCAGTTTCCCGAAAACGCCTGACAGTGTCTTGTAAAGTTTCATATGGAACTCCGATGGCATTAGCTGCATATCTAATGGAACGTCCATCATCAATAAGTGCCACACCATGTGCAACATCCTCAGCGCTAAGAGACATTTTTACACTTAATATTGAGATTTTAAATTAAAAGCCGGAGACTAAGAAATGTGCTGCAAGAAACGGCACTGAACATTTTAATGATACTGAATAAACATTTTGATTCCATAGAAAGTAAACATTGGAATCCAGAATCATTTCATTGAATTAAGGATTAAGGGTTATTGCCCTCTATATTAACATTCCTAATTGAAAAATAAAACAAAAAGATTACCTATTTATTCATTAAAAATAATAGACCAATCCAAAGCAGAAATATTTTTAGATGAAAACATGAAAAATTCAAGTGGGTGGAATTTTTTGCCTATCAGTGTATATAAGGGGAGAGAAGGGAAAGAAAGGGAAGTAAAATGTTAATGAATGAATGAAAGAAACTGTCAAAACAGAAGACAAAAAAAATTGAATGTGAAAATAATACATATCTATAAAATAAAAAAAAATATATTGTTTACTATTCTCATGTATAATGTTAATACTGTATATTTATTCATTAGTTTTAAGAAGTTGTCCATAATGATTTATAAGTATGCTGTTTGTAGCAACGCAATATAATTAGGCAGCATCCTTTTATGAAAATAAAATGATTCTCTGTTCAAGTTACAAACATATTTATGAAAATTTAATTATAATAATTTCTCATATTGTTAAATTTCAGATTATGTAACCGACCTTTCAAAGGAAAAAGTGAGCTTGAGTTACATATTCCACAATGCCACTTGAAGTATAATGAATCAGATAATCTTAAATGTCAAAAATGTAAGTTAAATTACGAAGATTTACAAACACTTCGGGAACATCTGGTTTCTCATGGCATTTCTATGAAGCCTCACCTGTGTGCCTTCTGTCCGAAATCATACAATCGTCTTATTGATAAGGTAATTCATATTTTACTTAATGTTAAATTTGTCATCATAACTAAGAAGATAAACTGATCTACTCTAGTTTTAGCTATTATTATGGCAAGCTTTTCAACCTCATCTCACACTCGAATATATGTTACAGACTTAGAAAAAATGAATCATTATAGAAAACAAATACATATATTGTAATGAATGCATCTATGTGTATTGAAATTTAATTATTTGTAACATTTTTTTTTTTTAGTAACATTATAATTTTCTTAATTGAAAAGATTTTAATTTTAACAACACTGAATTTGATAATGGTTTTGTATTTCAAAAAATATATAAATAGGATAGAATGATTTTATTTTCATTTAAAGGGTGCTGCCCAGTTATATTGGGTTGCTACAGACACAGCAAACTTGTCAATTAATATAATGGACAATTCTTAAAACTTATATACAAATATACAGTATCATCAATATATATTAGCAAAGTAAACATTTTTTATGTATTTTTTTTTTCTTCTTTTTTCATTATTTCTTTTATTAACATTCCATTTCCCTTTCTTTCCCTTCTCTCCCCTTTTACATTTTTCTGATTCTTCCTCATATTCTCCCCTCTCTCTTTCTAACCTAATTCATACTTTCTGATATCAAATTATATAATTATTACAAGAAAAAAAGTGCACAAACAATAAAAAACTAAATAAAATGAATATATACAAATACAGTAGACATTCTCAATAAATAATGTTAATATATTAGTTTAAAAAAATCCAGGCATTATTGAATCCAGATGGTTCTATAACATATGAAGAAGACATTGAAGCTTCCTTTCTTGTCTGAAAAAATTATAGCTTGGTTGGCAACTGTAAATTAGATGTTTCATAGATGTGGATTAGTTCAAAGTGACTCCATCGTTAAATTGGTTTGTTAATCACTTCAGTCTGTGTTATTCAAAGTGAGTCCATCGTTAAATTGGTTTATTAATCACTTCAGTCTGTTTGTTATTCATAGTGAGTTTTTTACAAAGAAGGTTCTTTGTAAAGTTGTTAAACAGAAATCGGTATTTAATCATTGCTTTCTCAATGTGTGTCATAGATATTTAAAATTTATTTCCATTTATTCTAAAGTGAACAAGTGTATTGTACTGTGTGTTTAACTAAAGGCCTCCACTAAGGATTGTAATTGAAGATGATAATTTATATTGTAAATTAATAATAACAATCATTAATTGATTGTAAATGTATTGATAAATTTTGGACACAGTTTAAATTTTTATTGTTAACTATGTTATCTTTTAATTTATTCTTTTTAATGACAGCTGTTTTTCTGTTTATTTGTCCTTTGAAAGTAAAAAATCTGCCTAGATAACTATAGTAAATCATAATAAAATTATGTTTTTATTTTTGGAAAATATATATACATATATTTTTTTTTTTTTTGTTACTGCTTCATTATTTTGGAAGTGCATTGAGCTGATGTGTATAAAGCTGTATCTTCTGCTTGTAGGAACTTCATTTATTTTAGAGTGGAAAATCGCATACAAGCAGATTAAGTATAGTTTGATTAATGATTTTATTAGTCGGTTAAAGATTTAATCATTAGACCTTGTGGAAAGCTGTTGGTGTTGGAAACATCTTATTTTTAAATTTGAAGCTGATAATGATAAATTAAATCCCGTAAAAAAAACAAATTTACATATGCTTAAATGATATTTTTAATATAATAACTGAAATGAACTATAAAGTGTATACATATGTATTATTTTTTTTGACCTAGGTTATTCATGAAAGAGTGCATACCAGGAGCAAACCACATTCCTGTAATGAATGTGGTCGATGTTTCAGGCTTCGAAATTCTCTTGTCGCACACATGAGAATCCATTCTGGAGAACGCCCTTTTAAATGTTCTTTTTGTAATAAGTCATTTCGAACAAAACATCTTCAAAGATCTCACAGTTCTACTCATTCTGGAGTATTTCGATACAAGTGTAATTATTGTAAGAAACAGTTTCAGTCTAAGGTTTGTTATTTTTTTTATATAGTCTAATTTTTTGTATATTATAGTTTCTTAAATTGTTTTTCACTTTCAGAGTAAAGTTGAAGCTCATGAGAATTCCCATAAAAAGCCATTTGTATGCCTTGAGTGTAAAAGAATGTTTTATTCCCTCCGTTTTGTGAAGAAGCACATGGACAATCATAAAAATGGTCAGCTAAATTATACGTGCAATATGTGCCCTAATATGTTCACAAGAGCGGCATATCTTGAAACTCACCTAAGAACAAAACATGGCCTCGATACAAAGACTTCTATTTCTATATCGACTCAGAAGATTTACCAACAGATGGAAGGCAGTATGTACCAATAAATATTTGTTTTAATTATAAAAAAAAAAATGGTCAAAAGGTAAACCAGCAAAGTTTTACTTTAAAACACCATAGGTATTGGTCTAGAGAGTGAACAAAATATGATGCTGTGCATCACACAACTTTTACCTACCACCCTACTTTAAATAGAAATAAACCTCAGAAATGTTGCCTATAAATACTTATATATTGGTTATACTATAGGGAATATTGCCTATACTTTATCTTCGGGATCTCAAGAGATACGCATATTACCCAGTTTTACACCGAGCTGAAGTGGCTCTATCCGTCCTATCGCTGTCAATAATTCCTTGCTACCTTCCTATACCAGGCCATTAGAACACGGCGTCCCGCCTGTATTCTACAGATCCTTCAATTCAAACGCTCCTCTCAATCCGTCACACCAGATCCTGTGCCTCCGACCTCTATCCTCCTCAACGAACTGCTGCGCTCGATAAATCCTTTTTAATTCAAGTTGTCTCCCTCTGGAACTCTATACCCTCAGATATTCAACATGCAAAATTAATATCCTCTTTCAAATATCTCCTCTTCAAACACCTACTCCATTCCCAATCTGATTGATCACGAAATGCACTTAAAAACCTAAGCTGTAAGAATTTCAAAGTACAACCAGATACTCTGATTATTTCGTGATTCATTGATATCTTGTTTACTAAATTACTTTCTCTATTTATTTTATATTTATACACGTTTTTATATCTTTTTATTTATAATTTCATTGTAATCATCCTGTAAATACTAAACTGTAGTTTATGGACACACTAGAGTATTAATATACTTTCTGTATTTGTAACTTGTTCTAAAGGGACACTAGTCCCAGAATAATAAAATTATTTTCATTCATTCATTCATAAATGAGCCTTTCAGTTGACAGAATTTCTATGTCCAATTTCAACATTTTTGTTTATTAATTTTAGTGATATTTCTAGTGGGAAAATTTATACCTTTATTTACAGTTCTTTATTTCAACATTGTGATCACCTATTCTGGAATCAACGATATTATAAATTTGTAAACAAAAAATATCACTAAAATGACTTTACTAAAAAATGTTGAAAATGGAGTTAGTCATTCTGTCAACTGAAAGGCTCAAATATGAATGTCGTTTTTATTTAGGGCTTAGAGGTGTAAAACCTCGAGGTCGTCAACGTCTAGAAACATAAATGTATGTCAATCAATATAAAGGATGTCAATTGTCTGTATGTCTACATATTTTTGGTTTGCCAACCTGAAAATATATTTAAAAAATTTACATTTCTATTGAAAATTTATTTTCCATTCAAAGATACCAAAGAAGATATTAAGTACAGCACTTATTAGTCAGTAGTTTTTGTACCTTCTTAATACAGGCTGGATATGGCCCTGGATTGTGTAGCAGAAGCTGTTTATTATTTCCAATTGAACTCTGTGACAAACAACAATGTGTTTAGAGTGACTTACAACTAAGTAACTTATGAACAATTCTCAATTATTCATTGGTCAGTATAAGTTCTGCTATCAGACATTAGAAAAGTAAACTTACTTGAATGTTTTTTCAAATGAAAGTGTTTATAAAAAGGAAGTAGTTGCAACTTATAAGCCATTTTCAGAAAATGGACTTTGATCGGACTCTGAACCCTTCATATATGATGTGATTTTTCATTGAAATTATTATACTACAATAATTTCCAACTTTTCAATGGATTTGTTAATATGCAGATGAATTTTTTTATAACTGTGTAAGCATTAATAAATTATATTCCAGTCACTAAGGCAATTTAGACTGATTTTATAAACATAATATACAGTCAATGTTTAGAATGCTAATAACATACTGGGTGCATTTATGTCAACATTAGTAAAACAGAACTTAGGTTAGAACTAGGATTTTTTCCAAAATTTAATTTTGCTTCTCCTTCTCCCAATATCTCCAATAATAGTAAACAGTATGTTACATAATATATTGAAGGAATTTAGTTGACTGTTCTACATATCATGGGTGATAAATATTCAGGACGCAGTCATTATAAACTTTTTATTAGTGCCAAAGTTTTAACCCATACATGTTGGGTCATCATCAGGGCTGAAAATTTTTAAATACAATCAGAGATATAAGATTCATGTACCATCAATCACTATAGTTTATTATTAACGGTACTTTTAGTCTAGCAGGCCGGACTGAAACCTCACCTCTTATCTATCTTATCAAACGTCACGTCACATAACCTCCCTCTTCTTATCCCCTTTCAGTTATTGCATTGTTTAGTTTTCAGTTATTCCCTTATTACGTTCACTTATTCAATTTTTTACTTTTGGTCCGTTTGTGTTTATTTTTCATTATTTTTAGTTTTTGGCCCGTTTGTGTTTATTTTACTTTTTTTTTAGTTTGTGGCCCCTTTGTGTTTCTTTTCGTCATATTATGGATCTTCTTAGAATATGGAATTTGACGCCTTCAGAAGAACAGGCACTTCAATATTTTTAAAATGTTGGGGTACTCGCCGACTTGAATCGACGTGTGATCGAGGTCATCGAATGAAGTCAACCAGGAAGGCCAAATGGAGATGCTTTCGTAGGACTTATGACATAAAACTTTCAATAAGGAAAGGAACATGGTTGGAGGGCTCGAGGATTTCGTTTTTAACAGCTTTAAAATTGATTTATGGATGGTCCCATAGATTGGCAACGATGAAGTGGGCCAAAGAGCAGCTGAAACTATTCAACAGAGCTATGGTAACGTGGAACAAATGTCTAAGAGAGGTTTGTGCCCATGACATGTTATACAGGCCAAGAAAAAAAATTGGAGGACCTGGCAAAGTGGTTGAAGTAAAAGAAAGTCTTTTTTCTAAACGAAAAAATCATGTGGGGGGAGTTTTATCTCAGCAGTGGATGTTTGGTGGATTTTGTCGAGAAACAGATGAATGTTTTATCTTTTATATAAAACCGATTTCGTTTTATATTTTTTCTTTTCTATGTAAATATGTTCTTTTAAATGTGTTTTTTATTATTTCATTTTGATGTTTTATATGTACATATCTTCTTAAAGTGTTTTTTTTATTATTTCATTAATACATGTGTCGTCAAATAAAAGTTTTTTTTTTGTTATTAAATTTGTTTTTGTATCTGTTTACACTTTCAATAATACGAATTTAATACAATAATACGAAGATATGAAGTAAAAGAAGGTTTATCAGTGCTTTATGGGAGTTATCAGTGTTCAGGTTATAAACATTGGCAGATAGCAGTCAGTAGCGGCCCCTTAGACGAAAAGTACCTTATTAACCATTATCGGTCGTATAATATTAAAATCTCTGATTGTATTGTGTTGAAATGTCGTCACTAATAAAAAGCTTATAATGACTACATAATATATTTCAAAAAAAATTTTAACATGAACTCATCCTATTATTTCTTTATTTTTTCTCCCCTTCTTTGCCTTTTTGACTATATGTGGTTTTTTTGTTGACCAGGGGAGAGGGCGGTGGTTTAGTGTCAGTGTCCAGCACTATGACTCGAATCAAAAATCTTCAGTTTATTAAGTTGCCGGGCAACACGTGTTTTGCACACGCATCATCCTGTTCGGCCTCCCTTTCCATTAAAATCTCATTCAATTGACTAAATCAAAACAAACAAAAAACAGAAACATTATATTTTCTATTTCTAAAATTATGATTTTGTTCAAAATTTGCCTCCACCTAAATAAGTGCCCCTTGCTCCTCCTTCTAGTTCTGTCTTTAAATAGCACCTTTTGGATATAACATAGCTTACTTCTAAAGTAGGTCCAGATATACATACTGGTATGTATATATCATTACAAATTCAATAACTTATTTTGTAAAAAAATTATCCTTTAACTATATTTTTATTTGGAATAATTTTTTTTAAATAAAAATGTTTATAAAAAGTAAAATGCATATGATGTTCCAAAACTTCCAAAGAAGTTATATATTTTATGGAATTGTTTGCTTAAAATACTGTTTCAATAAATTAGCTCAACCCTTTGATGTTTATGGTGGATTCCAGTAACACTTCAAAACATTATGGTTCTGTGACAACAAAAAATGGTAGATGTTACAGCTGGTTTAATATTTAAAAAAAAAGAAATTCTATTTTGTTTACAGAGTAATTGAAAGAAAATTTTCTAAATTCTCATTTAATTTTCATCTTAAAATATTCGGTTTTTGTTTTTTTGATGGCGTTTTATTTCTAAGAACTTCTCCTTAATTAATAAAATAATTTCAAAATGAACTTGCAAAATATAATTTTTATTATTTAATCAAATGGCTTGGTACTGTATTTTTATTATTTCTATAAATCATTACTTATTTATTTATTAGCCATTGATAATTTAGATGTTAAAATATATTGAATTATAATTTAGGAATGGTTGTATAGTTGACTGTTGAAATTCTAAGGATGAAAAATGCTTAGGATGCGCAGTCAACAAAGTTTGTTTATTGAGTTTTCTGATGTTTAAACGACATCGGCGAACCCAACAAATAAAATTCTTTTACTGCACACCCTGACCACATCATCCTTATATTGAATTTTCTCAAGAATTTTCTCGTGATGTATATTTTATTACTTTGCTGTTATTTGTAATAATTATTTATTATTTTATACAAATCTATGAATCTTTTTGTTTTATGTTACTGTTTAAATTAAATATTAAAAAAAAAAAATTAAAAACCTTTTTCTATCCCTCTTCAGATAAATCTAGTTCATATTATTAAGAGTGTTGTGATTTAGTGAAAATCAGTTTATAGAGGCTGTAGGCAATTGGTGATATTGTGGGTAGGTATGGCTGGAATCATTAGCTAAGTTGGATAAGAATCGAATGATGGTTCTTGGTTGATGAAGAGAATGGTTTCATGATCAGTAGAATCTAATGCTTTGGAAAAATCAAGGGTGTAATGTCAATTGCTGTTGACAATATGCAAACAATTGGGTAAAACAAAGTTGTCATTTAAAGAGTTCTTACTTAGTGAATAATCATGAAATGAAATCTTGATTGAAGAGTGCTAAGATTTTCTTGCTTAAGATCAATGTATAGTCGGAACTGGATGGGGAATTTTAAACTATTTAAAGGGTTGGATGAAAGAGATATCTGACATTATTGCTACAAGAAGAAGGTTTATAGGCCTTAGTGCATTGAGAAAGAAAGCATTTTCCATGAAGAAAGGATTCATTAAAAATATATAGTAAGAAGGACTATTTGATATTTTGATTAATTTTGTGAGTAGTTTTCCATCCATAATTGTTTGTGTTGTATCTTAGGCAATGATTCAGGATTTTATATAAAAAAAAAATTATCAAAATCAAATGAAAACTTTTTATATTCTATTAATTAGGCCTTTAATTTTTTTTTAGCTTGTCAGATGGATTAAAGATAACATTTCAATAATCTATTTTTTAGTGTCATCAAGGAAAATTGAATTTTATTTTGAATGTTCCATCATTTGTCCACCAAACTAAGCAGGATGGATGATCTGCAGATATCATCAAAGACACCATCAAATTAGTGGCAGTACAAATTAGTGGCAGTTCTTGTAAGGGTTTATATTATGAAGTCCTATAAAATGTCTTAGCTTTATATTACTAAGCCGACACTATTTATATACCAACTCTGAGGCTAAAAAAAACAATCTGTCAGTGCACAATAATAGAAAATAAAAGATTCTATTCCATAAAATGAGAATTTAAAGATTCAACCATTAAATTTAGGTGTAAAACTGAGGAAGAAGAAAATAACATTATATTTTACTTTTGAAATAAGTAATCCACGGGTTATACAAGTGTAAGGATTTAGCACTAATAAAGTTAAATGTGAAATTATTGCTGGAAAGTTAGGTGTATCTGTCAGAAACTAAAGGTTATTTCTCTCTTTCTTATAAGATGTATAATTTTTTGTGGAAGAGTTGTATATGTGTGAAACAAAGACAATAATGGGAAAAGTGATTTTGCTAATTTATTTTAAGTATGATAATTGATGATTCTTAATTCGATACCCATATGGAACAATATACTAAAATAAATTTATTTTAACCATATAAACCTAATCATTTCAAGGTTTTAGGGATACAATTTTTATACTTTTTCTTGATACACAATTAGATTTAGAAGCTGAGGTACAAGCATTATAGCCAAATATTTTGCTCAGATCACAAATAGAAACGGATATGGAACAAAGAAAAAAAAAATTAATTTTTATTCCAGGGGGCGCGCTTCTGACCAAAAGCCCCCTTCATTAAATCCCCTAGTGATTTAAGGAACAATAATAGATACATGCACTAGCAGATCCATGATTTAATTTTGAGGGCTTCAGTCCCTCTATATATATATAATTCCCTTTTTTTATATAAGTCCCTTTTTATATATATAATGATTATTACTTTGGAAAAAAAATAAGGAACCTGTCTAACCACCTATATAAATAAAATGGTATTTAAGTGAGTCTTGAAGTCAGTTGTATTTTACCATTTTGGAGGGAGGCTTCAATCCAAAAGCTCCCCCTCTTCCCTTCCATAGATCTGCCTGTGGATAGAAGTGAGGTAATTATCCACTTTGGCACAAGATTCAAAGAAGAATTCAACATCAGTGATTCCTTGCAATGGAGTACTCTCATTCACTAGTGGACCCAGCATCTCATTTTGGGAGGACTTCAGCCAAAAGCTTTTTTTTTTTAAATATAATGAAAATTATTCAGGAAGAAAAAGAAAGAAAGTAACTACCTATATGAAATGGTGTTTAAATTATTCTTGATGTCCTATTAAATGTAATTACATGAACAATAATACTTTTAGAGATAATATTTTTATATTTTTTTCATAAGACATGGTGATATTTTATTTTTTTTTTGGGGGGGGAAGGGGAAAATGAAATTTGCGCGGCCAAAATGAAAGTCGGCTGTTTTTTCAGAGAATAAACGAGGGTAGGGCAGCTTTCAAGCCCTCAGGAGTGACGGCATGCAAAGACACGAATGGATCTCTTTTAAGCCACAAAGATGACGTACTAAGGAGATGGGTACAACATTTTAAAGACGCATTAAACAGAGGAACGGTGCCTGGAGAAGTAGGAGTAATGAATGAAGACTCCCTGAATTCTATTGAACCCCCGGATGAGGAGGAAATGGAAAATGCCCTGATGAAATTGAAAAATGGAAAGGCGCCAGGCCCGGACGGAATCCAGTCAGAGCTGTTGAAATGTGGAGGTGAAGAACTTAAGAAAGCTCTGCATGATTTAATGCTGACCATCTGGGAGAGGGAAGCTATGCCTACGGAATGGGCAACAGCCATTATCTGCCCAATACATAAGAAAGGAGATCAAACAGAATGCGCTAACTATCGAGGAATCTCACTCCTTTCGTGTGCTTATAAACTGCTCTCTAACATTCTTTTTGAGAGGATTCTCCCGTATTCTGAAAAGGAACTGGGGAAGTATCAGGCTGGATTTCGAAGAGGACGCTCAACCACTGATCAACTGTTCTCTCTGAGGATGATCCTAGAAAAGACTATGGAGCATAAGGTAGTCACCCACCATTTATTCCTAGACTTTAAAGCAGCATACGACAGCGTTGATAGAACGCAACTATACTGTGCCTTGGAGGAGCTAAGCATCCCTCAGAAGCTCGTACGCCTAATCAAGATGACCATGGACAGCTCGAGATGTAGAATACGCGTCGGTTCTGACGACTCCGAAGAGTTTAAAGTGAGCAGTGGGGTTAGGCAAGGGGATGCCTGTCTATTGTTCAACTTGGCAGAGGAGAAAGCTGTAAGAGACTCCGGTATTCAGACCAACGATATAATCTTCAATCGCCTGACACAGCTTCTTGGTTTTGCTGATGATATTGACATAATAGGTAGGTCTGAACAGGCTCTCAGAGAAGCGTTTATAGGCCTTGAAGCAGCTGCAAGACCACTTGGTCTAGAAGTCAACGAGAGGAAAACTAAGTATATGAGAGTTGGTGGTGAGGTGGATCTGAACTCTCCATTTGAGGTAGGTTCTTTTAAGTTTGAGAGAGTGAAAAGTTTTATATACCTTGGGTCTGAAATTAATAGCAAAAATGACATGGCTCAAGAAATACAAAGAAGGATCACGGCTGCCAATAGATGTGTCTATGGACTTGGCCGACACTTAAGAAGTAGGTACCTCTCAAAGAAGACCAAGCTGATCATATACAAGACTCTTGTTCGGCCTGTTTTGACATATGGCTCAAAGGCTTGGACGATGACCAAACACGATGAGATGAAGCTGAGTGTGTTTGAGCGAGGAGTCCTCAGAAGGATTTATGGTCCAGTAAAGGAGGGTGATGTCTGGAGGAAAAGAAAAAATAGGGAGCTCAGTTCTCTCTATGCAGACATCGACGTAGTCACCTATATTAAACTGGCCAGACTAAGGTGGGCAGGGCATGTGGCCAGAATGAGCACCGTTGAGATACCCAAGAAAATAATGATGGAGGAGCTGCACCTCGCAAGACGGGTAGGGAGGCCGAGGACGAGGTGGTTGGACAACGTGACCTATGATGCGAGAACCCTGCTTGGTATACGGAATTGGAGAGCTGCAGCAGAAGACAGAGCCAACTGGCGGAGGCTCTTGGAGGAGGCCCAGTCTCGGTAACGGGATGTCGTGCCACACATGAATGAATGATATTTTATTTTTTGGGGGGGGGGTGAGAGGAAGGGGCTTCATCAGCTCAAAAGCACTCTCCCTGTAGATTCGCCTGTGGTCTCAATTATGTAGGAGATGCCTACTGAGGCCCAGATACCATTTGACAATGGATATTTTTGTAGAAATGGTTGCGGTTGTTCTGTAGAGTTGGATCCATGCCGGGAATTGGAATCTATTGCACTGGCTGATGAGTAGTTTGATGATTGCATCTTTTGTGGGAAGCTTAAATTTTTGAGCTTTCGCGAGATAAAACAATAAAGCAAACATACGTGTGAAGAGAAAGCCCACCCGATCTGTGGAAATCTCCATGAAGGATTGAGGAGGCATCGCGAATTACGAAGGATTTGCTGAAGGAAGTAGTTTTATAGGAGGGAAATATATAAATCTATAGGTTGAGACATGGTATTGAAAGATCGGATTGAAAGGAACGTAAAGAAAGCAGTTCAACTCCGGTTTGGATAGATTAGATAAAATGGTGGGCGGAGTGGCCGAACTGGCTAACGTGTGAGCACAGCACCGCCGTTCCCCGGCACTAGCGGATCCAGGAATTAATTTTGGGGAGGAGCTTCAGCCCGAAAGATTTTTTTTTCATATACATATAACAATAATTAATTAGAAAAAAAAGAAAGAAATTAACTACCTATATGAAATGATGTTTAAGTGGTTCATGAAGTCCTATTAAATGTAATTACGCGAACAAGAATACTTTAAGAGACAGTTTTTAATATTTTTTACTTTAAAACATGGTTATATTTTACCATTTTGGGGGGGAGGCTTCAGCCCGAAAGCCTCCCTCCTCCCCGTAGATCCGCCTGTGTTGCCCGGCAACCTGATCTATGAGACAATGTATTTAAAAATAGTCGCGAGTTCGTGTCCCGGTGCCGGGGGAGTCTTTTTAATTCCCGCCCACACCTCCTGGCATGGGAAAACCCCGTATAGCCTTAAAGGGGAGGATCCAAAAAGAAAAAAAAAAGATTGGATAAAATAGAGATATGAGTCTGAAATCGGAAGCTGATGAAGGAGTAGGAACTTTGTTCAGTTGGTGGACTTATGGTTTTTTTAAAAGGATTTTGAAGGAAAAATGGAATTTTGGAGAGAGAAATTATATATGTGTAGAACTGCTGGAAGGCAGAGTTTAATAATTTTAACAGTGATATCGGTTTATTTTAAGTTTGATAATATCGGAAACAACTTGGTTACAAACCTCTGAGGAAAAAACATCAAAAGTACGAATATACAAGATAAATTTAATAGAAAAACAAAAGCAGCCGTAAAGCCTATCATTCCATATCTAAGCATGCAAGGGAACCGCCACTTACCTGCAGTTGCTCCACTGACCAGAAGGCTTCCGCACTATACTAAATGGCGTTGGTAAAAGTGCCACAGCTATGATGTGTCAGCAATGTGCTCAGAATGTTATCGCGAATAAACCCGTAAAGCTCCAGGTTCCGAATTGCTGAAGAGGTTTGACTGTAGGTCATTCCGGTGAACTAGTTAACTTGGTCACTGAAAAGAGCTAGCCGTACTATAGACATTTTGTTCAGAGGTATGTTAATGCAGTAGGCATAGACCACTTCTAGTTTTGTATACGATGATATCTGCAACCGCTGGAGAAAAGAGGCATAGACGGTTGACTAGTCTGGAGTCCGTTAGATTTGCAGTACGTGCTGTACTATCTAAATTTGGAAAATTAATTAAAATTGCCTATAAAATTAAACATATCTATACTTCCGATGGAGGTTGTGCCAAAATGTAATTTTGAATATTGAAATATTGAACGCATAGGTTGCTAATCCTGCAAAGGAATTATATAGTTCAATTTCTAATTATAGCTTTGAACAGTGTTCTGAAAATATTATTTTGTAGGATGGAGCTGCTAGAACAGGTTCCGACACTGGGGTTACAGACCATTTTCTCCCTCCCCAATATTTTATGAAGGGTAGCCAGTTCCTCCAATATTTCGTAGTCATTTACTTTAAATAACTCGCAAAAAGCTCAATAAACCTCATACGCATTAATTATCTTATATCATCCTGTATACATGGCGTTTTATACCTCCTCTCCTCAACCATGCATTGAACAATGTTATCATGTTTTAGGCCTTCCTAAGGATGAAATACATCAGAATACTTAGTGAAATGCTTATAAAGTTACTAAATTTATTATTTACCTCTTTGGTGTTTTATAGAACCAAACCGGCTAAGCAAATTACTACCATGAATATAGTAAAGTAATTTCGAAAGTATATGAAAAAAATTAACTTTATGGTTGTATGCCAGGACATGCATTAACGTTCTCAAATTGGTGTAGTTTTATTTTCCGATCCTGATAAAGCAAACTTTATTTCTAAACAAGTCTTCTAAATAATAAAAAAAGAGGTCGTTTATAGCCCAAAAATAAGCTTGTCTCCCATCATGAAAAAAAGGATACAACAAATATTTTTAGGAAAAGAAACAGTAACTGTTTGTATAAAGTAAATATTTAAAATAAAATTTTTCATCCTTTAAAATTGTAGACAAAAGAGAAATAAATTATAAACTGTTTAAAGTATAAGTCCATATTATTCCCTCCCCCATTATTAACTTTTTTATAGAAAAAATAACTTTTTATTAATAATAACTTAAAATTGTATTCAGATTTAAGTGGATAATGCTCCTCCTTTATTATGTTTGTTTAGATATAGTGACATACAGATTTAATGTTATTGTTTGAAATTACGCAGTGGCTACACTGAGTCCACAATTTCAGTTTTCTATCGCTGTTTGACTGTATGGCCATTTTTTGTGTAAGATGTAGTTAAAATGTGACTTTAAATTGTTTGTTGATGTTTTTACTGACTTTTAGTGACGTTAACTCTATGGAAGTTAATAACATAGGTAATATTGATGTTTTTGAATTCTTAAATGGTTACTCCTTAATTGATACTTAAGATGTTTGAACTTTCATTTTGCTATTAGTTGCATAATGTTCCTTTTAATTAATTATAAATAAATGGAAAACTTGGAATGGTTTGAAAGAAAAATTGATTGCTAGTATTAATTGCTTCAGGTCATTGATTTATGTTAACTTAGTGGCTCACATAACCTTGCCACTTGGAATGTTATTTTTCTCTGTATTTTTTGACATGATTTTAAAATTTACAGACGCTGCCCTGTGAGGAAAGAGGCCATGAGTAACGAGAATAATGGCAATGATGTACCAGAGGATGGAGGAGAAGTTCCCTCAGCTCGTATGGACTGTGAGGCACCTGGTGCAAGTGACTTAAGTACTAAAGTAACTCGTGTGGAACTTACAAATGAACAGTTGAAGGAAATCTCCCTTGAAGAACTAAGAACTTGTTGGAAACGACAGGACAATTACATTAATATGTTAGAATCTCGCAACAGCATCTACGAAGGTAGACAACTTGTGCACTTCGTAATTTATTGTGCTATCTTTATTAGACAGGTTGTAAAGGCACCTTTACTTAAGTGGGTTTTCTTCGATATTACATTTTGATCTTTGGAAAAAAGAAACATTTCAAACCAACCTCTATCGGTTGAGAAGTGTTTTTATTTTGGTGATTGAGTTTTATTTATTTTTTATAAATGCTTTTTTTTTAATATATTTTTTATAGTTATAAGTAATTGATTCTGATTGATAAATATAAACTTAGCAGTGAATTGGAAGTAATAAGACATAAAATATCTGTGATATGACTATAATTGACTTATAAGTTGATAGACCATTATTTGTTATGGGAAGGTACGTTTTCTTCCTGAAAGTGTGTTCTGTTAATGTGTTTCTATCGGGAACATTTAATTTTTCTCCAATAAGTGATGTGGAAACATTTGAACTATGTTTATTATATTGTGAGAGTAAATACCAAATTAAGTTAAAACTACTGCATATCAGGTGTTTACCAAGCCTAAAAGTGGGATTATAAATGTGATATTTATTGTTGTTATTATTGGATTATTATGTAAAATTTAATGGTTTTCAAAATTTTCAGTTAAAGCTTAAAGCTCTTTTATTCCAGAAATTATAATAAAGTTTTATTTTTGCAATGACATTTTTTCCATGCTTGTCTGTTATAACATCACCTTCTTGTTATTTCGTGATAAATATTCTCCATAACATTGTTCTATATTAGCAAAATGTTTTATGTTTATTTAACTGTATTTTATTGTAAATTTTAATGAGTATGAGGTAAAGATTCCAACTTTGTTTCATCTTTTTAAGTTTGATAGTGCTGTTTTTATGTTTTATTGAAGTTTTTTTTTTTAAGCATTACTTAAATTAAAAGTTTGCTTTAATTGAGTCAACCATTTCAGTTCTTAATTTTTTTTAATTATTAAGGATGATCCTTAGCATTATGAAAGACAAATGCTTTTATTGTGATTGGTTATTTATGTCAATTCATGTAGGCAAATTCAAACAATGACATTTTTGGTTTGTTTTTGAGATCAAAATGTCTGATTAGTTATTATATTAGATAAAGACGGTCTCTAAACTTGATAATGATTGAACAGTGAATCATTTATGAATGAAGTTGCTGGCTTGGTGCTGATCAAATGTGTAGTATTGTGACTGGTTTATTTTGAGTTTCCAACTGTCTCAATGATGTAGATTTTAATAGTAATAAATTTTATTGCTCAAAGTACAAAACTTATAGCAATGATTTGACTTTAGAATTAACAATTTGACCTTTTAATGAAGTATATCCTCTTTAAAAAAATTATAATGACCCAATTAATTAATATTTACATTCACAACACTTAATAATAAGTTTTAAAAACTTTTCTCAATTCTCAAGATTTCTCTTCAGACACTCCTCTTCACCCTACTAACAAGTATTGTAGTTACTGTTAGTGTTATTTAACTTTCTTCTCTTAAAATGGCTTACTCACAATCCACGGACAGTTGTCTTTCTTTTCGAAAAAACCTTTCATATATTGTTGAACACAAACCTATAATTAAGTAAATGGACCAGTGTATTATTTACTTTCTTTGTTTTGCACAACGGGCATCTCTCTTTTGGCTTGAAGATAAGTTTTTTTTGTTTAAGTTATTTCTTGATACATGTCTCTGTCATTAACATTATTTGGGCGATTAGTTTTTAGCAATTTTGCTATAGTCATATATTGCTAATAGTCTTCATGTTTAAGCAAAGTTCAATATCTCCAAGAGAGCTTATATGTCTGTATATATGGCTGAATGAGTTATTCAAGACAAATTCTATGTCTTAGGCAATATTCCTAGCCTTTCTTAATAATCCCATTCGTATCTTTGGTGGAATATACTGATTTCTCTCTACTTTCAACACCCGTAATTCTTAAGAATTCTGTAACTCTGTTATACAATTGAAAGAGAGTTTATAAAATTTTGCAGCCCTGATGAGAGAAAAGATAAATTTTCATAAAATGTGAGGTATACTTAGGATTTCCACCAACGGATCATTTTCTTTAAGACTTTAATTTGGGTGACTGTCTAATCTTGAGTCCCAAAGAGCTATCAAGTATATGTGTGAGGGGTGGATGAGCCTTTTTAAGAAATGATAGATGAGACTTTTCAATTATATCTGTGCATTCAGCATCTCAAATTTCAGATAAATTGAGTGGTTTGCTTTCTGAGATTGATTCATATAGTTTTATTTTTTATTGCCGTATGTCTGATTTATAATTTTAGTGTGATTTTAACATAAAATAGTAAACCATCTTTTATTTTGAGCTAAAATAAGAGCTAGCGCGGGATATCTTTCTGATGAATTACAAGGAACTTCTTAATAAATACATTTATTTCCAACTTTGATTGTGTAATTATTGTATGTCAAATCATTGCCTTTGACTATCTTTTATCCCCTTAATGAAATGGATTTTGTTTGTATTTATTTTTAGCGGTCTTCATTTTGCAATATTGTTCCAGAATTCTGAGGTTGTGTTTCTCATCTTTTCAATTGTTAGCAGGGATCTGTAAATCATCTAAATGCAGAAGAAAAATCAGCAATGACAGATAAAAAATTTCAATGTGTTTCTTTCTAGTTTCAATTGCAATAAAGAATTCCGAAGTATCAGCGAGATTGAGGAGGAATAGTAGTGGTCTCAAACTTTCAACCTGAGTAACCCGTTCAGTGACAGGAATATTTTAAAATAAGTTATTACTGCTGGTGATGATAAATGATGGAGTTTTGTACAAATTCGTAATGAGTTTTATGATTTTTCTTCTGGGTCCTACATTGCATCATAAAATCTTTGCTTCAACTACTCATGTTTCGCTCATTTGGAAGCTTTCTTGGAATCAATGATCATAACTTTTCTTTTTTTTGAGCCTGAGAACTAAATTGAACAGCCTTTATTTTTTAAAAATCTTATTTGGATATTTGGAATCAGACACTTTTCTTTTACTCATATTATGAATCTCTAACCCTATATGAAAATGCTTTTTGCAATGAATGAGACTCTTTGGTAATTTTCAGGAACACTTGTTTTGTGAAGCGAAATAGCTTTTATTTTTGTTTAGCTCTGGTAAACATGGTTTTATGACAATGTTTTGTTATAGAGCTTTAATAAACCATTTTTCATGAAATATCTTTAGTACTTACTGGATATCAGGTCTGTTGGGATAGGATGGCCGAGCAGACTAATGCTTGTGCAAAATATGCAATGCCCAGCCTTATTAACAGATAATATGATAAAATAAATACGAGTTCGCTTTCTTGGGCGACTTTTAATTTTAACATTAGTCTTGCACTCTCTCCTCTGGCCCGGGAAAAACCCTGTATAGCCTAATCGGCAAGGAAGGAGTAAAAAAGAATGAAATTTTATATAATGTTTTTATTTCTTTTACTAATCTTGATGGATTGCCAATAGCTTTTCTTTCTGAAGTGATTTTTGTGGTCTAAGCCATACAAGAACATGTGAAAATCCTTACAATATCCTCTGGAAGTGAATTCTGATGGAAGGTTTCTCATTTTTCTTTTGGGATATCTCGATGTTAATTGATTTTAATGTTGTGATTAGCTTTATTTATAAATAAGTTAGATCTATAATAACATAATGCCAATGTTAAAATTTAGTATTCCTCTTATTTTATCAGATATTGATTCACGTGATTTTTTTTTTCTCAACTATTTACTTTATCATTTCCTGTTATTTTGAAAGATATTAACATGTTGCTGCCAACTATAAGTAATCTCATTGGCACCGGCTACGAATTACTTCGTTGAACGTTTTTGTTTTACCTATGCCACATATGATCAAACTTGTATTCTCAAGTTCTTTGGAAATATCTGGTCTTAGGAATTAGCTTAGTGGAACCGTTTTTGAAAATGTCTCGGCAGCGAATGTGTTAGTTACTTATGTTTGGTTGGTTAAAGTTATAGAAGCACCATTATAATTAGGACTGCTTAACAACTGCACTTTTTTGTTTTGGTTTTAAATTTGTTCTAACTTTTAATTTTTCTTAGTGACTTTTTGTAACAGTTCATGCGAGAACGTTTAGCTGTACCTTTTATTTTAATGTTCATATGAGAATTTTTAAGTAAAAGTTCTTTAATGAACTTTATCGTTAGATATATTACCATAAAAGCTCTAACAATAACTGTTTAGCTAGATATTTTATATTAAAAAAATCTGCAAATATTTATTTCATGATATGGCAACAGAATGAAGATAAGCTGACCCAGGGTGGGTTTCAAATCCATATCACTTAAAAAGCAGTCTCATTCTTAGCTCAGGGTACCCTCTCTTAACAGAAAATCTTTAAATGTACAGGTCTGGAAATATAGGAAGCAATGGTGGACACCTCTCTAATTGATGCAGACAGCCGAATTTGGTCAGCCAGATCCATCTCATGTTAAAACCTCTCAACATACACTAACAAAATGTGAAGTAAACTTTAAAGCAACAACATTGTCATCACATCAAACATATTATTGTATATTATATATTTTATAATTCTTTGTAATGTGTCCGGTCTGGAAAGGCATTTATTCTAAAATGTTAAATGGAAAAGCACTTTTGAATAGGATTAAATTAATTTTCACTAAGTTTTATATTTTGTTTTTCTCAAAGTTCTTTCTCTTCTTCCTTTCATATTTATTTGTATATAATTTAATTTCCATTATTTTGGAAAAGTAGCAGGGAATTTCTTATTTTATTTAAGTTAGGAAAAAGTCAAGAGAATTTGAGTTTCATACTGTTGTAGACACCTTGCATAACTAATTAGAAAAAAAATAATTTCTATTTGAATTTACAATTAATTATAATTAACTTCTACATATATACATAGGAAATTACATTACAAATAAATTACATACAAATAAATATGAAAGGCAGAAGAGAAATAACTTCGAGAAAAAAAATATATAAAACTTAGTGAAAATTAATTTAATCCTATTCAAAAGTGCTTTTCCATTTA